ATACATTGTATTTACGTAAAACAAAAACCATTCGATAGCTCTACTCTGGATCTATTATTCTGAAAAGGCTTTAAGTCTTAAATGTACGTTTTCTTCATGATTTTGTTTAAAATTGTGTATTTGCTGTCCAAAATCCACCGATCAAGGCTAGCTTTTGCTACAGTGGAGCACCACATGGACGTTTCCATGCTATTATTAAAAGGAAAACGGGAGTTTTTTTTTTTTGCCAGTGTAAAATCCAGTTTGGAAGTCCAAACCCCAATTTTTCGCAAGGAAGCTTTGCAGATACTTAAATGAGGCCTCATTTTGTAGAGCAAACACAGAGCAGCAAGACTTAATCAATGCTTGGTTGAGTTTTGACATTTGAACAAAGAATAGCGTCGAAACACTAGCCTTTCTATATTGCTTTACTCTACATTTCACCCGCTGTAATTATTTGGCAACCAATGCATGTAGCATCTGAAAATCCCTTTACATGTTTGACAACCCCTCCTCAAAGTAGGCATTTCATCTTTCTGATATAAAGTCGCCACCATCAACATAGGATGCGAAAAAAGCTGTTCCTTCCTCCTCTTCTTGCTGAGATCCGAAGCACAACCTTCAACCCTTTGCCAAACCATAATACAACAGCAAGATATCATCAACAAACGGTTTTGAATACAACCTTTCCCAACATTCCATCCATCCATTTATTACTCATAATCACTTGTCTTCAACATTGTCTTATTTCCAATAATCCTTTCAATCTAAAATCTAATAATTACACTGCCGTTTTTATCGCAAGCTTCCTCATACGACCATCCTACTTTCAAAGCGAATTTCAATATCTCAAATCTCAATTTTGGATAACCTAGCCTCGAAATCAAAAGCTCTTTTGTTAAGGAGTGTTTCTATCGCAACTATTAGCCTAGAATCAATGCCGCCGTAGAAGATATTTGCTGTTCAATTGATTCATTTGACTCGTACAGGCAGTTTTTGTAAAAAGAAGTTGTGAAATCAAATGAATCTAAAGCCCTATTCATTGACAGCAAGGAAAAAGGTATACTCCTTGAAGCATAAAACGTTTTATTATAGTTTTCAATAGTTAACTGACTATTGTTTGGTAATGGGATGGCCAGAATACTGTTGTAACATCAATGTAAACAACACTGCTGCCCTAAAGTAGTACCAATACAACCTCCCCGCATAATAAATGTAAAACAATTTCCTCATCATATTAAACTGTTGTGCAATGAATGCCAGATTGAATAGTTGCATCGTATTATCTTACTATTAAATGAAGTAGTAGGCATTAAATGGTATCTATTTGGCTACCCTTTTATTATAATTTTAAATGACCAATTGATAGGAGATCAACTAGCTAGAATCCTTTGGTGCTTCAAACTCTCAGCCAATCAAATCGCTTGAAAACTCCGCGGACCTGAAAAAAATTTTGCGAGGGTTTCCCCCTGTTTTGATGTGAGGCAAAATTTTAAGCGCCGCTATATAGCTATATAGCTGTTACTATCATCAAATTTCCCTCAGGTGCTAGAGCATGCCTTACTTACACCACCTAGCTTTAAATTCAGGCATTGAGACCCTCAATCATCACTAAAGTAAGTAGCGATAACCAAGTGGAGGCGGCCTATCTACCTCCTGGTGTCGGATAATGTCTTGTTGAGCTTCAGCGATAGGCACATCCACACAACGTAAAAAAAAGGTATGCTTCAAAGAAACATAATAAAAGAAAAAAAAAGGAAAGGAAGGAAACAACATCATGCTACAGTACTATAGGAGTATAGTAGTATATGTAAGCAAAGAAAAAAAAAGGATACTCACGCGCAATGAGTCAAAGAAAAGCATAGCAAATACAAAATCAAAGATGTTTATAACAGCTCATTGTTGTTGCAACAGAAATACATACATGAGCAACGTGTATGGTAATAATCTGATGTAAAGCAACACAAACATGCACAGTTGCAGGAGCAACAGCAGTAGTATGAGTGTGTAATACAACATAACAACTAATATTGTTTCATATGAAGCAACAGAGGCAACACAAACAACAACCCACGGCCATATAACAAAGTATTACAGCGGTAATACAAGAATATAACAGTGCATGATGCTTGTTGTTCATATATACGAAGCAACAACATTACAGTTATTTGTTGAGCTGATCATATCACAGCCAACAAAAGAAAGAAAAAAAAAACGCAACAACGCAAACATTATGAATGCATTATCACGAGAAAGGAAGCAATAATACAAACGTCCAAAGAAGTTTTATATTATTGCGACCAGATGAAAAAAGATACTTACCATTTACCACCACAACCCAAGATAATAGACCAGAAAGCCAGCATACAGCAGACATCAGACCAAAGGATACACAAACACCAGAGAAAGACCGCAGAAGCAACAATAGACCATCAAAGCGAGCACCATCAAATAAGCAGCAAAAGACTAGAAATGGGTCCCAAAATAGAACAATTCACAGTATAGCTACAGTACAAAACGCGTTAACATTGTATCCTACGTCTACTGAGCTGCTGTCAATCATACTTGCTTTAGTTCCATCAACAAAGATAGCCTTGTTTCATCAGTAAAAGGTTTGCAAAATAATTAAAAAAAGGGGGGGGGGGAAAACGCTAGTAATATAAAAAGGAAAAAATGCTAATAATAAAAGATTGAGGTTGGAAACCGTCACTAGTCTCAATATAATATGGAGTAAGCACTGGAGACTTGACAGCTTGCTTACAGGACAGCAAAGCAAGATTGGGGTTAGCAGTTTCTACCGCAAGGTTTGCCAACACCTTGTTTATCGATCGGTCAATTGTAATTAAGAGGCTGTATTTAACAAAGGTAGCAAATTTTGCGTTCCAATTTAGCCACACACTGCAAAAACGGTATTTCAAAATATCCATAGCCCAGCCTTTATATTGCTCAAAATAAGGATCCATAGATATCTAAAGTCTTTCAACCTCAATACCATGCGATTATGATGATAAACACCGCTTCCAGCTAAACCAAACTTAGGGTAGAATTCAGAGGAAAATCGAATGATACCACTTTTAAGTGGATTAGCCCAAGTTATTAGCCTGATTTTTGATAGGATAGCTTTTGCAATTTTTTGATGGCTTTTAATACATTGCCACATTTTTATCATCAAAACTTTACTTTTAATACCTATCATGGTGTAGAGCAAACGAAATCTTTTCGAATGAGCCCTGTCTCAAAACTCTAGCATGTCGCTATCAGGAGATATTCACAGATTTATACATCCAAAAAAATTGTCATCCAGATTTTCGCCTTGCTATTACAGGCAAATTCTGGCCAAAAGTCGATGATTTTGCACGAGGAAATTTTTGATCATATCTCGGGAAAGATACATTGTATTTACGTAAAACAAAAACCATTCGATAGCTCTACTCTGGATCTATTATTCTGAAAAGGCTTTAAGTCTTAAATGTACGTTTTCTTCATGATTTTGTTTAAAATTGTGTATTTGCTGTCCAAAATCCACCGATCAAGGCTAGCTTTTGCTACAGTGGAGCACCACATGGACGTTTCCATGCTATTATTAAAAGGAAAACGGGAGTTTTTTTTTTTTGCCAGTGTAAAATCCAGTTTGGAAGTCCAAACCCCAATTTTTCGCAAGGAAGCTTTGCAGATACTTAAATGAGGCCTCATTTTGTAGAGCAAACACAGAGCAGCAAGACTTAATCAATGCTTGGTTGAGTTTTGACATTTGAACAAAGAATAGCGTCGAAACACTAGCCTTTCTATATTGCTTTACTCTACATTTCACCCGCTGTAATTATTTGGCAACCAATGCATGTAGCATCTGAAAATCCCTTTACATGTTTGACAACCCCTCCTCAAAGTAGGCATTTCATCTTTCTGATATAAAGTCGCCACCATCAACATAGGATGCGAAAAAAGCTGTTCCTTCCTCCTCTTCTTGCTGAGATCCGAAGCACAACCTTCAACCCTTTGCCAAACCATAATACAACAGCAAGATATCATCAACAAACGGTTTTGAATACAACCTTTCCCAACATTCCATCCATCCATTTATTACTCATAATCACTTGTCTTCAACATTGTCTTATTTCCAATAATCCTTTCAATCTAAAATCTAATAATTACACTGCCGTTTTTATCGCAAGCTTCCTCATACGACCATCCTACTTTCAAAGCGAATTTCAATTCGAAATTCAAAGAGAAATCAAAAGAGAAACAAAACCGAATAGAGAAAAGAGGCGAGCGATGATTCCAAGGTATAGCCCATGCTCTCAGTTACAAGCCATATTGGACCGTTTTTACAGGTACCACGCCAAAATTATGACTGGAATATGTGATGTCGCTTCACTTACTGTCTATAGTTGTACTTATCTATAGTCGGTATGAGTAATGATTAAAAAAAAGGGTTATTACTAACAATTACACCGGATTACAATGACAGTAATCCAGACGATGTACAAGTGAGGAGTGAGGTATTGCACATGCGATTAGATAGTGATTATAATAGTAGAGTATACCTCAGACAGTTGTGGTTAGCGAGATGGAATTTTTGCAGTTACTGATATTCACAAGCAGACAACGCTTTTGTTTTGGCACCGTTAGTTTGTTTTGCACTGACAATTACTTTTTTTTAATCTATCTTGGCAGAGCAGATCACCCTCCTGAATGCTCATCTTTCCAATTTCTCTCGCTCATTCATCCCTCAGAAGAAGTAGGATAGTAACAACAAAGGAGCTAAATGAGCTATGGCGATAAATGATGTTTGTTTACTTTTGTCAGTTTCTTAAACCAGTTTTTGATAAACAGTCTGCAGTGCGTCGTATCGTATCTTGTATGCATATACACAAACAGAGAAAAAGTTGATTTAAGGTTCAGGGGGAAGGAAGGCGTGTATCACAAAGAGGAAGGGGACATGGCTGATTGCTCTTCATAAATTGGCAAGCACCCGCATCTCGATCCTTTCCTTCCTCTTCTTTCTCCACTCCATTATCAATATGTTTCTTGAGGTTTTAATGGCTGATGCCAGCCAGTTACAAGTCCTCGGCGTGGCAAGCATCTTTGTTGGTTTGACATACTTGATGTATGTCCGCTATTATCGATACCAGTTTGTCAATAGCATTATCAGAAAGTATCCTGATCCTAATATTGTGCTTGAGAATCATGATATTGCCATGGAGATTTACAGCAACATCTTTCGCAAAGAATTCCCATGTAGGTGTTATTTGCATTGGTTGTATCACATGTATTGATCTATGCGTGCTATCTTAGTATTTGCACGTTCATCACTTGAATTTGCATTGTTCAAGCCGTTTGCCACACCCTCTGTAAGCAAGCTTCTTGTTTCCACTCGAGAGTTTCTGGACCGATGCCCTCGTCGTGCTGAAGATACAGAGCTCATCTTATCAGAGATCATTGATGCATACCCACGTATCCAAAATGAGATGCGCAACAACCCTCACATTTCGGAGAAGGATATATGCCAGCAGTATGAGCGACGGGAAGCATCTATCAATCGGTTGAATGAACTGCATGGAAAGTACAATATCTCCAACGACGACTATCTGTACACCTTGGTTTTGTTTGTAGCAGAGCCAATTCGATGGATTAACAACTGGGAATGGAGAACTCTGGATATTCGAGAAGTGAATGTAAGTTGGGCCCGAATTTTTACCCGCATCCTATTGAAACAATGCGATGTAGGCTATCTTCAAGGTCTGGCATGAAATTGGTACCAAAATGCACATCAAGGACATTCCGGATACCTTGGATGAATGGTACGAGATACAAAAGAAATACGAATTCACGTCTGTGACATACCATCCTGCCAACTGGAAGTGTGCCGATCCAACGATAAAGCATCTAGGAAGAAGATTACCCGGATTTATGCTTCCAATGCTGTACAAGATCTTGCCCTGTTTATTGGAGGATGGAGAATGCAGAGCATTTGGTATCAAGACAGCGTCTAGTCTAATGCGGTTATTCTTCAACTGCACCATATTCACACGAGCCATGTTTATCAGATACTTTTGCTTTCCACGGGATATGTTTGATCTGCGTACGCCTTTCTATCCCAATGAAAAGGGAAGATACATGCCGCACTATACAGTCTATCATCCAGCTATCTATACTGAAGGCTATCGTATTGAAGAGCTTGGCCCTGAAAAGTTCATGCCAAAATGTCCTGTTTTCCATGGAACGCCATCATCATCGTAAATCTGAATGCATGAAATAAATAGTTACATCTATTTTAACGAGATTGAGGGAGTGAGAGTGACCCAGACAACACTAAAAAGCTTGGGTCTTTTTACTGCTAGATTCACAAAACAAACATACTCACACACCATCGTTTATCATGTGCACAGATATGATATATATAGTCAGGATCGCGCAGAGGACTATGTTACTGCCCTTGACATGTTTAGACGCTGCACTCTGTGGGTGTACTTGTAAAGTCAATCAACGAATAATGGAATAGAAACCCCATATTTTTATTATTAAATATTATCAACATTGTAATTTTTTCTGTTTCTTTAGTGAGTATAGCTAAAAAGCTTGATATTAGTTCCGTTATTAACAAGTAAAATATAAATAAAAAAGAGAAAGGTATATATGTATAAGGATAAAAGAGTATAAGTAAGATTACTTTGCACGACCAAGTCTTTCTGAAGCCCTTGAGTGCAGCTGAACCAATGTGGCCGAAGTGGGAGCCCCACCAAGCGCACCGCCAGCACCGCCAACACCGCCAGCACCACTCACACCAGAGATATGGCTTGCATTTTCAAAGGAGTCGGCAGACGATGTTGTAGAGTGCACCCTGTGAATACCGTATGCTTTGTTTTCTGGAATCTGCGATAAATGACGAGATTGGAATTGTTGATGTTGTTGAGGCTGAGGTGTAGAAGGCGTTGTTGACGAAGGAGATTTTGTTGCTTCCTCTTTCTTGGCTCGTCTGATGGCCACAACCAGTGCATTCAGCCAAGCATCCATGTCATCCTCTGTCGATGCACAGAGCACATAGCTTCTTTTTGGGATGATCAGTTTGAAGCAGTACTGTTTGCTTTTACTCACAGGGTCAATTTCCAAAGAATCAATGATGTGGTGTAGAGGAATGATGCGATGTGGTGAATACTCTTTGTCGTCCTCGTAATAGGCCAACGTATCCGTGCGTAGCACAAACCAACGCTTTCTCCAGCCCTGTTACCAACATTGGTTTAATCCACCATTTGCTGTTCAGTGCTAATACAACAAACCTTATTGCGACCCAATTTCAAAAGATAGCCTTCGATCAGCACTCTGTTTCTGCTCTCTTCAGACTGAATGTTAGCTCTATCCACACTGTACTCTTCATCGTCTTCTGAGCTTGCAATGCCTTCAATGACACTCATTTGATTTGTGTGATCAGATGAAGGAGATAGCGGGTAAGTGTGACCTAGAGCATATTCGCTCAGTGGAGTCGAGTGTGAGTTGTTGGGTGATGTCGTCTGTTTCTTGCGCTTTGGAATATCCACAGGTTTAATTTTAGAAATAATTTCATTATTTGACCAAGAGGGAGGTGATGCTGCTAGTGTTCCTCCTGCTGCTGCTGTTGCTGTTGTTCCTCCTCCTCCTGCCGCTGCTCCTGCTACAGAAGATCTGGCTGAATTATCATATGTTCCGCTAGACTGACGTCGCTGATTTTGCATGACATTGGCAGCATGGTTTGATTTGTACAATGTAATGACATCTTTGGCAAACTCCTGGTCACGGTCAATGGAGCTGGTATCATCATCTGCGTCGTATAAGCGTAGCTCTTCCTTGGCTTGATTGACTAGTTTGAACCAATCATCCATGTCTTGCTGGTCATTTGCTTGCACATAGTACATTCTTTTGGCAGTGACAAATGCAAACACAAATTTGTACTTGTGCTTTGATGTTACTTGCACTACTTTGTGGATTTCGTGTAAATCAATGATTCGCAGCAGTTTGTATTCCTGGTTGTCGATTTCATCAGTGAGTTGGGGCTCTAGCAGATCATGCTGGTATCCTACCTTCTTGTCCTTGTACATGGCTAATTTAGTGGTGCGAAGTACAAACCAGCGCTTCTTCCAAGTCTATAAACAAAGTAAATTTTCCATGATCTACATCCATGCTGATGGTATAGGTGGTACATACTCTTCGCTTTTCGCCCTTCTTTAGCAAGTAACCTGCTTTAAGCACCTTTTCAGTTTCGAGCAGTTCCAAAGCCTCTGCCGACATGGGCTCCATAGTCTGTTCGTCATCGTCATTGTCGCCATCAGACAAGCGGTGATCGTCCTCATCTTCACTCAAGACAATACGAGCACTTTTGGTATTGGATGATGACAAGACGCTGCTGTGGTGGTTGTTGCTCTACAACAAGATGTTAGCGACAGATGCCATGTGTGTACAGCACATTCTGCTTGTTTACATTGGTGTGTTTTAATATGGATATTGGCTCAGATTTGGGTTGATTTGATGGGCTAGACATTATGTAATAAAGAAAAAAAAAAAAAAAAAAAGAGAAAGAGAGAGAGAGAAAAAAGAGAGACACTCAACATCACACACCTTTTTTATTTACCCTCCCTCCCCCCCATAAACTCCCAACACATGTGACACAGATTTACATGTACCCAAATGGCTTCCACTCATTATCGAAATATCTATTAAACGAGTGATTAGCTCTCACTTGTATGGCTTATTCAGCACAACTGTACCCTGCGCCAAGCACACCTCCTAGGCCATTGGACTTTATGTCTGTGCTGCTGGTAACAATCCATTCTGGTACCATCATTCCAGTCCTTCTTGGTAGCAAATGCCATGCTGATTCAAAGCCGTCATGATCCACACCAGATATCACAATGGCAGTCGTCGTCTTGCTGATGGGATGCATAAACAGAATGCCTACACGCCCCAATCGAGTCAGTAAGAGAGGCATGCCCTACACTGGTCACTGAGAGCAAACAAACCTGTTCCAGGGTCTCTGTATGCTTTGTCTCCTACTTTGATACCCATGATGGTAGACGCTGTTGTCTTTTCAAATCCAATGTGCATAGGTTTATCGGCCAATAGAGACTCAAGACGCTTATTCTCATTCACTAGACCCAAATAAATGTGATAGGGATGATCAAGTATCATATTCGACGCTATTGCTTGCGTGTCGTACAGAATCATGGAATCGCCTCGGCCATACAAATACCAATCATGAGTAATTTGCAATGCAACATGCTTGTAATGACTGGAGCAAGATGGTATAATGACGACAAGCGGTTTTGTTGATTCGTACATTCGATGGATAGGACCGTAACTTGCAGCATTGCGTTCATTTGATTTGACACCTTCCAGCTATAACATGATAGAAAACTGTAAGCAGAACTCTAATTCCCTGTATACAAGCCAACTCACCTTCCATCGTTTGCTCTTTTTGCCATCAAAGCTTAATGACACACCGCCCTCTACAGTGTGATGTTTCTCAAGGTGGGAAAACTTATCTCCATCCACAATAAGCTTGTTGCAGCCCTTGAAATGCTTTGTGAATCGAAACGAGGCAATGTTGGTCGTTTTCAGCGTCAAGAGCGTCTTGGTGTTGCTGTTGTCACTTGTGAAAACACCTTTTATTTTGCCTAATCTGTAAGGGATCATCATCTGCTCAACGTGAATTCCAAATACACTTCCATTTCCAGCTGGATTCATCAATGTAATACAAAATTCATTTAGTTCCTTTTTCTCTTGCCGTGGTGAAGCGTGCTGATCCAGAAACTGCTGCACCGTCTTGTCGTGAAATACAGTATCCCACCAATGCCCTTGACCCATTACCTCTGATGGCCTAGTAAGTGTGTCAGTCTACTGCGTGTCCTGTTTATCAAACGCAACCCTACTTGATGGCAGCTGGCTGTCGCAAATGCCCATTCAGTATTCTGACGTATTTTCTTGTGTGTAACGGAGGTACGTTATCGTCTTGAGTGCCTACTCGTGGTAAAACTGCAATATGAACCTGTTTAAATCAAGTGTGGTATGAGGACGGGCTCATCATCATCATCATCATCATCATGACCAATTCCTTGCGTTACCATGTTGGATAAATGCAGATCATTGTTGTATTCTGCAATAGAAGATTCCAAGATCTATTGCGGCCATGTCAATCTAGACTGTTTTCGCATGCAGTGTGTACATACCCCTCTTAGCCATGGATCACAGTATGAGTTGCCAACCCAATTGGCAAAGGATACATAGTCCTGGATCTTGATGTAGCCGGCAGCCGGAACAACTGTTTCTTATTAGATATCGCAGGATGCCATATGTGCCCTGAGAGCATACAAACCTGCAATGATCTTGTCTGGGAAATGCACAGCTAAATGCCAGACACCTTGACCTCCATTGCTGTGGCCTAGTGTCATGATTAAAATTAATTTCACGCTCATAAAATTGCATTTCTCATTTTTAAATTACCCAACACGATTAATTTATCTAAACTACCAATATTCCAGTCTCGATCGTCTTGCGGCTTTAAGGTTCTTGCAGTTTCATGCGGTGCTGACACTATCAATTACAGTTAAAAAACCTTCCATCTGCCATTTTCCACCATGCAACCTGTATATACCAGTAACCCAATCTCCGCCTGTTGCGAAATCCATGCACTCAAAATGAGGTGGAAGCAATTCCTGAATGGCAGCAAGACCCTCCAGGGACCTGAACACATTCCGTGTGCTAGGTCCATGCCAATCATAACCCCTTTAGGACAGCAACGTTAGAAAAAAAAAAAGTTTGCAAGGAGAAACACTTACCATGGCGTCCTACCAGTTGGAAATACGACCCAGCATTGCTTTTGGGCTGGTATAGAGTTGATCCAAAAGGAAGAGTCTGTCTCTACTCCCGCACCATGAAGTGCAACAAGGATGGGTTTACTGGCATTAGAATTCAAGACATGAGGTCTCTTGGCCATGGCTAATTGAAACAGTCAGTTGACAGCATCACGTTTAAATTGCACCACTATACCATATTGAACAGTGTTGTCGTAATCCAGGAATGTGTATTTGAAGGCTGAAGTCAACCAATCAATGCATTGAACACTGCCAGTCGCTCTAACTGCAAACTCGTCTCCTCCTTCATCCATCGCATCGCCCTCCACAACGGCTGAGGTTGCAACAATCACATTATTGCTATCTTTAATGGCAAGACCGATACGAACCCAAAACCGCAATATGTAGGTGCTTGCTGGTAGAGATCCCCACTCTTTCTGAAAACTGAAGCCAACAGGGCGAGTTTGTCCAGGCAAGATACACAGCGGGCCATGATCCATGATCAATTCTGTCTTGTATTCCATAAAAAGGCCATTTTTGTTGCGAGATTCCAAAGAATGATCGTCCACAATGCATAATGTCACTGACTTGACTAGCATCGGATCGTCGCCTGCATTTTGGATGGATACACTCCCGTAAGAGCTTGCAAACCCAATGTCTTTTAAATAATCCGGCATCAACAGCTCGCATGATGCTGTTTGTTGATCAGCGGTGGCAGAGGGTGCAATCACCGCACAATCTTCAGGATACAGCAGTGCTTCGTCTTTGGGCTCTAGCTTGACATGGAATTGGCATTGTGGTGGTGATGTGCCGCCACCAAACATACGGACATCATGCACCATACGCACATCGATGGTGTGTGTTCCCTTGTCGAATTGGATCAGATGGGTGGTGGTGTTGTAGCCGTAGCAATCACTGTGGTAGCGTGTGCCATGAATGTGAAATTCAGAGACACCACTGATTTGCATAAACAGTTGCACTGGTTCGTGCGTGATGAGTATGCCTCGAGCCCAAGCTTGATACTGCTCAATCGACCATCCAAAAGGTACTCCATTCTCACTCCATCTAAGACGTGTCAATGTGGATCATTTTCGTGTATTGCATTGCCACTACCTACCTAGCATCTCGAAAATCAATCGGCCCCAATGTGTGATTGCTTGAATTGACCATTGTCCATCCAACAAAGCCGCCTTCCACCAGTTCCGAAGGGTATTTTGCACCCGTTGAGTACCTTAGTTTTTGAAAGCCACCTATGGAATGCATTTGTTTAGTTTGTCGTTCATGCGAAATCACCGCCTTAGGGCCCCGCCTGGATTACTGTTTCGCGTGGTTATGAGCAAGATACATCCCACTCGCTGGTTATAAGCGGTATAGTTGTAGTTGCTGTGCATATGATAGAGCAGCATTTGAATGATGTAGAGAGGCTGTATCTATCTGAAAGCATGCTGACCTCTTTCCGTCAAAATGGATGGAAAGCACCCGAGACTGATGTTCTCATAAATGCGTTTGACACACACCAGAGGGGGGCCCAATAGTTACAAACGCTTACCATAGTTCTCCAAAGGATCTGCGCCAAAATCTAGCTCTCGAGTGCCAATAGGAAACGGACCGAGCACTTGCCATGTCTTGCTCAGGATAAAGACACTCATACTCAACTGCAATATAAAGGTACAAGAAATAAATAGTAAACAATGGCGAAAGAGAGTGAATGCGCGCAGGTCACATTGATCGTGTGAGCCTATACTTCGGCACAGCATGTGATGCATTTATGTTTATGCTAAATGCAAGCTAAATTAAATCGCGTTTTGAGATGCTCTTTTTTTTTTCCCTCTTCTTCTCTTAAACAACAAGCATGACAATTTACGGCCACCGTCATAGCCATCACGCTACCACAGCAGATCATCCACCATTGGACAACGCGCCTCGCACACCAAGAAACATTACGCATTCTCGCATCAACAACTTTTTGGCAGATGGAGGTCAGTTCCACGGTATGGGGATCCACCGTGGACTCTGGAAGTTGCGGCAGTCAGGACCTCCCCATGTGGCATTGAAGGTGTACAGCGTGCCTGACTTGAAGGTAAAAAAGCAGCCTGTGATGGCATGGATAGGCTTTGTACTGACTCTATGCTTTCTATATAGCGTATCACATTCAAAGTAGGTGGCTACACATTTGGATTGGATGCTTTCACACAGTCAATGCTGAATTGCATAAATTAATTTTTAGGATGCTGTGTCACAAGAGTTCAAAGATTTCAAGCTTGGTCAGCACAGTTTTGGCCCTAGTTGGTCTACACATTGGTTTCATGTATCTATTGTCATCCCTCAAGAGTTGGAGGGACATCGGGTTTTCCTGCAATGGGACATGGGGTGCGAAGGCATGGTGTGGAGCACGGATGGCGTGCCTCTTCAGGGCCTCACTGGTGGATGTAAGTAGAGATCCCTGATAATAGATGCAGACATCTCACTGTTCTTTGTACAGCGGATCAGGCTCGCCATGATTTCATCGTTACCAACAAGGCAAGGTCAGGTGAAAAGTTCAAATTCTACATTGAAGCTGCTTGCAATGGCATGTTTGGTGTCGGTGCCAATGATGCCATGGTAGCAGATCCCAACCGATACTTCAACCTTGACAGGGCCGATTTGGTGGTTGCTAATGAGCCTATCCAAAAGCTGTACCATGACTTGTCGTAAGTGGCCTATCGCAAAAAAAAAAAAAAAAAAAAAATAGACGCTTACTCGTTCTCACTCTACTTTTGTAAGTATTATTCGTGGTATTGCCTACGACACAGATCAAGATTCTTCTCGAGCCAGAAAAGCATTATGGGTTGCCAATGAAGTCATCAATAACTTTATCGGTGATGATGATGAAGCCATTCAAGCATGTCTCGACCTGACAAACAACTTTTTGAGTGCCAAGAACGGCACTGGCCAGCATCAGATCACAGCGATTGGCAACTGTCATATTGATACAGCTTGGCTTTGGCCCTACGATGAAACAAAGCGCAAGGTTGCAAGATCATGGTCGAGTCAGTTGGACTTGATTGAAAGATACCCTGATTATGTCTTTACTGGATCCCAGGTACAGCAATATGAGTGGCTGAAGGAGTTGTATCCTGCTCTGTTTGATAAGATCCAAAAGGTTGAAAAGGGAGGTCAATGGGAGATCATTGGAGGAGTAAGTTGGTATAGAGTCTCTATTCTTCATGATACTAACGCTTGATTGCAATATGACCAGAGTTGGGTTGAGCATGGTAAGTACATGTGATTGCGGTTATATGGTGTCTTTGCAAGGGCTAACATCCACGCTCTCTAGATACAAACATGCCGGTAAAGTGCTTAATAAGGATATCTCTGCTGTTGCGTAACTAACACGGCTTCGATATATATATAGTCTGGAGAATCGCTTTGCAGGCAAATGCTCTTGGGGTATGTGCGTTTTAAACTGATAAAAGCCATCAACTAAATGTATGTGTAGTCAACGCTTTTTTGAAAAGCATTTTGGCAAGAGAACCCGAGTATTTTGGCTTCCTGATTCCTTTGGCTACTCTGCGCAGCTGCCTCAAGTGCTTCGTGAGTCAGGCTGCGATTACTTTTTTACTCAAAAGCTGTCTTGGAACAACATCAACAAGTTTCCTCTCTCCACTTTTTGGTGGACGGGTATTGACGATACTAAAATCTTGGCTCATTTGACACCTGCAGAAACATACACAGCATCTGTCACTGCTAGCGAAGTCTATAAGTGGTATGTTTGTTGTTTGCATGTTATGCGTGTGCGCGTTTCCTTGACATGTGTTATTTTGCAGTGCCAAAAATCATCACGACATTGAGAGCTCCAACGAGAGTTTATTAGTTTATGGGTATATGCCAACTTGACTAGTGGTTGTATTGATTTTGCTCATTACCAATGATACAATAGACACGGCGACGGTGGAGGCGGTCCTACACCTGAAATGTTGGAGAGACTTGAAAGAATGCGAAATGTGGACGGATTGCCTACTGTCAAGCCTGGAAGTGCAACGCAGTTTTTCGAGGGCCTCGAAAAGAACTCGGATAGACTACAGTCCTACAAAGGAGAATTGGTATGCAGACAGAGTTGCAAACCATCGTTTTGTACACTTGCGCTAAACGCCTCTTGTAGTATCTTGAGTTCCATCGCGGCACATATACCTCTCAAGCTCTTGTGAAACGAGGTAATCGCAAAGGCGAAGTCATTATGAGGGATGTAGAGATCTTGGCTACAGCTGCCAAACTTCTTTCCAATCAACAGAATGGATCAAACTACAAATATCCGATGGACGACATCAATCGCTTATGGAAACTGCTTTGCCTCAATCAATTTCATGATTGCTTGCCCGGATCTGCTATCAACTTGGCCTATGTCGATGTTCATAAGGTTGCTATTATTTGCACATACGACGGATACCAGTATTAATACATGCGTAGTTCCATCGTCAAGTCATTTCTGAATCTTCTTTATTGCGCCATCAATCGCAATCCTTCCTCATCTCTGAAAGACCTACAGATAGATCATCAGACAACGACAAAGAGAATCAGGGTGTCATTGTATTCAATACCCTGCCTTGGACTCGATCTGAAGTCATTGTATCTCCAGAAAAGGGCACTAAATGGTCTAGCCAACAATGGAAGGGTGAATATGAGTATTTGCTTGGTAAACATGGAATGAATGACCTACATGACATGAGCAATGTGTGAGTTGACATTTTATCATAGTGGAGAATGTGCCTGGTCTTGGGGCTTCTGGCTATGTTGAGCATGCAAAGGATTTTACATCTGTTTCTGAAGAGAAAGCAGCACGTGGTAGTATCTGATCTGAGTATTGTTGAGCAACAATCTAACACGATGGTTTATACGTAGCCTACGCAACCAAAGATGGTCTTTTTGTATTGGAGAACAATCATCTCAAAGCTTCATTCGATACAGATGGTCAGTTAGTAGAGTTGCTTGACAAGAACTCCAACAGGTAAAAGGAAAAACGAGTTGTTTAGTTCAATTTTGCTGATAACGCTGCATCACAGAGGTAATCTCATTCCCAAAGACTCCCGTGGCAACATTTTGCAACTGTATGAGGACGTGGTATGCATATATATATATATATATACACTAGTTGTAGGAAGTCAGTCTGTTAATTTCTCTTGAAATAGCCTACTTACTGGGATGCTTGGGATGGTGAGTTTCTTTAGACATGACGGAATGGAGTGAATGACTAACGACTGTTCTTATAGTTGAGATCTATCACCTTCAGAAATATGTCGAATTAAGGGGCCAAAAAAAGATGCATATTGTCTCCAACGGACCTCTGAAAGCTGAACTTGCCTTTGAGCACAAGATTTCTGATGTGAGCACCATTCAGCAAACCATCAGTCTTTCTTGTATTGGTGATCGTTTGGAGTTTGATAATCTGGTTGATTGGCATGAAAGCCATCAATTCTTGGTAAATACGGCACACAAATCAGGCACACACACACACACACACATACACACTACTCACACATGACATCTGTAGAAAGTTGAGTTTTCCTGGGACATTGTTACGGATTATGCGACTTATGATATCCAATATGGTGTTGTGAGACGCCCTACGCACTACAACACGACCATTGATTCTGCCAAATTTGAGGTAAAAGGAGGACATGGTGTGGTTTATTGCAAGCTAACATGATAATAGGTGTGTGGTCATAAATTTGCAGACATGTCTGAATCAAACTATGGCATTGCATTGATCAATGACTGCAAGTATGGCTATGCTACGCATGGAAAGACGCAACGCTTGTCCTTGTTGCGTGCACCCAAGGGTCCTGATGAACATGCTGATATGGGTAAGAGCCAATCTTCAAGAATGGATGTTTACGTATAGATCCTAACAGCCAGTGGAATGACAGGTCAGCACAAGTTCAAGTATGCCATCTACCCTCACCAGGGCAACTTTACTTCGTCCACTGTTATGCAGTCTGCTTTAGAGTTCAATACACCTCTTTCTATTCGGTGAGTGTTTTGGAGATCAAATAGATGGATACAGAGAGTGGTAGCTCATATGAATGATACAGACATGCCAAGGGCAAGCGCCTCAGTAGTGGCAAAATTGTGCCCTCTCTGTTCACTGTAGATGGCTCGAATCAAATCATCATTGATACAATCAAACTCGCTGAAGATGACCAAGGTAAAGGCAAGCAAGTTATTCTGCGTCTTTATGAAGCCTATGGAGGCAAGAGCAGTGCCATTTTAAAGAGGTATGTATAATGGTAGTGCTGGATATTCGAGCAACAAAGCATATAACATTGATCCTACTTGTAGTCATTTGAAGATCAAACATATCCAAGTCTCCAATATCTTGGAAGACGATACCAATCATGATTTGGAGGAGAAAGATGGCGGCTTCTTGGTCACACTTGGAGCATTTCAAATCTTGACGCTGAAGGTTGATTTGGATTAGTGTTTTATTTTGATTTCATCGAGTTCAATAAAGGTTAGCTTAGGACAATATATATATATGCTGATGGCTATGATTCTTTTGCTCTCAGATGGTATAGCACCATCACTCAACCTTTCAACAAGGAACCTATTCATGTCATTTTAACATATGGCAATGCCCGGAGGCCGAAAACATCGCTGTTGTTGAACAAGGTTCATGCAAAACAAATACGCCAAAGGCTTTTCTTTTTTCTCTGTTGTATCATGTTTAAAAAACTAATACTACTTGCCTTCATAGCGCCAGCAATAAAATGTCAGCAGCAAAGTAAAGACAGCTACAAGGAAAACTATGGCTTATACAACAACGTGTACAACTTTCCAAATGACTGTAAGCCTGAATCTGGAAGAACATGTTTCTACAATAAGCTGACGAAGTTCAATGATAGCAACTACAGAGAATGCTGGCGGTTATAGTGTAATAGAGAATCTCATCAAGCAAACGGAGAACGGACTCGAGATCCCCTTGCTGCTAAAAAGAAATGAAAGCTTTTATGGTCAAGCCATCCATGATTTGATAGTAAAAGTAGATTACGAGACAAGCGAAAGACTTCATGTCAAGGTATTCTTATGAATTGCAGCCTGCGATGTAAACATGCCGACTAACAGAGAACATACATAGATATATGATACAGAGCAAAAGCAAGTGCAAGTACCGGACTCTCCACTGGGTTTGGTACGCCCTCATGCTCAGACTACGGCAGGCAATCGTCGCAAGAAGACCACAGGCAACTACAAGTTCACATACACAAATAACTCTCACTTTGGATTCCAGATCACCCGTCAATCAGACAATGCCATCTTGTTTGACACCACTGGTCTTCCTCTGCTTTTCGAGGATCAGTATCTCGAGATTTCAACACGTCTGCCTGACACCAACATATACGGCATTGGAGAGACGATTGCACCCTTCAAACGCACGCACAATGTCACCACGTTATGGCCCAGAGATGCGCACGACAAGTACCAAAACATGTACGGCGCGCAGCCATTTTACATGGATATACGGCCCAACGGCACTGCATCGGGCACCTTTTTACTGAATGCACATGGTATGGACATTGTCACCACGGAGAATCGCATCACCTATAAAGCCATTGGCGGTGTGCTAGACTTTTACTTTTTTGTTCCCAACGATGGTCAGCCAAATTCAGTCGTCCAAGCGTACACTACACTAGTAGGAAAACCCATGATGCCCTCCTTGTGGATGCTGGGCTATCAAAATTGTCGCTACAAGTATCCTGACATGGATCATGTGGAGAGGGTAGTTCGTTTACACAATGAACACAATATACCTTTAGAGACACAGTGGATTGACATTGACTATATGGATGCTTGGAAGGACTTTACGTTTGATTCCATCCATTTTCCTCGAGATCGCATGGTGCAGTTCTCGGATCACCTACACATCAACAGCCAAAAGTTTGTCGTCATGGTGGATCCAGCCATTGCAGTGGATGATCACTATGCGCCGTACACCCGAGGCCAGGACATGGGCGTGTTTCTACAGAATGCTGATGGAACAGAATACAAAGGCTTTGTCTGGCCCGGCTACACTGCCTTTCCAGATTGGTGGCATCCCAATGTAACAGACTACTGGCACACATTGATTATCGACTGGATGCAGCTTCTCAAATTAGATGGCTTGTGGATTGACATGAATGAGCCATCTTCCTTTTGCTTGGGATCTTGCGGATCGCTAGGTGAGCCACATCCCACTGTGTCGCCTTGGATGAACAATTTGACAGAGCAACTGCGGCTGCATACACTGCAGGAAAGTGCTTTGAATGCAATGCCTACGCCTGAAGGAGAGACGAGAAACCTCTTGTACCCAAAGTATACCATCAACAATGGCGCTGGTAACTTGTCAGAGAAAACGGTAGCGATGAATGCTAGGCATTATGGCAATGTGTCGCATTATGATCTACACAACTTGTACGGTCATGCAGAGGGCTACATCACACGAGAGGTGCGTATTTAGGTCAATCCATTACCGCGCGAGATGTTCATTTTATATATATGGTAGGCCATCAAAAAGTACAATGCATCCTCGAGACCCTTTTTGCTCAGTAGATCCACCTTTGCTGGTAGCGGTCAATACATGGGACATTGGACAGGCGACATAATGTCTTCTTGGGATGACCTCAAGACCTCTATTGCCGATGTGCTCAACTTTCAAATGTACGGAATCAGCTACTCTGGTGCTGATATATGTGGTTTCGTAGGCAACACGACTGAGGAATTGTGCACGCGTTGGCAATCGCTAGGGGCGTTCTATCCATTTGCTCGTAACCACAACGGAGAGGGTACCATTGATCAAGAGCCCTATTTATGGGAATCTACAGCTGAGGCTACGCGTCGGGCACTGGCTGTCAGGTATGCACTACTACCCTACTTGTACACCCTGTTTGAGGAATCACATCGCTTAGGTACAGGCGTCTGGCGTCCTCTGATCTTTGAATACCCTCAATATGCAACTGATTTTGCCGAAAACGATCAGCAGTTCTTGGTAGGCACAGATATACTTGTGTCTCCTGTCTTGACGCAAAGTGAACGCAGTGTCCAAGCTCAGTTTCCACCAGGACTCTGGTACGACTGGTATAATTACACTCTGATCAACAGCACAAGCACAGCTGCTACTCAAATCGACGCACAGTTGACGCATATACCTGTGCATATTCGAGGCGGTGCTGTCATTGTCACAAAAACGCCTAAATTACTTGTCGTAGAGACTTATGCCACAGCGTTTCATCTTTTGATTGCGTTGGATCAAAAGCAGCAGGCGTATGGAAGATTGTACATGGACGATGGACATTCTGTGGAACCGACTCTCAAATCCAACGTCAATTTCATCTTTATCAACAACACACTTGTTATCAATGGCCAGTTTGGCTACCTGGATGCAGAGAGCATCGGTAATATCACCATTCTACATGGTGACCGTGATAGTCTATCTTATTCAAATGCAACTATCATCAGAAACAACAATCCGGACAAAGTGTATAATGCAACAACATATGATACACATACCACATTCGTTACAGATGGCTCATTATCACCAACTCAAGGTTATTCAATAAAGTTTCAGTGAATGCCATCAGCGGATACACATTCAGTTCAGAGTCGAAGAAATGATTAGCTCTTTTGTTTTCATCAAGTAATCATTGAAACCGTACAATTTACGAAAAAAGTGTCGTCGTGACCGATCAGGAACATATGAAATTTATTTACAAGCATGCAAATGAGATTCCGAGTGAAATAATATCCGTGAGGATACTCACATTCGACTCAAACCTCAAATGAGATTGAATCTTGTTGTTGTTGGTGAACATAAGCACACTCAGAATCTGCCAACTGTCAACAGAGATTTCAGCCATCGTTCCTATCAGTATTCTGATACAGGTTTTAAAAGATATCCCCATCGCACATCGAAATATCTTTTCAACCAGTGGCAGTAGTCTCTTTCAAATGAATATATTGCCTACATGCTATGTTGAAATACTGCAAATTGTGATTAGGAAGTTGCCATTGCGTATATTTTGGTGGTGAGCCAAGCTGACCGGCATTGTCAGATATGAATATACCCAGCAAAAGCAAAAGAAAGCATTCAGGTTAAGCCATAGTCCTTTCAAATCTATGATCCCTATTTAATCAGAATCACAATCATCATTGACATTATCAGAAAAGCATGTTGGTCAGCCAGCAGGGCCACCCACCGCCACCACCAACCAAAAATTATTCAAACTCAGCTTAATTTCTTCTGTTCAAAATTGGCCAGATTCTGTATTTTTTCGACTTCTTTAATCTGTTTTGTGAACTATTTCAGCACTCTATTTTGTAATCAATGACATCGCAACACTCTCTTCCTGAGTTGTAGACTCGTGTCGCTTGCAACAACAAGAAGGGCAAACAACGACAACAACAGCAAAATGTTTCATTCAACCCTACGTTGAACACCCCTCCTGCTGACTCGATCCAGAACGCGTCTACAGCTAACACCACTCCTCCCAAACCTATTGCAATGGTTCGACCATTCATGAATGGTATAGAAGAGGACTCGGTATTCATAGACTTAACTACAGTTAAAGATAGAACTCTTCTGGACAAGGCACTTGTCAAGTTCAACGAAGAGGCAGAAAGAGATGATCTGTATGAGGATTTTCTAGGATATCGAAAACAAACTAGGCACTACCTTGGTCACCAATTCTTGGAAACTCTTTGGCTACCAAATGCAGCTGGCCGAAAAACTGTCATCGAACAGGGAATTACCTTGGAGGATGGGACCTACCTGAAGGGCTTTCCCTCTTTTACTGAAGATGCCAACATTGTGCGTATCACTACGGAGAAGCTACCTTTTCTTCCAGCTGTCCAGCTGAAGAAAGAAATGGCGGAGCGCTTCTCTTGTTTTGGAGACGTGTTGGATCATGGTATTTTCAAGACTGAGACTGGTATCTTTCAAGGTGAAGGATATGTCACCCTCAATCTCACCTTATCCAATGTTCCTGATAATGAATGTATGGATTCACATGAAGCTGGAATTGAATGTAGTGGACAGCGACACTTGGAACCTCTCAAGAGAGTTATCATTTGGGACACTCTCTCGAAGGAAGATGACCAGCGACAAATCCTATTGCAATGGGATCAAATGCCATCCTTTTGCCGCCAGTGTCAGAGACCTGATCACTGTCGTGCTGACTGCCCCGACTACCACAAATGGGCAATCTGCTACCACTGCAACAAGCGAGGACATGTATCGAAGAATTGTGATAGAAACAACGCAGAATCGGTACCTGCAAAGGTTTGTGCTGTCGACAGAACTTCTGTTAAGCCCAAGGAACGAAAGGGAGCCAAGCCTACTCCTTTAAAGAGGGCCGATTCTGAACGTCGAAGCAAACCAGTAGAAGACAAGGACCATATCATGCAGGATGCTCCTCAACCTAATGCTGGTTCACCCACCCCTGAAGCTTCTCGACAGCAAACCAAAATGACTGGAGATACCATTATGGAAGAGAACAACACGAATACGAAGTTGTCTGATGCGGATGCATTAAACAGTGTTTCCAAGGATGTGCGCAGATCTTATCCTGAATTTGATCCCTCGAAAGCAGCGAAGAAGTTAACCCGCCAGGAAGGTTCTTTAGATATCGGGTATGCCAGATACCAACACGCTGATACCTCCAACTCCCACAGTGATGCCAGACACATGTCTGGTGATGATATGGATACGATTGTTAGGAATTTGACACCACCTGCGCCTTCAGGTACACCACCTTCCACCAATCTTTAAATATGAATAATATCCACCATCAACTCAAAATAGCCACCCTCAATTGCCGAGGCTTAATCAAATCAGAAAATCCCAAGAAAAGACAACAGTTCATTCGATATCTTCGAACACTAGAATATGATATACTGGTGTTACAAGAAACTCATGCTACCAACTCATCATCAATAGATATACTCAACAATCATTTTAACAGCAAATCAAGTCTCTGGACACAACATTGCGGCATTATAGCACTCAACAAACATTATACAATCAATCTTATATCGGAAGGCATCGATGAGGGACGATATATACTAGCTTCTGTTCACCTAACTCGCGATATACAGGAATCAACAACTACTACACCAACTGCAACTATTCTAAACATATATGGTTGATCATCTCTTCCATCGGCTCGATCAGCCTTTTATACAGAACTCCTTGACACACCCATTGTTAAGAATACTATTACCAACACACTACACAACACTTTTATTATGGAGGACTTTAATTATCAATACAAGCATCGAAGGATGGATGGAACATTGGCTAGTGCCCCTAAGGAATGGACGGATCTGTTAGATGACTACTACATTGACATTTTTGGAGATGACAAACAGATAACATGGCATAGTGGGAGAAACTCGGCCATCTTGGATTATGTGTTTTGCAGTACGAATGCTCATCATCAAATTCCTAGTATCCATCAACAGTATCTCTCTCCAGAATGGACGGATCATGAACTATTAGGCTTCACTTTCAAGTATCAAGACAATAATGGACGAGGATCTGGCAGCTGGAAGGCTAACCCATTTTTGGCTCGCAATCGACAGTTTCGCAAGGCATTAGCCGAATTTCTCTTGGCTAATGAAGAGCAATTTACACTAATCAAATCCTTTTCTACTCCTCAACAACAGTGGGATTGGGTAAAAGCTGAAGTCAAGATTTTCACCAAGTCATTTCAATTTGAAGATCTGAATTGGAGGAAGAAACAACTGCATCAGTTACTGTCCAAGCGAAACAAGATGATGAGACAACACAAGCATAGAGGTTTGGTTTTCCAAGGCCTAGATCATGTCAATGCTCAAATCAAATTACTGCAACACACTATAGCGGAAATTGAGATTCTCAAAGCCGGCAAGTTTTGGAGGGAAAATGGCGAGAAGTCTGCTGGTTTCCTGAAGAGGAGAGCTTTGGCCAGAGAGAATCAGCGCTCTATCACTGAATGGAGGGACCCCACTACTGGTGAACTCTGTCGCGATCAACAGGGTATCTCCACCATAGCGACTAACTTCTACTCTACTCTATTTACTCCTGATCCAACTGATTCAGTAGCTCTTAGTACCTTGATCCGATCCATTCCTGGTTATTTGAAAATCTCTAGTGAACAGCAGGAATCTCTGATGTTATCAATCGACATGGAAGACGCACAACGAAGATGGACAATTGCTGAACAACGAGACGACGATCCTACATTTGGCTCTTTGGATGCTGATATTGGCCTTCTCCCTGATCAAAGAAAAAGCTTATGATCGAGTAAATTTAGACTACCTGCGGCACGACTTGCTGAAATTTGGCTTCCCCCGTCCTTTGGTGAAATGCATCTACAAGTTAATGGGCGACAACCGAATTCGTATCAATCTCAATGGACACTTGTCGTCCGAAGTGGCGAAACTGAGAGGTTTGAAGCAGGGTGATCCACTGTCTCCAATCCTATACAACCTAGCTTTTGAACCCTTCTTGCTGGCCATTATTAACGATCGTCAATTCCAAGGGTACCTTATGGGAACTGAACGAACCAAGCTTCTTTGTTATGCTGATGATGCTTTGGTATTTGTCCATGATTCTGCTGATCTCGCTCGGTTGCAAATACATATGTCCAGGTATTGCGGCGCTTCCAATGCCAAATTCAACTACGATAAGGTGGAGGCTTTTTCGGTATCTGGTAGAGATACATGGGATATTTGGGAGACCTCGTTGGCTCAAATCCACATCAATCATCTACATTCCGTCGAAGATGATGTACCTTTAATCTATTTGGGGTTTCCTTTGGTTCAAAGTCGTCTCCAACGTGTCAACTTCATGGGCTCGCTGGTAACAAAGATCAAAATTGCCACTCAAATACATTCTACTCGGTCACTGTCGGTTGTCGGTCGAGCTACTGTCTTGAACTCTCTTTTGCTCTCCAAACTTTGGTACATCCTACGGGTTACTCCGTTGACTCTGGCAGACTTCAAACAGCTGAGATCTCTTGCCATACAATTTTTGAGAAAGAACATATTCCCCGTCATCCCATGGTCTGTCTGGACTCTCCCAAAGGAACAAGGTAGTCTCGGGGTGATCGACATCCAGCTACAAGCTTCGGCGTTGTACTTTCGATGGTTGCAACCTTTGTTGGTGTATGATCAATCCACCATTGATGCCCATCCTGTGTCATCTCTTCTCAGCCATCACACTCGAAATGTTAACAACTGCCAATTTCACCAAATCCCTTTGCTTTTTCCCTCGTCTCGTTCTCAAGGGTTACTGAAACAACGAACTGGCACTGTGGATATGATATATCGTGCTGTTGATTATCTCCCTCGTTCTTTTGGCTCTGCCCGCATTAATACAGCTATTGCTATGGCGTTGCCACTGCAGGCTGTAGTGTTTGTCCCCTCCCTCCTCCAGCTTCGTGCTTCCTCTTCGTGTCAAAGAAATGATGGTGGCCGACGTTTTTCAGTACGATTCCCGGCTCAATTTCGTCCATTGGAAGGATACTCGCGACCCCTCTCTGCTCACCTGGAAAAGAACTCCCTCCACAGTGTTCAAAGGCCTAGCGACAGGGAAATTACAGTTTCAACCTTACTTCGAGCCAGTCTGTAGCCCAGCTCCTTTAGAGGATTCAGTCGTCTCATTTGCTCCTTTGATTGAGCAGTTTCGTCTCCTTGATGATCAACCTCTTGGTAATGTTCAGGCCTCGGCTAAGGCATTTCGTCGGGCTGTCCTTTCGTCTGTGGTCTCTCCTTTGGCATTGCGCAAAATCTCTGCGTCCAGCTGGAAATTTTTTTGGTCCCTGTCTCTTACCACTGTCCAACGTAATGTGATATACCGTCTCATTCTGGGTCGAATTCCTCACCGTCGATTCTTGCATGTTATTATGCCCAAAGTCTTTGTGTCTCCTCTCTATCCAGTTTGTTTGTCTATGAACGATTCCCCAAGTCACCTCCTCTTTCAGTGTCCTTCTAAAGAGAAAGTTTGGCAGGGAGTCATCTTCGAATTTCTGTGGCCTACCACCTCGATTCTAGATATTAAAGAGGCTCTTCTGCACCTTGATTTCTCCAACGTTTGGTATTGCCAAATTGCTGGAATCAAGCCTTTCCGAATCCTCATCATCACCCTTGGTCAACTGTGGCTTGCCCACATGAGGTTCATCTATGACAATGTTCCTATGGACCATACAGCGATATTGGCCAGTATTCGAACCAGTGTTCGTCAGACCATTGCGGAAGATCAGTGCCATTCCCTCCTGTAATCCAAAACCATTTATTAGATAGTTTTTTTTTATATATAGTTTAGTTTAGTATCTTATTCTTTATATTTTAGCTTATAGTTATCCAAACCTGTATCTAAATTGCACTCGCCTCTTCACTCTGACCTATTACTCTCTGTGTACGCGAAGCAGTCAATAAACAAAATTTTAAAAAAAAATCTGTTTTGTGTGATTCGACTATACAAGTTGTGAAGATCAGCACGTACTTCCTAATATACTCTTGAAATACCTTTCAAGGCGCATCCAATGATACCAAGTAAGATAGATGTTTTGAATAAGCTTTTTGAGTCATTTACAAAAATATGAAATGAGGTTTTTGGCCAAAATGTCGAGATTTTGCATAAGGAGGTTGCACAAACAAAGTTCCAGGGGCTGCTTTGGATCAATAGCATCTTTTTGATTTAATATATACCATAGGAAAAGTCTTCATTTTCAAGGTGAAAAACGCGGTCGTTTGGTTTTCGATGAAAACCATGAGGGGTACCTCATGCTTTCTGGTCGATTTTTGGCCATGCTTTTTTTGGCCCAAAAAGTTGAGCAAAGGTGTCAGGAAGCTACTACTACTCAAGTACATTTGTTTGGTGTCATTCCGGTGGCTCATAAAGGTCTACATGTCAAAATATTTAGGCTCGAAAGCTGTCAGACTCGGCTGTGTTTTGCACATTTGTTTGTCAATAAGCTCATTTTTGTTATGATGCAAAGGCCTAAAGACTTTGTATCTATTAATCTAGATTCAGAGCATGCTACAGAGAGAGCATTAATGTTCGGGTTCATGCCAAATAATGCTACTAGTAGTACTACGAGCGCCCTTGCAACAGTGGATTACCGTAGTCGTTGTCCGGATTTGAAGTGGCGCATAGTGTACTCAAAAAGAAGCCTCAAATCCCCTTATAGAGTTCTCTCTCTCGAAACATCTTCGATCATATAGTATGGTAAGTGAGCGATACATGTATTTTTTGGGCCTTGGGAGTGTTTGCATGCGACAAGTAGAATGAATGACGGATGGATGAATGATTTGCAGTAACGGTTTTTTGGATAAGAAGGATGGATGCATCACACAAATATCTCGACCCAGCACCATCGTTTCCGACATGTCCCCATCCCCAATGTGATGGAAATATGCTCTAGAGCCAGTAAACTTATAAATGCGCCAGTGTATCGAGTCGTTATTCTATCCATGTTCAATTGCAAACACTCAAATGAGAGAGCAACACACATTAAACACACACAAACTTAATAGACCTGTAAAAGAAGAAATAACGGACGTAACAAGCACGGTCGTGGCCACAACAAGGTTGTTCGTTGTATCAACTGTTATCGTTGTGTCCCCAAGGATAAGGCCATCAAGCGTTTCACTATCCGTAACATGGTAGAAGCTGCTGCTGTCCGTGATCTTCAAGAAGCTTCCATCTATGAGGAATACACTATCCCCAAGTTGTACGTCAAGCTCCACTACTGTATCTCTTGCGCTATCCACGCCAGAGTTGTTCGTGTTCGTTCCGCTGTTGACCGTCGCAACCGTCTCCCTCCTCCTAGATTCAGATTCCAGAAGGCTGCTAACAAGGCTTAAATGTAGCATTTTGCATTTTTTAGTCCTTTTAATAATGAAAAATAAATGAGAATATATACAGTATACGGTAGAGTGAGGTGCTTCATGCTGTTGGAGCTATGGATAGGGGTATTTTATTCTAGTTATATGGGTATATAAGCATTGACATTGCACAACAAGAGCGCGCATGCTTTATTGTCCGGTCAGTATCTTTTTTAAACAAGATGCTTGTGCATTGATCTTTTCAGCAGTGTCCTTGAAGCCGCTGATAGCAAGTGGCCAGAGTACAGAATTGACAAAGCCAGTAAGGTCATCAGGAGCTTTACAGCTTGTGGCACTGTTGATGACATTCCTATTCTCAGCTGAACATTGCACACCATTTCTTGTATTCAAATCCAAGATGTAGCCCAAATTCGCACTGACATTGAGTAGAGTATCGCACAATTGACCAAAGCCTAGTGGGTATAGGACGCTAGTTACGAAATCACCCAGATTATCAAAGGATGCTGCTGCTTTGTATTCCAATGCCTCCATCTTTTCAAGGACAACGTTCAGGGGAATCTCTGCATCAAATGCCATGTCTGCCAGGACAGCAGAGGCGCTGGCTTCCATCTCAGCGGAGGCTGGAGAGACACTACTTTGTGCCATAGCAGCGGTAGTCATGAGAGCGACAGGAACTAAAATAAAGGCTTTGACATTGACCATGATGGATGAAGATAAATTTTTGATTTAGCTATGATAAATGGAGAATGAAGACATCTACCAATACTTGACTCCAATTTATACAGTTGCTCAAGTATTATTATCATTCTTTGCATTTTCGTGCGCATTTTCATAAACTCTATACTTGCTTCATGTTTGGCATTTGGATGTCTATTGAAACAAATTAAAAGTATAAACAGTCCATAGAGATGACAAGAGAAAAAAGCAGTGAAAAAATTTTTGAGCGGGAAAACACATATAAATACATGGCGCACACTGCTCCTTCACTGGATTTGCTTCTTTACCCATCAAGCTTTATTCATTCCACTGGTCAACGTAAGTACATTTCTCTCAGTTTGGTCATCTTTATATCATCTTTTTGGCTGCTTTACGTGATGAACAAAACATTATGCTACTAAACCCAGCTCAGTTTGAGATATTCGGTGAAAGAAACTATTTCCATAACTGAAAAAGCTTAACCAAAAAGATATATGAAAATGATACATTTACTTGTTCATTCGAGCTATATATTGACCTTATTTTTCTATAGTTGACATGTCGTATGAAAGCCGGAATCTGACTATACCCCCCAGGCTCATTAGATGTATCGTTTTGATCCTTTTGTAATGAATAAATTATTTTGTGCTTGTAAATGTAATATCCAAATGTCTTTTGTGCAATGTCTGTTACCCTGAAAAGTTCGTCTGATTTCATGATGTCATCTCATAATTTGTTGGGTTACATCCAACACTGTATGTGTTGATCTTGAGCAGAAGGAATTGCTTGATTGTCTTTTTCTCTCCTATTTTCATTATTCTCATCTCAAAATGATAGCTGATGAACATCCATTTGAATTTGCGCCTCAGCAAGATGAATACACACAGCTGTTGACAGAGTTACATAATGAATACTGCGCTGAGCAGCCGTTAGATGTGCTTCAGTTCTGTTCCAACTTCTTCATTCGAAAACTTGAAGAGCAACGCTTGGAGCACAGAAATAACCACCATTCCCGTAACAACTTATTTGATAGTAAAGTATATTCTGCCACGAGCAAAGGGTTGGATGCTAACGTGCTCTTTTAGCCAATGATACCAGTAATGATTTACATCCCTTATGTGAGCAACCACAAGAAGACTTTTCACAACAGCAAGGCATCCAGTGGGAAACCACGCATATGGGTCATCCCAACGATTATGGCGTTAACGATGATAATGATGATGATCCGTTGGAAGATGATGATGATGAAGAATTTGACAAATTTTCAACTGAACCTTTACCCTCGCTGCCTCCCACAAACTATAACCGTGGTCGTCGTACATCTGTTAGCGCAGAGAGCATGGCACCCAGCGCCAACCAAGACTTTGTCAAGGTCATCATTCCCAAATCTCAGGCACAAGCAGAGCGCATCAAAGTCTCCATTAGCAGCAACTTTTTGTTTCGCAACCTGGATGAAGAGCAGTACCTGGATGTAGTAAATGCCATGTCTGAAAAGCGCGTCGTCAAGGGAACCACAGTGATTGAACAAGGAGATGTTGGTGATTTTTTTTATGTAGTCGAGTCGGGTACTTTGGATTGTTTTATTGGGCAAAACAAGGTTACCAACTATGAGGCAGGTGGTAGTTTCGGTGAATTAGCTTTAATGTACAACGCCCCTCGTGCTGCTACTATTATTACAACATCAGACTCTGTGCTTTGGGCCTTGGATAGAATCACCTTCCGCACCATCTTGATGGAGAACACCTCACGCAAAAGACGCATGTATGAATACTTCTTATCAGAGGTCGTGTTGTTAAAATCCCTGGAGTCATATGAACAGCATAAAATTGCGGATGCTCTTGAATCAGTGTATTTTGAAGATGGACAGGAGGTTGTGAAGCAGGGAGATGTCGGAGATCAGTTCTATATCATTGAATCGGGTGAAGCTATCGTGTTGAAGGAAGAGAATGGCGTTCAGCAACAAGTGAATCAGCTTCAGAGAGGATCCTATTTTGGAGGTAACATGGAGTGTTTATTTATCTTTTTTTTTTTTTTTTTTTTTTTTTTTTTTTTACAATGTATCGCTAATCACCATTTGGATAGAATTGGCATTGTTAAACGATGCTCCTAGAGCTGCAACTGTTGTTGCTCATGGCAGACTCAAATGTGCTACACTGGGTAAAAAGGCATTCACTCGTCTTCTTGGCCCTGTTTTGGACATCTTGAAGCGCAATTCAGAGAACTATCATGCTGTCATTAACCAGCAATCATAATTGCACCAAAATACATACTAGATTTCAAATAAAAACCATTCTTACTTTCCGATCTGATGGTCACTGTCTGCAACAAAACGACAGGAAAAGAAACTTGATTTGTTTCCTGACCAACAATGCAGTTGATCTCCTTAAACGACAAAATGCTCTCTATTTTGACCTGAAAATATAACCTCCCTTGTGTTGTATTTTGTTGCTTTTTTTCTTTTCTTTCTCTCTCTCTCTCTCTTTGTTATTAAGAAAATATGACGGATATGATTCATAGTATGGAAGAGCAACCATTGATGAGCCTCCCACCTCCAAGTGTACCCAGTTCCTCTACTTTGCCAGGCACAGGTATTGCTAATTTACCAAATCAAAGACATAAGATTGTTGCCAAAAATGGCGCCAATTTCACCATCATGGTTTGTGGTAAGACATGTATTTGTAGTGAAAGGATCAAATGATTTACGTTGCATGAATTGCTTAGGTGAATCGGGTGTTGGAAAAACGACATTTGTAAACACACTGTTCACATCCACCATCAAGGAGCCAAAGAATCTTACAAAGAGACATCTCAAGACACCTTCCAAGACTGTCCAGATCCAAATTACAAAAGCAGGTAAGCAATACTCACATGGGCGCACCATGACAAGCTCTTGACAAGTAATATAGAGCTGGAAGAAAAGATGTTCAAGGTCAAATTGACCATCATTGACACACCTGGTTTTGGTGATTATGTGAATAACAGACATAGTTGGATTCCGATTGTGGATTTCATTGACGACCAACATGAGAAATACATGCGTCAGGAGCAACAGCCTTGTAGAAAGGGTGCTATTGATATGCGTGTTCATGCTTGCTTGTATTTCATCAAACCAACTGGCCACACGTAAAGTATCTCTGTAGATGGTCTACGCTCCCTGATTATACTAATCTACCTTCTCCTTAAGACTGGCTCCATTGGACATTGAAGTGATGAAGCGTTTGGGTTCTCGTGTCAATCTGATCCCTGTCATTGCCAAAGCCGATACTTTGACACCCATTAATTTGGACAAATTCAAGCAGAATGTAAGTGTTAAAAGTGTATCCCAAGGACCAGTGTATTCATATATCCGATGACACCAGATCAGAGAAGTCATTGCAGCACAGAACATCCAAGTGTACACTTGTCCTATCGATAGTGACGATGAGTTTATTACCAAGAGAAATCGTACCATCATGGCAGCATTGCCGTTTGCTGTTATTGGATCCACTCAAGATGTGATCACCATGGACGGTAGAAAAGTAAAAGGGCGGGAGTATTCCTGGGGCGTCGCTGAAGTCGAGAATGATGCTCACTGTGATTTTAAAAAGCTGAGAAGCTTACTGATTCGAACACACATGTTGGATCTCATTACTACAACTGAAGACAATCACTATGAAAACTATCGCCAAACTCAAATGGAGACTCGCAAATTCGGTGAGGCTCGTTCTCAGCCCAATGAAAACGCAAAATTCAAGGAAGATGAGGAATCCTTGCGCAAGCGATTTACGGATCAGGTTAAATCTGAAGAGCAACGTTTCAGACTATGGGAGAAGCAGGTAAAAAGGCAAAGAGTACATCAAATGGGAAACCCTGGTTTACTAAACTGGCTTTGTTCTTGTAGTTGTTGAATGAAAGAGATCGTCTTCACAAGGAATTGGAATTACAGGGCGAGAGAATCAAAGAGCTGCAAAATGAGTTAGAGTCTTACTACTATCATCAACGTGATAAATCTATCAGAAAGTAATTTTACATACTGGCTACTTGGTATAGTCATTTGATCATTAGTGATAAATTAAAAATCTATAATAATAATCGATCCATTCGTGTCCCTAGCAGTATGATAAACTGCCTATTGAGATTTACCACAAGAGCAATTCTTTTGAGAAGTAACCTTACATGAGCCGTATTAGACTATTCTTGAGCTAGCTCTCATTTTTAGTACTCCATCTAATTAGCAACGAACATTGTGTGATTGCTGTGATTGCTACTGATGTTGATAATGTTCTTGTAGCTGTTTTGCGGAAAGAAAGCACTAGAAAGAAAAATGACAAACCCGAGATAGATGGAGAGCATTCTGCATCATTAGATTCATTATAAAGATGAGTAAAGTGTTTGATTTCTATCACTCTACCGGGTTCATCGTCTGTCTCAAACAAGCACTCAATGTCATTGATGTCAAATTGTACGCGTCGAGCACCTTTCCTTGCCACCAGGCGCTTCTTCCTTCGATAATGCTATCTTCTCAGAAAATCCATCACCAGCGGACACCAATTGCATCGAAATACATTTTGATAAGTATCAAAAGACAGCATAGACAACTGAACAGCATTTGGTTCCTTGGTTTCAGCTACTTCTTCGCTTGATAGTAAGGAGGACCCCATAAATTGTCTTGAAAATCCAAATGAATGTGATAACCTGTCAATTAAGGTCAGTATCGCATAGACCAATTCTCATTTAAAGCCCTTACTGTTCATAGCCCATGCTTATTGCCAGTTTCTTCATCTGCTGCCCAGTAACCGTGCCAGTAGATGCCGTCCACGTCTTTTGTCTTGTGTGATTCATAGTGCATTGCACAATCTAACTTGCTTGATATACACAGTATCAACAAATGTGGCATCACTGATTGTTGGAGATGCGGATGCAGAGTCTGTAGTACCTGATGATTTCTTTCTTTTCTGAGAACCTTAGCCATCTCCAACCTTCGTATCAAGCTATGAACACTGAGGTTTACCCAAGTTGTTCGTGTGCTTTCAATCGATAAGTTTTCGGTATTGCTATTTGCACCATCTAAAACTACCAACTGAACCAATTTGCTAATTCTTACAGTTATTGAAATTTACATCCAACACCAATAGACACCTTTCTGGCATGTTTGCTTTCATTACAGTGGAAAAATACAGAAAAGAAAAGGCCGCTGTCAATCGAAATTTTGATAAATTGATATTCGGGGATGCCGATACACACATGTTTCATGTAAATTGATAGTTTTAACCAAAATGTGTTTCTGTTACTGAGCAATCTGCTCACCATATCAAGCCATGCATTTCATTCAAAGTAAGCTTGACAATCTGAAATGACCAAATTATTGCGGTGCACATGAACATTGCAATCAGCCAACCACTTGAGCTTATAATACCGCTTTTTCATTCATATCTCTACCTTTTATATAGTAGGCGTTGTTTAATTTATGAGTATCTGTAGCTAACAACACTAAAGTTCACTCAGAGTGCATCTCCCTTCAACCTCACTGCAAGACCAACAGGTGATCCGGACTTTGAAATCATTGTCCTTCAACTGATCTCCTGAACCTTGGATTTGACATCTCAAAGCATTTTGGAGGGATACTACAGGTGGTTTTATTACATAAGCAATAGGTGTTTTCTAGGCTCGTAGGTGAAAAAACAAGTGAGGAATTTGATGGTCCAACTTTCAAAGCGATTAGTATATTTTGTGATGAGCAATTTTGAAAAACCTAAATTACGTTTTTCAAGAAAAAGTACACAAAACGTATAGTAAGTTTACTGGAAAACGTTTTCAGACGGTCATGCAAGTTTTTAAAAGTATTTTGAGCATAGAAACACCATAGTAGAAAATGTCAATTTTGAGGTGAAAAACCTCATTATCTGAAATCTTCAAATTTTCCCTTGCTACTACAAGGCCAAAATGGTGAAATTTCGATGATCAATTTGTTCCCAAAAGAAATTCTAAAAAGTAATCATTAACCTAATATCAGGCCGTAGAACACGATTGCACCTGTTTTTAAGCCGGGATCTTGGTTGGTTGACAAGATATAAGCGTTTGAAAACTTGGTTTTTACAGTGGCAAACGTGTTGAGAGGGACTCTACTCGACATCTAGTGCTTGGAGCTTTAGCCTCATAGCTTATAACTACTTTATCTTGACAAATAGTGCCTTAACAAACTTTCATCTCAACGAAAAAGACGATATATGAAATGCATTCGTACATATTAGAGGGCGATGTTGCTAAAATGCAAGAATTTGGTTAGAGATTTATAGATTTGGAAGGCAATGTCCACGGAAAGAATGATGATGGAATAACATCTTGTTGCCAATCTACGCAAAAGATGATAAATCTAATCCGCTTTCTGCTTATTCTATCAAAGATTGCTTAAAGGGGGTCTAATGTATCTACATTTGCTCTGTGTGCTGTTATTCTGGCCCACATTAGGTTTTTTGATCCTTAGTGCTTACAGGTAATATGCCTAGACGCGCCATTTGTCACTGAAGCATTTCATAGTTGCGTATACATTCTACATCGAGAGCTATTCAGGCTTTAAAGACACTCACGCACTACGACCCTGTCTTCAAGTATATCCTTTGCATGGTTTGAAAGAGTATCCATTTTGAACAGCCAAATGCCAAGCGCCTGTCAGCAGCAGCTCTTGTCTGAGATTTTATCAGGTTTGACAGGCTGAAGATGTTGAATTGATTGATTCTTCTACGGTTCTCTATACGCAATTTGCTCTCTCTTTTCTATCTACCTTGTTTATACAACAATACGTAATCTCTTCCGACTGAAATATGGTTAAATGCTTTCGAACAAGATCAAAATGCATGGCGGACAGCTAGAAGCATGTAGATGGTTATGCAAGGCCTGGAAATCATTCGTTGAAAAAAAAGTCATGATTTGCGAATTGTTAGAATGCAAGTATTCGACGTACAGACATTGGTTTGGAAGCTTCTGATTTTATGCCGAAAATATAAAGTTAAATGATTAGCCTTGAGAATTCTACACAATGTATGTCATTGGTTTCAAGATAAAGAGTAAAGTTTATTAATAAGGATGTAAAGAATTGTAGTTGGGATAGACGTATTATTATACAAGAGGGGATGATTGCTTTTTAACATTAAATGTATCTATTGCAACCGCGTTAGAAGGGGAGACCCACACAAACACTACAGATGTGCTACTTACTCAAAACTTCAACAAAGGATGCTTGCTTCTTGGAATCCAATTCTTTGCGAGCTTCAATTTCAGATGGGTCCAATTTACAGATCAACACAGGACAAGGACAGTGCTTTGTCAGGTAACTAGACACTGAACCTATCACAGTTCTATATCACGGCAACATCAGTACGATGATTGTTTCAAATATAAAAATACGTGTTTACCTTTTGACAGCACCGAGACCACGAGAACCAGTCAACAAGTAAACAGGCTTTGACATGCGACAGTAATCTGTAATGGACTCTTTAGGGTCACCTCGTAAGATTTCAGATGTAACGTGAGAAAACTAAGCATGTCCATCTGTCAATCATACATCCTCTCATCAACCCACTAACTTGTTTCTACTTACGCCAATCTTTCTTAAAGCGTTGATCACCTCATAGATCATTGCATCAGCAGCACTGGCCATATTGGAATCAAGTACACTTTCATGAATACCACCCGAAGTACCAGAAGCAGACAACATGGGAGCAAACAGATTACGATAATCTGATTGACTTACAATATGGAGAAGACGGATTTCATCACTAGGTCTAACCAAGCCAAGACGAATGGATTTAGAAATCATAGCATCACCGTAATTGGAGTGATCATAAGCGACTACCACTACACGACGCTTCTGCGTGTGCTTTCCATGAGTGGATGGTTCTCCTCCCAATTCTGCGTCAGTGGTTGTAGGACTGAGAGGTGATGCAGGTGATGGGAAGAAGCCTGTGGGCAATGCACTGACGTTTTCTAAGCGTTGATCGAGGCTTTGAGAGGGTTGTTGTTGTTGTTGTTGTTGTTGTTCCATTTTGTTATTATTATTTGTAAGAAATGAGAAGGTTGATGATTGCTCTATTTATACAAAAAAAAGCTGGATTGTCAGCTAAAGAAAATGACGGATAAAATGAATTAACATGTTTCATAGGCCCATGCTGTTCGGGAAAAAGCGTCGTTTTGCTTTATGCAACATTTTGCAGGCTGCTGCTGTTCAGTATTGGACAGAACCCCTTTTGCATATGACACTACAATGGCCCGAAATCGTACGACTTTTTTCAATGTGGAGGCGCTTTCAGTTATAGTTTGAGAGTGGCATGTTGCACGATTTCTCGGTTTGCTTGCTGCCCAAAATGGCGCCAAAATCCATTTACCCTTGCTTATTAATTCAAGACATTTGATGGATGAATTAGTGTTGTGTAGTTAATTTTCCTTATGTGAAAAGACAAGATGGGGGGGGGGGGGAGGGGGGCAATCCATTTTGCCATTTTGACATCATATAAATTTTGATATATTATAGTTTGACGTCTATCTAGTTATGCGTCATAAAGTAGGTGAGATAATCGAATCTCATTAGATGCGTCAGATTTGAAATAGTTGGTGCTGATATGAAGCGTACATGTGAGTTGGTTCCATTCTTGTCATAATCAAAACGCATATACATTTAAAAATGACTAGAGACAGCTTCCTTGAATGTATGACACCCTATTTACGGTCAGTAGACGCAGACACCAGATACAAACCATGCTGGTAATAACATGCCTTCAACCAGGAGACTTGCCAAGTTCTGAAACAAATGCCAATCGACCTGACAAAAGGGCTGTTGGCCCGGGATAGCCAGAATCAGGTTGGGAAGCGCGTTCTCTATTCAAAAGGGGACTTCACCCGCGATCCTTTTTAATTCATAACGCGAATATCGCGCAAGCAACAGAATAAAAATCTTTCTTCTCGTTACTTGTAACAACCACAGCAAAAAATGAGCTCTAGGTCTGATAGAGCGAACCGTTTGAAGCAGCTTAGAGAAGCCAAGCTTGGCAAGGGTAAAAAGCAGCACAAGGTACGCACCTCTTGATTTGGCTCCAAGTTCCATTTGCTGAAACTCTTTCTGTAACTACAATAGGCAGACGACGATATTTACGACGAAGTGGAGGAGGATTACGCCCAACAAGACGAGGATTTCGTAGAAGATGACGACAATGCAGGCTACATTTACAATGGCGTGGATGATCAGCATTTCTCTGACGAGTACGAAACTGAGGCAAATCAAGGTAATAGCGTTGCTCTAACTGCAAGTAGTGTGTAGTAACTGATATACGGTGATGATCAGGTAAAAGAAAGAGAAAGGGCAAAAAGAAGGACAATGCCAAGAAGGAAAAGGAATCTGTCATTGCTAAGCCTAGTCAACAAATCAATCGATTTTTTAACAATTCTGCATTGAAAGCTGCTGTGAAGCCTAAACCAGCTCCTGTAAGTTTGACGAGATACGCAAAGTACGCAGTATACTCACATTCGGCATAGATTGATGAGGACGAGTCAAATGATTTCATGGCAGAACTTTTGGCAGACTTTGGTTCTAAACCAACAGCACCAAAACCGTTGGAAAAGAGAGCTTTTGGCAGCAAACCCAAAGCCAAAACCTTCAACCCTTCCAACTTTAGTCTTTCAAGATTAGCACAAAGAGACAACGGTGCTTCTGATATCTTTGTCAAGAAAGAAGTTCAATACAAGACTGTCGGTTCAGCGTCGTCGTTGATGCCACCTCCAGCAACTCCTATCAAAACGGCTACTAAGCATGTCAAACTAGAACAACAGGGCCAAGACAATATGGACACATTTGACGAGGATTATGGAGCCTTTGATATTACTGACGATATGGACATGATGGACGAGCAGTTCCTGAAAAAGGAAGTCGACAATTTGAGCATAAACGAGACACCTGTCAAACCCAACTTTACCACGACCGACAAATCTGCACCACGTCTTGATCTGCAAAGCTGGGAGGCAGCTGACGCGGGCATGGTGGATACATTCAACCAAGATGTTGTTCGCGAAGAAACACAAAACATGAATATTTTCGAACAAAATGGACATTTGCACATGTGGTGGTATGATGCTTATGAGCGTAAAGAAAAGGGCTACGTGTATTTGTTTGGTAAGGTGCTCAACAAAGGCACCAACAAGTATGTCAGTTGCTGTGTCACTGTCAAGAATATCGAGAGAAATCTGTTTGTTTTGCCTCGCAAGCATCAATTGGATGGTAAGATGAGAAGATGAAGGGAGAGAGCGTGGTTGGGCTTATACTGTGTTTGATAGACAAGGGACAGGAGACCAATACATTGGTGGACATGTCTGATGTCTATACTGAAATTGGCGATCTCTGCTCTCAAAAGCGAATTACGAAATTCGCCGTCAAAGAGGTGTCTAGGAAATACGCATTCGAGTTGCCTGATGTGCCTGCAGAGGCCGATTACTTGAAGGTGTTGTACGGTTATGAGCGTAAGTGTCTATTAGGTCACTGGAGCTCCATTTGATTGGGAAAACTAATTTTATGTCTCTTAGAGCCTGCATTTACTGGCGAGGAAAAGGGTAAAACGTTCAGTCGTATCTTTGGTGCCAATACAGGTCCATTGGAGCACTTTTTAGTGAAGCGTGATGTGATGGGTCCTTGTTGGCTGGACATTGCTGATGCAAAGATGAGTAGTACTAGTGTAAGTCATCAAGCAAACCAAGTGCTACTGACTGTGTCTAATAGTCCTGATATAGGAAACATGGTGCAAGACAGAGATATCAGTCGAGGATCCCAAGAAAGTAAATCCATTAGTAGATGATGAAGGCAATCGACCTACCCATGTCCCACCGCTTGTTGTCATGTCTCTCTGTCTGAGAACCATCATGAACGAAAAGAAGAACGTCAATGAAATTGTAGCTGCTGGTGCTCTCATTTGTGACCAAGTGCAAATTGACGATACCGTACCTATTGAAAAGATGAGCAAAGCAAGATTCACTGCAGTGCGTCAACTGGATGGTAAACCTTATCCTGCCAACTTTTCCGACATGGTGGCAGCTGAAAGACAAAAGGACAATGGTCTGCAAATTCAAGTAGACAGAACAGAGGCTGCCATGTTGAATTTCTTACTTGGTAAGTTTGTTAATTTGATTTAGGGTTTATGCCCTGACTAAACTTCTGTAACAGCGAAAATCTCCATGTATGATCCTGATATCATTGTCGGTCACAACTTTGCTGGTTTCGATCTCGATGTATTGCTTCACCGTATGAAGGCGTTGAACGTTCAGCATTGGCATAAATTGGGTAGACTCAAGCGTAAGAACTGGCCTAAACTTCAAGCGGGTGCTGGTGGTGCTGGTGAATCTACTTTCCAAGAGAGACTCATCATGAGTGGCCGTCTTGTCTGCGACACTTATTTGGCATCCAAGGATCTGATCAAGAGCAAGTCTTACCGTATGACAGATCTCGCTCAATCACAACTCAAAATCCACCGTGAGGACATTGAGTTTGGCAAATCAGCACAGTACTTTGACAGTTCAGAAACACTACTTCACCTGCTAAGACACTGTGCTTTTGACGCCTTTTTGGCCTCCGCACTCATGATCAAGCTGCAAATCTTGCCCCTGACACATCAATTGACGAATTTAGCTGGTAATCTGTGGTCCAGAACAATGACAGGTGCCAGAGCTGAGCGTAACGAGTTCTTATTGCTGCATGAATTCCACAAAGCGAAATACATTTGCCCTGAAAAGTCATTCGGTGGACCCAAGACAGCCGTGGTGCAAGCAGCCGAGCAAGATGGAGACGAAGATGCGGTTGCCATGGCATCCAGCTCCAAGAAGAAGGCAGGTGGCAGAAGAAAACCTGCATATTCTGGTGGTTTGGTTTTAGAGCCCAAGAAGGGATTCTACGATAAATACGTCTTACTGCTCGATTTCAACAGTTTGTATCCATCCATCATGCAAGAATACAATGTCTGTTTCACTACCGTCAACCGCAGAACATTTACAGAGGGAAAGGAGGAGGACGGCGAGGAAAAGGTGCCTGAAGTGCCTGATGAAGCATTGCCTCAGGGCATCCTGCCGCGATTGATCAAGACTTTGGTGGACCGTCGTAGGCAAGTCAAGGGTCTCATGAAAGACAATGTTTCTGAAGCCAGATACATGCAGCTCGATATTAGACAAAAGGCATTGAAGCTCACTGCCAACAGTATGTACGGTTGTCTTGGTTTTACGTACTCTCGTTTCTATGCCAAACCACTGGCTATGCTGATTACACACAAGGGTCGTGAAATTCTTCAAAGCACTGTCGATCTCGCTGGTAGCCTCGACATGAATGTCATTTACGGTGATACGGATTCCATCATGGTGTATACAAATCAAAGCGATCTCGATGAAGTCAAGAAAATGGGGCATCTGCTGAGAAGAAGCGTCAACAACCACTACAAACTGCTGGAGATCGGTATTGATGGCTACTTTAAGCACATGCTGCTGCTAAAAAAGAAGAAGTATGCTGCTCTTCTCGTGGAGGAAAAGCCAAATGGCGAACTGGTAGAGACAGTAGAGACCAAGGGTCTTGATCTGGTGCGTCGTGACTGGTGTGATCTGTCGCATGATGTGTCTACGCATGTGCTCGATCTGATCCTGTCTGATAGAGAGCGTGAAGATGTGGTGACTGAGATCCATGCATACTTGGAAGTCGTCGCTGAGCAGATTCGTCAAGGCGATATCCCGTTGGAAAAGTACGTCATTAACAAGCAATTGACCAAGAGGCCACAAGACTACGCTGATGCCAAGAGTCAGCCTCACGTTCAAGTTGCTCTGCGTATGCTTCAAGACGGCCAAAACGTCAAGAATGGTGATACTGTGCCCTATGTGATCTGTAAGGTGGATGATGAGACAAGCGGCGATAAAAAGGGGTCAGCACTGAGAGCATATCATCCTGATACTGTCATCAAGAACAGTATGCAGCTCGACATTGAATGGTACCTTCATCAACAAGTGCATCCTCCACTCACCCGTCTATGTTCACCTATCGAAGGTACCGACCCCACGCTTTTGGCACAATGTCTTGGTCTGGACACAAGACGATTCCATTTCATCAGTCATAACAGCGGCAATAATGATGATGATTCTGAATTTGCTACATTGGACTCTCAAATCAGCGACCAAGAAAGATTCAGATACTCTGAAAAGCTTGAACTCAAGTGCAATTACTGTGGACAAGAGACTCTGTATGAAGGCGTTGTGCGCACACTCGAAGATGGCAAGGTGGAGTGCGGATTTGATTGCTCAAAGTGTCATTTGATGATTACCAGTGCCAGCATCAAGGTGCAGCTCATGCTGGCTGTGCGAAAATACATTCAACGCTACTACGACAATTGGTATGTCTGTGATGACATTACGTGTGGCAACCGTACCAGAACATTGTCCGTGTTTGGCCGTCGTTGCCTTATTGATGGCTGTCGAGGAAGTATGAAGAGAGAGTACACTGATAAGCAAATGTATACCCAGCTTTTGTACTTGTCTTCGTTATTCGACCCCTCAAAAGCCAAGAACAGAATTGCCAATGACTCAAGTAAGTTGTGTTTATGTTTGCTGCTAAGGACTATATCACTCACCTTTATTTCAATAGTCCAAGCAGAATCATTGATCCACAAGCACTATCAGGTGTTGCTATCCACACAATCTATAGTGGAAGGCTATCTGGAGCGTTCTGGCTATCGTCATGTTGATCTTTCCAAATTATTATCACAAATTGCCATTTAGAAGATGTTTTTATTTAATAAAAAGAAACAGAGCGAGAGAGAGAGAGAGAGAGAGAAAGTATAATACAATTAAAGATGATGATGTTTGCGTGTGTGTGTGTGTGTGTTGATTTAAATTTTGACCTTATGTTGCTATAATTTGGGTGCTTTGTAGTATGAATACTCGATTTATAATTTAAGTTCTGATAATGGATCTGCTTTGATTTCTGTAATGTCCATTGCTGCTTCTTTTTCAGTGTCCAATTCGCCAATAGTAACCCTAATCAAGTATCTGTTAGATGCAAGAAATCAATCAAAACATAGAGAGCATCTTACAAATTGTCTCCTCGTAACAAGAACAAGCCAAGCGAGATGACTTCAGTACCTTCGCTGGAGAACACACGCTCATGGCATTTTTCCAGAATGATATTCGATGCTTGGTCTGTACCCCTCAATTTACCCTGTCAAAAGCGAGGCATGTCTTGCATTCAGTATGCGTTTGCATTTGGTGATGGGTTTTGGCATAACTTACCACTAAAACTCGACCGTCAATGGTGATGACCAAGACATCCACTATCGAAAAAGGTTAGTTTGACGCATTGCATTGCTTTGGAGCTTATACGTACGATTTACATAAGGTTGAAGTAAACTCATTGCAATGTAGGGAATAAGTTAATGTTGAAAAACGCGTGGTAGGCGTCTCGATGTCTTCAAAAATCTCTTTTTTCACTCTGGTACAAAGCCTGTCACTGATGAAAGCGCAACGAGCACAACCATTTGAGTTTCAATGCCTATCCATTCAAGCATCCTTTTTGTTTCTTGACAAAGCAACGCTACATGTCTGAAGAAAACGCCAAACTGAACATTGCGTTCGTTCATCCAGACCTAGGCATAGGTAAGTTGACATGGACACGATGGAATAGCGTACGAGTATGGTGCTGAGACACGGCAATGTAGGTGGAGCAGAAAGACTTGTCGTTGATGCTGCAGTTGGCATCCAATCCAAAGGCCATCAAGTCACCATTTACACCAGCCATCATGATAGAAATCACTGCTTTGAAGAGACAAGAGACGGTACATTAGAGGTGCGCGTTCGTGGCGATTCACTGCCTAGAGATATATTCGGCAGATTGTACATCATTTGCGCCATTCTTCGTCAACTGGCACTCGTCATGTGGATTCTAAAGTTTGAAAGAGACGCCTATGACATTATCTTTGTCGATCAGTTAAGCGCTTGTGTCCCTCTTCTCAAGTGGTTTTCATCTTCCAGAGTAAGCACACACACATACACACACACACACAGCTTGACATGACGTCCAGTACTCAAGTAGAAAACTAGATTCTCTTTTACTGCCATTTCCCAGATAAACTCTTGACAAAACGTGATTCTAAACTCAAGGAGCTCTACAGACTACCCATCGACAAATTAGAGGAATGGTCAACCGGCATGGCAGATACCATTACAGTCAACAGCCAATTCACAGCTGGCATGTTTAAAAGATCCTTTCCTGGAATCCTTAAGGTACCTCGAGTCCTTTATCCACCCATCAATTTCGCTGCATACGACAAACACGTAGACTTGGCAGATCCAACAGTGCAAATCATTGAATCGTAAGAGCCTTTATTAGCTGAAATCAACGCTCGCTAATATTCCTATGGATAGACACAAAAAGACGATCGTCTCAATCAATCGCTTTGAAAAGAAGAAGAATGTGGAATTAGCATTGAGAGCATTCGCGTTGCTGAGAAAGGACGATCTGATATCACCAGAAGAGTTTTCTAATTATCGACTGGTACTTGCTGGTGGATACGATAAACGTGTTGCTGAAAATGTAGAATATCTTGAAGAACTCAACACATTAGCCACCAAGACATTCGGCCTCGAAACCTTCACTCTGTTCCCTTCATCCACCGAAACCCCTCCTGCTTCAGCACAAGTCATCTTTCTGTGCTCCTTCAACGATGCACAGCGCACCTACTTACTGGATCAATCCATGCTCTTGTTATATACACCTTCCAATGAACATTTCGGCATCACTCCTGTAGAGGGCATGTATGCCTCCATGCCAGTCATTGCTGTCAACAGCGGTGGTCCTCTTGAAACTGTCAAAGATAAGGAAACTGGATTGATTTTACCTCCAGAGCCAGCGCTTTGGGCAAAGGGCATTTGTGATTTCATCAATCATACGTACGATGGCGCCGAAATGGGTAAAGTGGGTCGCCAACATGTTAAGAGCAAGTTTTCTCTGGAGGCATTTGCGGATCAATTGGAGGATATTTTGGAGGAATTGACAACGGGTGGTAGACCTACTCGTTGGGAGTACGATAATCTAGAATACGCTATGCGCATTGTTGTAGCAATAGGTATATTTGTCTGTTGGTACAAGTATTGGTGATCTACAATGAGCATAAGCTATACAAGAAATAAAGCTCCCCTCCCAGAAGCCGGGTATCGTAACATTTATCTGAATAATGCTGCTTTTTATTCATATCTTTATCATCTTGGTACAAGTACTATGTATAAGTACATGACTCAAATCTATTCTTGTGATAATCGCCAGTTGATAGCTCATGTCTTGGTCAACCCAAACTTGATTTGTATCTCCCCTGACACATTATCATCAACAGATCGTTTTTCCAGTGTGAGCACCACCTCTTTGTTCTCGGGTGAATCATAATCCAGGGACGTTCCAGACGGGTGGATAAGATTGAATAACTGACTGTACGGAACAGAGATTTTCCCCAAGAAATCGTCTTGAATTGCGTCTTTTTTTATCATTAAAATGTTTTTTAATTTCATTTCCGTAAGCTTGTCTTTATCCCATACAAAGATTTCAATTAGACTGATGGGTTTATCGGTTTGTAATGGAATGTAAGCGTGAAAGTTCCAAACAGGATCTAGTGTCTTTTTTGCCACATTTGTCTTGCCCGTCTTTTTGCCACTATAAAAGATTGCAAAGGGTCAACATACGAGTTACTTCTTCCATCATATGCGCCTTACTCGATATAGAGGACAGCATAAGGGTCAGAGAATCCATTGTCATCACTGCAGATTGGTATGGTAGATGTTGGATGAATTCGAGCGCAACAATAAAACGATCAGCATCTTTGCTGTGGTTTGAATCAGAATCGGTACAGACATGTCGCTACTTACGCTACTGCTAGATTGAAGGCTTTCTCGATAGTGATTCGAAGCTTTGTGGCCGAGCTCTTTCTGTTGGAGAGGAAGCTCATGTTGTATTGAACAAAGTTGCAATCAGAGAGAGACAGTTTCATTAAGGATTTCAAAATTTTAATGGCTCAATGTTACATTTGCACTTGCCATGTACAACCCATGTGATGTAGTAACCTAGCCTTCTTTTTGAAGGATGGATCTGATGAATAAAAAGGAGGTAATATGAGGAGGCTGGTCGAGAAGCAAAACTAGAGGCAATCGTAATTAGAACGTGTAACTTACCTTAGAACTGGTAAGATGAAAAGGGGCTGAGGGGGGGCCCCAAGGGAGAAGAAAGAGATGTAAATGTTATAAAATCCATCTAATTCCACCATGGATAATTTGCGAAATCAAGGTACCGAGATTTTTAATGTCTAAACTCGCGGGCACTTTAAAGAAGGTCCAATTTGAAATATGGATCAACTTGTCAAAACGACTTGCCTTTCAACATATGGAGAAACAGAGCCATTGTATCCGAGATTAGCACATTTCTACATTGATATTGGTAGAGCCTGATTGCCTGCATATAATACGCGTGGCTTGATCAGCAAGACAGTTTTTGATGCTGTGTGCCAGTAATTTGAGAGCATGCAACATGCAAATATCAATGAATGTAATATTTTGCCAAGTCATATATAAACACAGTTTTCTGTACATGTGTAAATGTATTCTGTACGTCTGTAAGTGAGCATAAAATCACAATCATAATGATAATGATACGATGTTAGGAGTGAGGTGTATTTAAAAATAGCTGTAGGAAGCTAGGACCGAGAAGGTATTACCTAGTGAATGGTAGTAACAGAACGAAAGCAAACCTTCTGCATGTATTTGCTGTGACACCAAGCTATAGACACCATCAACTATTCCATGCAGCGTAATAGATATTCTCCTTGTGAGTTTTCATTGATGCATGGTATGATTATACACTAGCCGTAAGCGTATATCACTACCTAACCACCATGAGCAAAGTGGTAATCTGTATTGGGGTGGTACATGTATACCATCACTGGAAACTATTTAATATAGAAAAGATAAGGGATTGTGTGTGTATGTGTGTGGCAACAAACATCAAGGTAGATCCTGCTTTTGACTAGATTGAAATGTTGGAAACCAATCAATCTAAGCTCATGCATTCTTTACCTGTTCTTCATCAGAATCTACCGCACAGCAAGGTCCTGATATGCATCACGCTTTGAGAGAGAAAAAGAGAGAGATGCCAATATATAACTATGTGTCCAACGAAAACCGCTACATCTGGCGGCTGTCTATCTATTGATCAAAATGATGTATTCTAAAAGAGTCTGAGCAATATTGGGATTCTCTCCTTTCCACGCGCAAATGCTTCTTTCCGATGAAACATGGATGTATATAAATCGACCAGTTTCGTTTGTAATACATTGATCTGTCGTATTTATATACATATTTACACTGGAACAAAACAGGGATCAGATCCCTCCAAGAATGTGTGGCTTTTTGGTGGTAGTAGCAAAATAGATCTACTGTGCAGTAACAGTGTGTAATTGACAGCAAATTGCAATAAATACAAAATATTGCTATATGAATGATAATTAAATTGCAATCCCCTTGTGCCATGTCGTTTGTTTATATACAATAACATCTTTACTATTCTCTCAGTTTGCCGCTTCTTGTCTTTTTGCATATATGCTGATGCTATTATTAAGTGCACGGATTTTAATCAAAATAATAATAATAGAATGATGCCTGGTTCAGCTTGATTTTACATGGTCGAGATCAAGTGTGCTCTTGCTCACAAGCACATCGCTTTGCTGTTTTGTGTCTCTCTCAATGCGTTTAGAAACGAGAAAAGATAGGCTTACGACTTCTATCTTTCTTTACGTATGTAGATATACTTTATAGGGAGCTTTTTATTCCAAGAGATGTGATGGAAAGGAGAATCAGGATGTGTCAGTTTATACGGAGTGTATCTTGACTGTAGCAGGGGAAATGTATGCCCAATGTCGATAGGAGATTCAAGATGCTTGCATTTTAGTACTCTGTCTGTCCTTGTCAGTCTGTTTCATGAAATGATGAATTGAGCCGAAAAAAAAAAGACTCGATCAGCATTTCATCATCATTATACGGTATTTGTTAAACATAAAATTGGTTTAGAAACTAGATGGAACCAAGCAACTAAACAATAATAAAGTAGCCCCTATATCTTCTCTTTATGGGCTAAGTCTGTACTTACCATTCTATTCTATACATCCTCCCCTCCCCTATTAGATCTTTATACGCTATTTTTTGCTCCTAGTCTATCTCTATACACCGTATAGCTCTCCTCTTATTTTGACCCTTTCTATCATCTTTTTCTCGACATCCCCTTATGTTGTTCTTCTCCTTAATCAGAAAAAAGAGTTGATATAAATACAGTTGAATTTGAGCCATCTGGTGCAGGTTTTTTTCTTTCATCAAGTAATTCTTCTGTAGCAGTTTCAATCCAACTCTCGCTCTCTCTCTATCTCTCTCGTACACACTCTCTCGCATTTACAACATCTTTAAAATGAAATTCATTGGAGCTACCCTTTTCGTCTCTGTTGCTTACGTTGCCTCTCTTGTCTCTGGAGCAGCCATTGTGTCTATTACTTCTCCTTTACTCAACACAAAGTATAAGGCTGGTCAAGAAGCCATCATTTCTTGGATCAATCCCACTGTTGCAACCATCCCTCAAATCATTTTGGCCAAGGGTCCCTCTACTGCTCTTCAACCCATCATGACTATTGCTACCAATGTCAATGCTAATGACTTGAAGTATGTCTGGAAGATTCCTTTCGAGATTGAAAATGGCAGTGAATGTAAGTTGAAATCTCATCATTCACTCAGGTGATGGCATTGACTGATAAAATGTTGAACTTTTTAGATGCTTTCGAGCTCGGAAACTCACCTGATCTTGCTTTCGCTGGTCCTTTCACCATTGAAGGTGGCGTCGGTGGTACTCTTCCCTCATCCAACACCTCCTCCACTGGTACCAGCTCCCCTGCTCCTGCTCCTGCCAATCCTCCTGCTGGTGGTAATGCTGCTGCCACTCCCGCTGCTCCCTCCGCTACTACCGATGGTAACTCGCAAACCTCTCCTCACAACGCCAATGCCTCTCACTCCTCAGCGGCCAACAAGGAGATGGCTGGTCAAGCTATGGTTGCCTTGGGTTTGGTTGCTGCTGCCGCCTCTCAATTCTTTTAATTCTCTCTTTTATACACTCTAAATTACTATTACTTTATACTATTCCCAATTTCTTTTTACTTTCAAAACTGTTACATGTGTACTGTCTTCTTTTCCTCCTTCATTTATAGTAGCTAAACCCAAATTTATTACCATTACAAATAAACTTTGCTAATAAAGTCGATGCTCTCATTACAAACGATGATGATTAATGAAACCGTGTCAATCGAGAAACATGTCCTTCTTTTTAAGCAGACACAGATCAACAAATCTCGTCTCTCTTTCGACGTGCCTTGTCGCGCCTCGAAAGAAAGAAATTTTGACAATCAGTTTATTGTTTCGTTTTTACTCTCACACATTTTTAATGCCTGCCACTGTGAAGAGAACCAACAGCATACGCGACAGTCCAGGGCCTGAGGTAGGTGTTGCATTCTAAACATACGAGAGATGTCTCTCATCTGTGCGCCATGTTAGTCGTCTCGTGTGAACAAGAGAGTCAAGAAAACCGCCAGTTTTCAAATGGAAGAGGTGGAGCAGTCAGACGACGAGGAAGATGGAGTGCCAGGCATGGAAGATTCGCAAGATCTTCTAATTGGAAACGACGACGATGACGATGACGATGACGATGAGGAGGAAGAGGAAGAGGAAGAGCAAATGGACGAGGGCGACAGAAATGTAAACGACATTATCCAGAAGGGCCCTAGACGTAACATGGGGAACTTGGATGATCTCAATTTCAACAAAATGGTAAGCCTTTACTGCTTGTTGCTTTGTGTGCATCTCAGTGGGTACTAGCGTGCATTTCAACACAGGAAGTCAACGAGGCTGGTACCATCTCTCGTGTGGAGTGCGTCAATTTCATGTGCCATAAGTTTTTGCAGATTGATCTTGGACCCAAAATCAACTTTATCATCGGTCACAACGGAAGTGGTAAGAGTGCCATCTTGACTGCCATCACAGTTGCACTAGGTGCAAACGCAAGTGCAACCAACCGTGGTAAATCAGTCGGCTCGTTCATCAAGGAGGGAACAAGGTAAGTAGGAGCTTTGACAAGGCATACTATTAGATAACTGATGATCACTTCGCTAGTGCTGCTATCGTCACTATCCACCTCACTAACAATGGGCCCAATGCCTATCGACCTGACATCTACCCTGAGCGCATTATTGTTGAACGTAGAATCAATAAGGAGGGTGGATCTCCATACAAAATCAAGAACAAGTCAGGCCGTGTTATTTCCACCAAGAAGGAGGATTTGGTTGCCATCCTGGATCACTTGAATTTGCTGGTCAACAATCCGCTCACCATGTTGACCCAAGACATGGCGAGAAAGTTCCTGAGCGATAGTTCTGCTGAGGACAAGTACAAACTGTTCATGCACGGCACCCAATTGACTCAACTTCAGAATGACTTTACAATCATCCGCGAAAGTCTGGAGACAGCTTCAAACACACTCAAGAGAAAGAAGGAAGGTCTATCGAGTTTGCAGGTCAAAGCAGCTGAAGCTCAGAGAAAGTACCAAGACATGGAAGCAGCCAAGGAGGTGGAGAGCAAGATTGACGAATTAAACAACGAGCTGGTTTGGTCTCAAATCATCCGCAAGGAAAAGGAGAGAGATGCCAATGAAAAGCAGATGAACGAACTCCAGCATGAGCTAGACAACATTAGAGAAGCACAGGATTATTACAAACAACAAGTGCATACAGCAGACACTCATATTCTGGCTATCAATGAAGAGTGGGACAAGTTTAGAAACGAGCTGAACCCTGATGAAGAAGAAAGGAATCAATTGATCCAACAAAAGGCTGAAGCAGATATGCAGATATCGACCTACATTGTAAGTTGCTCCCGTATACCCCTCCTCCCTTCAATCCCATACAATAATTGACGATGAGCATTGTAGAGTGATCTCAATGAAATTAATAGTCAGATCAAGGTGACAAAAACAGCCAAACAGAGCCATCAAAAGCGACTAGATGAGGAAACTGAAAAGATGGAGGCCTCTAGTCGTCTCAAGCGCAATGAAATTCTTGACGAAATCAAGCATTTGGAGAAAACAATGGCTGAAAAGGTCGTTAAAGCCAAAAATTTCGACAACGAAGTGCAAGAATTGCAATCCAAGATTACGCAGATGGAGGAAGGCAAGAGAAACCTGGAGCGCGAAATTAGTCAACATCGACACCATAGAGAGGAGGCAACCAAACTCAAGCGAGACATGGAGCATCAACGTGGTGACAGAATGAGAGCGTATGGTCCTCGTATGCCTGAAGTCTTGCAATCTATTCGCAGAGAAACACGCTGGGAGAAGAGGAGGCCTGTGGGTCCATTTGGTGCCACTCTGGAGTTGCTGAAACCCGAATTTGCCACTGTTCTAGAAGGCGTGCTCAACAACTCTTTAAATGCCTTTGTAGTCGAGACGTTCAAGGACAGAGAGACACTCGACAAGATCCTTGCTGAAAACCAGATGAGAAACGTTTCCGTGTTTGTATCTGACTATGACATCTTTGACTACAGCTCTGGCGAGCCTGATTCCCAATATCTCACCGTGCTCCGTGCCCTGAAATTCAACGATGAATGGGTCAAGCGTCAACTCATCACTACCAACAAGATTGAAAAGATGCTGCTCATGTATAACCGTCAAGAAGCCGATGACCTCATGTTCAAAGGCCCTCCTCGCAACGTTGATCTGTGCTTTACTAAAGAAGGCTACAAAGTCGGTGGCAAGCGTGGTATGAAGACCGAGTCTGTTGATTCCTATCGAGGAGCACCTCGCTTCCAGAAGGACATTGACAGAGCCATTGCCCTCGAAGAAAAGAGAGTTCAGGAGGCACTTAAGCTGGAAAACGAAAAGAAAGAAACATACAAAAGAGTAAGCAAAGAGTGCAGAGATCTTGAGCAACAAAAGAAAGATTGCCTCAAATGTTTGCAAGGCGTCAAGAGAGAAATTGCAGGCTTGGAAAGCACCATCAGTCAAAAGAAGGAGGCACTCAAGGAGGAAGATCCTGTCGATTTGAAGATTTTCCACGACGACATCAAAGAGTGCGAGGAAAAAATTAAGCGATACGCCGGCCAATTCAGCGTCATTACCAACTCTCAAGCTCAGGTCAGAGAAACGCTGGCAGAAATCAAGAGAAAGTTACAAGCAATTATGACCAGAGAAGCAAGTAGACGCAACCAGTCAGACGAGTTTCGAAACAAAGTGGGCAAGATTGAGCAGCAAAAATCACGGGTCGTGGCACGCTTAGAGGAACTCAATGTCAAGGCACAGACCGTAAAAGTCCGTCTCGAGAGAAGCAAAAATCTGTGGTTGGAGAGTTCTCGCATGGTGGAAAGCTGGATCGCTCAAAGTGCTGAAGACTATCCGGACCGTATTGAAACCAGTAGAAGTCCTGCCACTATTGAAAAGGATATCAAACACCATGAGGGCATTGCGCAAGAAACGGAGGAACGACATGGCATGACGCTTACTCAAGCACAAGACCAGATGTATGCTGCATTAAAAGAATATGACGAGGCCAAGAAGACCATTGAGGGCCTGAGAAAGGTCCAAAAATGCATTAGCAAGATGCTTACCCAACGTCAGGAAAAGTGGGACGCCTTTAGACAGTACATTTCTCTTGCAGCCAAGAGCTACTTTGGTTACTACCTTCATTTGCGCGGTGATGATGGCTCTCTTCGATTCAACCATCAGCTCAAGAGACTTGAGATTCGTGTTGCTACAGGCGATCAATTCAGCAAGGGTACTCGCCAAAAAGATTCTCGTTCGCTATCTGGTGGTGAAAAGTCCTTTTCTCAAATCAGTTTGCTATTGTCCTTGTGGCAGAGTATCTCGTCTCCACTTATTTGTCTAGATGAATTCGATGTGTTTATGGATGCTGTCAATCGTAAGCAGACCATGAGCATGATTGTAAGTTGCTTTCTTTTTTTACCGTAGAAACAAGTGCTCACATAGATTGGTTTGTAGATGAACGCCGCATGTGATAACACATCACAATACATTCTTATTACTCCTCAAGATGCGAGTAACATGGAACCAGGACCTTATATCACCGTTCACAGAATGGCAGATCCTGATCGCGCTTCTTGAGCACATCCATACAGCCCAAATCAAAGGAACCAAGTACTGTTGTATATTAATGTAAATAAACAAAATCGATATAGCCACAATCCGAAAATTTATTCTACCAACAAAGGCCACCGTTGAAATCAAAGCACTCTAATCCTTGTTTCCAAATATCCACATGCTGTAGTCCCCATTTTTTATCCTGATTGTAAAAGGCGGCCTTCTTGTGCAAGATGGCTTCAATCATGGTCCCGTTCAAAGACTCAGTGTGTCTCTCTGGCGATTTTTCCCATTCATTCGGGTGCTCTTGATGACAAGCAAACGAATCGCCACTGTACACGAGTTTCTTGTCAAAGGTACCCACTGCTGTCAAGATGAACTCCATGTCCATCCACGCAACTCCGCCAGTCTCTCTGTATCCTTTGCAGTCCTTCCATGTGTCTCGGTGTGCCATTGTGAAATCTCCTGATTGATCGCCGTAGTACCAGTAATTGTCGGCATTGATGCTAGCAATTTGAACAGGTGCAGGTAGTGTGTAATGTCCCCAGTCTTGATCCGCTAAACGACATGCTTTGTACAGTGTTTCATCATCAGGGAATGGCTCCAAATTGACGATGCTTGGTGGTAAATTCTCATGGCTAGTAGACACATAGTAGGCCGCATTAGTGCATCAAGGTCAGTCTGTTCGATTCAAACTTACATGTTGTGAGCACTTTGATACTGTACATAGATAGTGTCCTTTTCGAATACACGGGATTTGACAGCATTGATAAAGTTATGTGACCATATGTCATCTAAAATAGCATGTTGGCAAACAAGTGTAAACAGCCTCAATGCAAAATGTACCTTGATTTGTGCAAACAACATATTCGCCTCGAGCAAACCGAATGCCTACATTTTTGCCCTCAAATTCATGCAATGGTGCGTTTCCCTTGTTGGGCAGTATTTTATGAATCTTGTTGGACACCGTAATGATGCGGTAATTCAGATATTTGGATCTGCGGAATCTCTGAACAGAAAATCAATTAGCTTGACAAATGGCAATACCCATCTGAAACAACATACAAAGGCGTCCAAGATTCTTCTCTTGTTTTCTGAAGGGTTCCATTCAATGATCAACAGCTCAATTTTTTGCTCTGAATGTTCTGCTAGTAAGTACGCACTGTCTATAAAGTTCTGAAATCTGTGGTGCTGGTTTCTGGTAGATATCGCGTCAGGTATAGTTGTGCAAACATAGTCCCAAATTTACATACCCAGCGTAATCATCCATCCGAGTAACAATGACAATGGAAAGGTAGTACTCAGGAGTTGCCCCTGCATCCAGGCATTGATTCCATGCTTGTTTTGTCAGTTTGATCTGATTTCTGTCAGCTGTGTTTTCAATGCATTTGATGGGCAATGGTGGCTGTTGTAGCGATGTGGCATTTGATTCTATTGCCTTTGCATAACTCTCAGTGGCGGAAGAAGAGGATTGCTGCAGTCGCTGGCTTCTGTTTGTCACGTACAAGAGACACAGCAGTGTCAGCATGATGGAGAATGCTGTGAGGGTTGTAATGGTCCGTTTGGACACATTCAATTTTGCAATCATAATGGCTGTATGGAAAAGAAATGAGAAAAAGGAAAATAAAATGAGAAACAAAAAGAAATGAGAGAAAACACAGCCGACTCAAACACAGAGGGAAGGGATCCAGATCAACTGCATGTGTGGGACAGACAGCAAAACAATGTACGCATCGAATGAGATCGCTATTCTTTTGTATACCACCACGTTGTAGCCACTTGAATTTAGCCGGGTTCAATCACTTAGCAATGGATGTAACACACAATATCAAGCCCATCATCCCCCCCCTATTATCCGCGCATCCCTGGTGGTGTAAATAGATAATTTAATCAATAAATAGAAGATGTACCAGAATTGGGCACAAGACAACACAGTTCATCATCTACAGTAGCTGCTTCCATAACGTCTGCATTGTATACAGTGGGTACCTTTTCATTTTTGTTAGTCGCCTTGAACTTGTCCTTGGACTTTTGTGAAATAATGGGCACACACCCGCCGGGCATATGCTCACATGTACAGTTCCCGCCCAGGAACTCTGGTAAATCGTCGGCTTCTATGTAGTCTAGTAGAACCGATTGGAAATTGCTTCCAAGAACGTGTATCTTGTCTAGTGTCTGATAGTAAGGTAAACAAAAAGTTGATGGATCTCTGCAGAGCATGATGACAAAGTACTCACTCTTGGATTCAGCCATGGTTTAATCACTTTAAACATGACCACAAAGGCGGATGGCGCATTTACAATAAACAAACGGTGTAGTGTTTCAGGGTAATAGTGCTGCACAATTTCTGCAATTGCCTTCAAGTGATACATGGCGCTCATATGAAATTCTGCAAAAAAAAAAAAAAAAAAAAAAAAAAAAAAAAAAAGGTTAATTTCTGTCAGCCAAGCATCATTGACACACACACACACACTTACGCCACAAACTCATATTTGTACAGTCAAAAATGACAGTTTCACTATGAATAGGCTTACCAGCACGTTCACACCCCTCTGGCATAATCACACGGTTCAAAAATTCGTTTGCTGATATTTGGTAATTGGTGATTTCAACCGCAGTGACATTATTACCCATATCTTTGGTGTTGTGATAGCCTGTGCGATCAATTAAAATTGGATGTCCCTCTTTATCGAATTTGTGAAAACAATCGCCGCCGATACAGTTTGCAATGCGAATCACACTTTCTGATAATTCAGGTTGAACAGTGAAATTAGCGTCATCAATGTGTTTGTACCCTCGACACGCTACTATTAAAGGTAATTTGTTGTACTTTGTTGCCACTGGTATGCGGTCTGTGTCCATTTTTCTACGCCAGTTGACTGTATCTATCAATTGTTGCTTGGCATCATTCTATGCAGCTTGTCAACTCTCGCTTTCTTTGCAACTGAAACATACACTTACAACAACCCACACATTGGCTTCTAGGAATTGAATCAGTTGCTATGCTCAACAGGTTAGCCTGGCATGTCGTTTGTTCGTTGGGTTTGCAATTAATTACAGCATCTGGAAACTCTTCATCAATGGATTGACTGAGTGAGTGCCGCAGTTCTATTAGCAATTGCTGTTGCTCCTCATTCGGTCCGTATGGCATCCCCATTTTTATTAAAATTTGGAAGAAAAAGGAAGAAAAAGGTTTTTTTTTGCGTCTCCATCGTTTTAAATTGCATCAAACTCTGATCATTGGAGCAATAAGATGAATTAAAACCCCACAAAGAAAACTGCAAAGCTTCTATCAAACCACACTCACCATTACAACTGTTGTCAGTATATACAGACAGAGAAGAGAGAGTAATTATTATACCTAGAGAGAAAGACCATTAGTATTCCAATCAAAAAGCAACATTGCATCTTATCTTGATCATGTTTTAAGTATGGCCTACGTAGGTTACTACTAGTTACGAGCCTTGCCTAATATCGCAAAATGAATGTAGCTAAAATGTTAGAAGAACCTTAATTGTTGATTGATATAAAATCACTAATCATATGAGTGTTTATGCTTTGGTGAGAACCAATCTGCGCAGCGGCAGCTCGCGCTACCGATTACCCTTGCGTATCTTAGCAAAATACTGCTACTTTCATTTTGATCCTCCACTTACACATAAAAACCCTATATATTAGTTGTGGATCTGATTCTTATGTGATGCTCTACATCCATATACACGTAGCTGCTTCATATATGGGCAAGTGTCATACAGATATTATCCCTTTTTAGTCAAGAGTGTGCCTAATACAGCAAAGTCTGAGTGCATTTGAGCTGCGTTTTCTCGCGTTCAAAGCCGTTTTAGATTGTCAGAATAGCACCAAACAGTTGCTCTCATCTGGCACTTACTTCCTGCCACCCTTGCTCAACTTTTTGGGGACCAAAAAAAATATGGCCAAAAATTGGCCAAAAAGCATGAGGTACCCCTCATGGCTTTCATCGAAAATCAAACGATCGCGTTTTTGACCTTGATAATGAAGACTTTTACTATGGTATATCTTGAATCAAAACGTTTCTATCAATCCAAAACAACCTCTGAAATCATCTTTGTGGAACTTTGATATATAAAATTTCGACATTTTGGCCAGAAACCTCTTTTCATATTTTTACAAATCATTCAATAAGTGTATTCAAAACATCTATATAACTTGGTACCATTGGAAGCGCCTTGCAAAATACTCCAGGAAAGCTTAAGGAAACATGGGGTGATTATCATACTTCACTAAGTCGAATCTGCAAAAATAGCTCGATCGAGTCCAGAATCATCAAAATTTGACCAATTTGGAACAGACTATGAGTCTGGATATGAATTAATTTTGGCCTATGGTTAGGCTGGCAAACTCAATGCCTTTTCATCATCATGAAAGCAATACAGTAATAATAGATGCTTTTGAAGCGTATGGAAAGTAGGTGGCAAATTACATTGCACTATTGTTAGCCATGCTATTCTTCTTGCATTCTACATTTAATAGCACCAGTCTATCAAAATACTTGTCAGATAGACTTCTTTCCTTTTTGAGGCTTTAAAAGTGTCTAGAGACTGAACATTTATTATGTTATGATAACATGAGTCAGGCACAACAGATGCTTCGAAATTGTTTTACGTATTAGGGTTGTAAAAGTGTCTAGGGGCTGAACATTTATTATAATATGATCTACCCATCATAAGGCTTTTCCATCAAGTTTGCCGGCCAAAATCAATTAAAGATCCGATTGACAGATTTCATCCGATTTGTTAATTTTCTAACTTTTTGGATTCAATTCGATCTATTTTGCCAGATTCAACTAAATATGTTGTGATGATCATGCCATGCTTTCTAATGCATTCTTGGAGTACTTTTTATGACGCATCCAACGGTGCTAATTATAAAAAGGGGTTTGAACAAGTTTACTGAGCTGTCCTCGAAAATGTAAAATAGCTATTTTGGCCAAAATGCTGAAATTTTATATATACAGGGTGCACAAACAATGCTTCAGCGTTTGCGTTGGATCGATACAATCATTTTGATTTAGTATATGCCATAATAAAAGCCTTGTATTTTGGTGTCAAAAACACGGTCGTTTGATTTTCGATGAAAATCATGAGGGATACCTCATGGGTTTTTGGTCGATTTTTGACGATCTGAAAAAAGTTGAGCAAAGGTATCAGGAAGTAACTGTTAGATGAGAGTAATTATTTGGCGCTATTTCGGCCGTCTAAAACAGCTTTTAACACGAGAAAACACGGCTTGAATGTATCCAGATTTCACTGTGATTTGCATATTTTGAGCAGAAAGAGGCAATGCGAGTATGTTATATGCTTGTAAACCTTTTTTTTTTCATGGAAACTAACATGGTGCATCGCAAGAGAGTCAAACCCACAGTTACAGAAGGCTCTTTATGATGGTGATAAATGTAGCAAGTCAACATTAGTAAGGTAGTGGATGAGCTGGCATAAATTGGTCCTCACTGATCCGTAAAGGCACTCGCGCGCTTTAGAGAACACCTGCTTACAGGAATAGAGCCACAAATATGGCCATTAAGCATTACGACCGCTGTGAACGTTGGTTTCGGCACAAACCGAACAAGCATTTGTTCAAATCGTACAACACGAGGGGTCTGAACATGATTGCAGCGTAACAAAACAACTTGATGCAAGAAAAAATTGCCTAATTGTTGTACACATGCCCTATGCCAATTATCATTTATATATTTAGAAATGATCGACAGATAGTTTAGTAAAGGTAATCGTAATATCAGTCAGCAATGACAAATCTGCTTTTGGAGTTAGCCTCATTACTATATGCCGACACTGTCATGTTTCATGATGATCATCGCGTAAAGCTAATAAGATTATACAATCAAATTGAAAGAATATCAGGAGCACACCTTTGCTGAGCATTAGTAAATTCGGCATCCTGTTAATACTTGGATTGATTGTAATGTTTATCGTACATTGAGGCCGAATCCGGGCGAACGCAATATCAACGAACTGCAAGCTTTATCAGTAGGGCGAAATCTTTTGGATGGCGTAAATATCTCAGTAAGAATATGTGTTGGACTTGGTGCGGAACGAAACATGTATTACATTCCATTACCACAAGACCTTGATACGGACGTAAATCATGCCATCGGTGTTCGGTTCCCGCAATCATTTGAAATGCTTCGCAGGTATCAGATCATGTAGACCAGTCATTAGTTCAGGGCACCTTTTGATATGTCTTTGATAGTGTTGTCTTTTTACTGGTCATTCTACAAATGACATCGTAGTCAATCTACCCCAGCACTCGATAATGAACCCATTCTCGTTGATCCCTCGTAGTCAGCTAGATTGTATATGGGCGAATGATGGTAATTAGAGTCGTACAGTATGACAATCACTAAGCTGCGTCCGCGTAAACTTTCGAAACCGCAAAGCAACATTAACATTTTATGTAGTATTGTGAAAGTCATGAACTTGGCCGGTATTAAAGTGTTATATAAGATGTCCTCGCAGTAGACAATCAGCATTAAGCTGTGAGCAGGAGGCATTTACTGAAAGTATGTAGTGGGCTGCTATACCAATGTAGACGAGCAGGATCATGCAACATTTACAACACAGGCTCATTGGTGAAAACCTTAAATGATACACACAAAAAGAATTAATGTGTAATTAGGCACGAAAGAGCTGCTGTTCTTATAGATCTCTGTTTCAATGTCTGAGTACATGTATGTAACAGAACGCATATTATGGGAGCATTCCACCATCAATAGAGCAAAATAGTACACAGGACGAGTATTTTGCATACACATATGAGCAAGCCATGAATAACGTACCTAGTTGCATTGATTAAAGTAAATGCTGTAATTGTATTATACATTGAGAGTCAATACATCTGGGCACCAATAAAGTTGAGATTCTCTTGACTGCAACCACCAATGCGAATTACTTCATTTTCCAGCATTCATTTGCTTTGTATGAAACGAATGCCAAGAAGACTTATATATGACAGGGATACCACTAAGATTCTTATACTTCTATAGGCATAGCGTGAGATATTCATCATAAAATGCCTCTAAACATTTACTCAAAAGTTGAGAATATTCCATACAACTATGTAAATCTAGAGGGAATATTAAGGTTTCAAATGTATATGGTGATATCTGGTTTGATTGAAGACGTCAGATTATAAAGCCAATTCGAGATCAAAGGTTGATAAACAAAACGATAGTGAGCACTTTTATATACAACAATTTCAATAATTTGTCATGCAAACAGCAAGAAATTAGGTATTGACATTTCATCACCTTATAAAAGATGAGAGATTTGTCGTAGATAATGACTCAACTCGATTTCATTAATTAAATGACGTGCAAGTTGGTATTGTTGCAATGTGTGGAATACGGTTAATCGTTTAATACCCTTCGCTTATGTTTGACATGTGTGAAAAAGGAAATATTTTGCCACTTGAATTGAGACATCTAGCCAAATCTCGAACCAAAGCGAGCATCTCGAATTCCAAGGGCATTGCATGAGCATTGTCGGTATATGGTAAATATATACATGGTCAATTGTATAAAGATTGGACGCATCACGAAAAGATAGGGGAAGGAAGTGTTACTTTGAAAATCATGTATTTGACACATTTGATGTATAACTGACCGATTAATACACACAAACGATTTTTGTTGGCCTGAATGGGTACCGGTCCGCCTTGATCCGAGCGCCGCTTAGGCAAATAGGTTTGTTTTGCGATATCCCATTTTTCTATAGATTCAGTAGACATTTGTACTCAAACGTTCCGGAATGACAAAATCCAAAGGAGAGAAATGCATTGTATCAAATACCAAACCCCAGTTAGCCTTGAGGTATTTTTAAAAACGAATATTCGATGAAAACTGACTACATTTTCCAAGAAGTTCTCCTGTCAAATATACTTGTCAAAATAGGACATCGGCGTTCGATTCTAAAATATCAAACGAAACCTATCAAACTATTATCAATGATTCAAAGGGAAACAGGACAAGAGTCGCAAGAGAGTAACGTGATCCTTCAATCTGGTTTCCAGACTGATTGGTGTGTTTGAGATCATTTTCACGAATATATCGTTTTTATAAATATGGACTTTTTTCTTTTGGTTACTGGCAGGCTAATTTTTTGATTTAATAGCTCTTTTTATATTTTCATTTTTTCTTTTTTTCCTTCTTTCTTCCTATTTTTCTCTCGAGATATCAAATATAAATACTACGCTCTTGTCTTTTCTCCAACCACTATCCTTCAAACAGTAACATCGCATTGATCAACCACATCTCACGAATTATGTCAGAGGACGACAGTAATTTTGCTTGCCCTCAATGCCCAAAAAGTAAGGATACATTTAGAGGAAAAAATCAGTTCATTTTTCTTGAATGTTTCTCTTTTTTTTTTTTTTTTTTCCTCTTTTCTAATATAAAATGCTGGTACTGACCTGAATTTTTTGTCTCTCTCACACACACACTCTCTCTCTCTTTTGTACTCTAGTTTTTGCAACAAGATCTAATTTGTAAGTGATTAATCATGATGAAACAAATCACTTGCTGCTATTAACGCTTGTCAACAGAAAACGCCACATGGAAAATCCCAACATTCACAACATACCATATGCAAGAAGTCGAGACCAGAAACGATGGAGTGGCCATACAAAGAAAGTATCCTCCAGAGCAGACACCACTGAAAGGTAATAGCAAGCAATTCAGTTGTATCAAATGTAGTACTAACTGACATTTAGAATGCGCAAATGGAGAGCTGAAAACAGAGACAAGAATAAACGAAACGATTTACGATGCAGAGTGTATCGACTAGCTCGTCAAAAGTTCGGCGAGGGCGATTCCGAAGAGAAGCAGCAATTCATCAATGAAGAAATCAATAGAAGACTTGGCAGACGCATGTTGTTGGAACAGAAAAACAAAGAAAATGCAGCATCTAATACGGCTACAGCGACATCAGAGGCTACAAACACAAACCCATTTCGCATTAAAGTCAAGGATGAGTTCAACAACGACCCTTCCAACACGAGATCTCCATCCACAACACCACCACAGCCAGAGACATTGAACGAATTGCCATTCTACTGCGCACCTCTTCACAAGATTGAACTGCCCTCCATCAACATGAACAACAGACGACCTAGTCAAAGTACCGAACCCTCGGGTTATATCAACAAAAGTCAGCCTCCTTCGCCAATTAGTGATACTGCCAGACATGAGGATGATGCCAACCGAAGACTCAGTGGATGCAGCATGAATTCATCTTCCAGTAGCAGATCATTTAATTATACTACTTGCAACAATACAACATCACCTAATAATACAACACATAATTTTATTAATGACAAGAGCAATTTTTCGCCATCAACAGCAACAACAAGCCCTGAGCAACTTCACGATACGTTACCACCAATGCTAGCATTGTTACCTCCTGTATCTGGTGGAAACACAACTCGATTACCTCTACAATAATAATTGTTCCTTTGCACATTGTATATAGTATATAACTCTTTATAATTCCATTTATTGCACACATCATTATTTGAATGCATCTATTTTCTCAATAAAAAAGCTGGCTCATTTTTCTTGTAGATATGTAAAAACAACATGCCATTTTATGGAGCCATCTTGACATGACCGACGAATACACACACATGCACCCCCTTTTCAAGCTCATCTGACTTGAACATGTCCAATGGCCCTATATTAAAGAGACACATAACTCCCTCCTTCCATCATCCCTCTCTTTTTTTCAATTTTTTCCTTCTTCCATTCTTACCAAACCATTAATCAACATGACAGAATTCGTAGTCTATGAAGACTCACCACTTGCTGACTACTTGCAATGTATGTTTAGACAAACAATAACAAACAAAGTCGGGTCGATTTCTAACATGTTGCAATTGATTACATCTTGTTTTCTTGCTTCACTCTTTTAGCCATTGACCAAGCTGAAGCAACAGTAAAAGTAACACCTCCCTCGCTTGTCATCAACAACGATTCACCGAAATTGCCTTCTGTCAGCACCAAGCAATCAAACATACTGAAAATGTGGAGGCTTTCTCTGTTTCATGTAAACTTTCTTTTTGTAGTAAATCTGCGGGGTCCCCATCACTTATTCTCTACCTGATTTAGGACGCATTTTCAATATCATTGCCTCGAGCAGAAGAAACAGCTTTTGAAGAGAAATTCAAATACTTGATTGTTACGTCGCCCTTATTGAACGAGACATTATCGGTTAATCATCATCACAAGCATAGTAGCAATAGCAGCAAGTTACCAAGTACTACTGAATTGCCATTTCAGTCGACTCGGACAACCAAATTAGGTGTTACTACAAATCTCATTGCAACATTGGCTTTACTTCTCGGAGCAGAAAAGCACTTTTTACAGCCCAAGGTTCCAGTCATGACCATCTTCTTTTCCACCTCAGCGTCATTGTTCTTCTTGTACAGACACAAGGTAAGATGGGCATGGACTATGTTTGTGCTTCATGCGTTCTCATACTATGCATTTTTAGCGGCGGTCATCTATCAGACAACTCTATCAGATTGCATTGTCGAGATTGCAGTCATTCAACGATCGCAGCGAGGCATTTGACACCAAAGTGCATCGTGTATTGATCACTATACAGGAAATCGAACTAGTTTCTCGAGGATACCGGCTGTCGACACCTCTATCACCTATTTCTCGAATCGAGCAGAAAAGCAAGAACAGAAAATGCGTCCAGCTTCGCAATCGACTCTCGGCGATCCTCAGACGAGCATTCATCATTTATGAAGAAGGCATCATTGATCTCATGGACGTGATCAATAGGAAAAACCTGAGCACCTTGTACGAGATGTATAATGTGCATTCAATTGCATCATTGTCTGCTATGGGAGAAGAGAATGGCGACGTATACAGTCTAGATCAGTTGAAGAAATTGGCTCAAATTATGCATTTGAAACGTAGAGAGTGCATGGTCCACTTTTTGGCTCTGGGCGTCATGACAGATGAACACGATTCTATTCGCTTTGACTACCAGCATGGATGGAGAACGGTGAATGATATACTGGATAAACTGGTGAATGAAACCGAGCAATTTACAAAAGACATCATAGAGGCATTGGATGCCGAATTTTGTATGTATTATTCGGGCTACCGTGTATTTAACAAAAAGGCTGACAAACAGACAGACAAACCAATGAACGATTTTGATAAAAAGAAGATTACATCCAAAATAGAAGACACCAGACTAAAGAAGTTTGTTCATCAACTGTCATCGTTGGAGCAGCAACTGAGGACGATGGAAGCAAAGATTTATCTATGCAGCGAGGATGTCCAACATTTGACTTTAGGTAAAAAAAAAAAAAAATTACATGTCGCCGTGTCGGATTGTCTATTAACGTGTATATCACTCGCAGAATCTTCTACTGATGACATTAGAGAAAAGTTGCGCCACGAATACATGTCAGTTCAAAAGGGTTTTGAAAGCATGGCCTCTGAATGGGAAAACGGAAGAGTTGTGCTGGAATCTTATTTGGCGCCAACTAATGTACTACCTTCTTCGCCTATTGCTTCACCAACATTGAATGCTGCTGCCACTGAAGAGGAGTCGATCGAAGAGAGCGAAGGGAAAGGCATCATTCTGGATGCTGAGGATGTAGCAGACATATTGAACCTTCCGCTCGCTTCGAAAGCATCCGTGTTTGAAGCAATCGCTGGCGTAGTTGAAAAGAATGGAAAGGAAAGATCCAAAAAGACGCGTCAAGAGAGAATTGAAGAGATGAAGTTAAAGCGTGCAAAACAGGTATCGATCATCATTGGCATCACTGGAATTTGTTAAGAATTACTAATACGCGAATGTGATTCTTTGCTAGACTGAAGAAAGATCCGCAAGATTGGATTCTCAAACCATGGTCCATGAATTGAAGAGTGTACTTCATAAAAGAATCACTGAATTGGACTTGGATGACGGACAGGACGATCATCAGAATGAGAGTCGTTAATTTTGTAGTATCCATGTTGATTGTAGAGCCATTATACCCCTTACATTACTACATTTTTGAATAAAAAAAAAAAAAAAAAAAAAAAAAAAAAAGCTAATTCGTATACAATTTTAATGCGAATCTGATGCTTCTTTTGTGTCAAGGTGTGATTTTGGCGTCGAGAAGAATTTCTTAGCTAAAGGCTTGCTATAAAGCGTCTTAAACTAACTTTCTCACTAGAGCAAACACTTTAGCTTGACCTGACCTTTGAGAGAATCATTGCAACGATGAGTATTATACTAGTTTAAGATGTCTCATATTGCCAATCGTGTCCATAGCGTTTGGTGTCATGGATAGCGCATCGTGTGTACCCTCTTCCTCTATGTCAATACATCTGACATCCATCAAGCTCCAACGTAGCTGAAGGCTGATCCGTCAAACAAGTTCTAGCTTGCTTGAATCGCTAATTGGGCAATATGCTTTCCGAAATACAAACCAGATCAGCAAGCATTATCCTTCGAGATGCAGCCAAGCGTTTGACTACTGAACATTCTGCTGTCAATTCACTTGGAAATATGAAACGAGATTAAGCTTGAACATGCAGTCTTTTAATATTGTCAAGAGTGTACATTGCAGGATTGAAGCATCATCAGTATAACATCAAGCATGGCTTCTGCTGCTCTTCGTGACCGCCAATACCTTCTCAATGTTTGACGTTAAAGGAAAAAAAAATTGTCGATTGATGCAAATCCAATTTCTTTTTTCTCCTTGATTTACTACCATGACAGACTTTTATAGATCGGTAATTGCCATTTGAAGCTTCTAGCAAAGTATAGCAAGAGATTAACCTACTGTGACTATAGCGCAAGAAGCGTAACTTCGAGAACAAAGAGCTCTCAGGACCAGACTATGGTAAAGAAAGACCAGCCAAGCGCTTTATGCCTACTCAAGATGTCAAGAGAGCAAAAGACATTCTATCCTGCAAACCCAGAAAATATACCACCAGTATTGCCATTCCTAGTAGTATCATTGACAGTGCACCTACCATTGAAATGAAGACGATTCTAGCTGGTCAGATAGCTCGTGCGCTTGTCATCTTCTCAGTCGACGAAATTGTGATATACGAGGATAAGATTCAAAAGAGTGAAGCCAAAATCAACCCCAACTTGTTCTTGGCTCGAGTCTTTCAATACATGGAAACCCCACAGTATTTGCGCAAGCAATTGGTGCCCATCAGCCCTGATCTCAAGTTTGCTGGACTTTTACCACCATTGGATGTGCCTCATCATCCCGGCATGGAGGAATACACACTCTATCGTGAGGGTGTCACTTTGGACAAGAGCAATCAAGATTCAGATTCAACATTAGTCGATATTGGCTTGTTTAGAAGAGCTCGCATTGATAAATCAGTGAAACCCGGCGTGCGTGTTACAGTAGAGTTGAGTCAACCCATTTCAGCTGCTGATACTCGCAAGGGACAGAAGCCAATGCCTGGCAAGGTGGTGAGTCCTAAGGTGCCTCGTGAGAAGACTGGCCTATACTGGGGCTACAACATTCGTCTGGCATCTTCTTTCTCTCGTGTATTGACAGAATGTCCTTATGAAGATGGATACGATTATTCTATTGGTGTGAGTGATCGTGATGCCCAAGATATGTACAATTGCGATTTAGACAATAAGGTCAAGCCTTTCGAGTAAGTAGTAGCCTGGAGCATCTAGTGAAACATATCTGATCTAATCGACCATGGCAGACATTTGTTGATTGCATTCGGCGGCCCGGTTGGTGGTCTTCAGGAAGCTATTGAGGCAGATCAAGATCTGAAGGTCGGGGGAGATGATGCAGCCGAGTTATTTGACATGTTTATCGATCCCAATGCCAAAAGTGGCACTAGAACTGTTCGCTTAGAGGTAAATACATCAACATTTGCCTACTGTTTTTGTTTTTGAATATTGACACATTGCTGCTCTCTAGGAATCCATGATGATGGTCATGTCTGTATTAAAACCTACCATTGCATCCAAAGGCAAATAAATACACTACTTCGTTGCTTTAAAATTTGATTTACCCCCCCACATCCAGAGCTTGATAACATGCCCTTCTGAGCAGGATTTGACATTTATATCGTGACTTATTACCAGGGCCTGTCTTTTTTGTTAATTTCGATTGTCAAATCTCATCCCATCTTCCATCTCTCTTACCGCCCCTTTCTACATAACATCCAGTATAGAATCATGTTGAGAGCAACTTCAAACAGCCTTACAAAAGCTACTGCTTGGAAGAACACAGCCATCTCTTCCTCTGTCAGACACTATACAACACCTAATGCTACCCCTGCTCCTGCTAGCAACAACAAGGAAAAGCCCAGCCTCTCTCAACGTTTAGGAGGCACTGGCCGTGGTAAGATCTTGGAGGGCTCATCTGATCCATTTGCCTCTTTCTTGGCCAATGCCAAGAAGCCTCGCAATAACAACAACCGCAATGGCACCTTCACTCCTCGCAATAGAAAGCCTCAACAATCTGAAGGCCAATTTGCTGATGCTCCCGAGCAACCAAAGCAACAACGTCCTAGAAATGAGAACAACAAAAACAACGCCAAGAATAGAAATAACAGACAAAACAGACAAAACGATAAGCAAAACGTAGAGGGTGCCGCTGTTGACCAAAACAACAATAGACGTAGCAATAAGAGCAACAACACTAACCGCAATAACGCACAAAATGGTGGTAAAAAGTTGAATTTGCGTAGATCACAACAACCCCAAGACATCCGAACTCGTCGTGCCACTACATTCATTGACAAAGACATTGATTGGGCTTCATTCGAAACAGCCACCCTGTCAACAGAGGCATCAGAGACTGAAGTTGCAGCAGCAGAGAAGGACAGCGATGAGTTGGTGTTGAAGGATATCCAAGGCGATTACGGCAGATACATCGCAACCGGTTCAGATCTGAAATGGCCTCCCATGATTGAAGGCGAAACTCTGAGCACGTTGGTGGGTAGCAACCCTACATTTGATCTGCAACAAAAGACTGCATTCATGGCTGCCGTAACAAAGGTATTCAATGGTAATGCTGCTGGTGCTGCCAGAAAGTAATAGAGTTGTCATTATATCTTCTTTTTTTTTTTCCATATTAAAAATTCAATGGTTTATACAAATTGGGTATTGTGATGGGGAAACAATGTGCGCTAGGTACTTGAACATTCCTTCAAGTATCTTTGCTATTGAACAAGTAAAGCTTGTTGGCATATTATCTAAGGGAGGTCTTTCCTGTTTTTTTTTTTGTATCTCGTCAAGTTGAATATATTCAGCATTGCGATAAGTTTTTTTTTTTTTTTTTTTTTTTTTTTTTTATTCGACTGTGATTGCCTACAGGATGGCATTTGTAATCGAGCACATAGCCGTACATTGGAGCTCAAATAGAAACGCTCTTTCTTCTCTCCGAAGTCAAATTGCTCCATTATGATCCTTGCAAAAAGATCGTTTCATTCATCATTTCAGTTACTGAAAAGATCTACTGACCATCTAGTTGCAAAAGATAAACAGAAGTATAAGCTTGTTGCGTTTCCAGAGCCACCGCCTGTTTCTTCAGAGCAACTCGCTGATGCCACACGATTATTTGCAAGGCCTGTCAACTTTATCCAAAGCATCAGTAAAGCAGAACAAGCCCCCGAGACTAGCAAGCCGGAAGTAGGTGTATGATGTTCAACTTGCCAAGTCTTTTATTGACTTTATCAATTCACTTAGGTTGCATTTGTTGGCAGAAGTAATGTTGGTGTATGTATATCATTCCAACGTACCTTGGAGATCTGGTTGCACTCATACTTGTCCTACAGAAATCAACACTGATCAACAATTTGACAAACAATAGCCGGCTTGTCAAGACATCGAATCGACCTGTAAGCGCCTATATTCATGATAAACGGTTATTCAAACTGATTCAAATTAGGGTCATACTCGATTATTGAATTTCTTTGATGTGGGGCGTCAAATCACATTAGTAGATATGCCCGGTTATGGCTTCAAATCAAAAGAGGAATGGGGCGATTTAATCTTGGAATACCTATCCACTAGAAAACAGTAAGTGGCGGATGCTTTTACGTCAAGTTGGAGCATTCAACTAACGAATGTCAACAGATTAAAACGACTGTTCATGCTGATTGATCCTGTGGCTGGATTGAAAGATACTGACATGCAATTAATGAGCCATTTAGACAAGCAGGCGTTGTCATATCAGGTCATCTTGACCAAGAGGGATCGCTTGTCTACAGAGGCATTTGCAGCGTCTAAAGCAGAAATAGAAAAGTATCTCGTGGAGAACGCAATATGCTGCTATCCCCAGCTATTAGTTACGGGCAAAAAGAGAAGTAGCAAATTTAATGACAATGATGTTGTGGCAAATGAGATGGCTAAAGTAAAATGGGCCATTGTCAATGCGACAGGCATTACAGTGCATCCACCGACAAAAAAGCAATAAAACAGAGGTATATACAATAATTAATAGTAGTAATAGTGGTATCAGAGGGGTGGGGGGGGAGGGTATTGCGTCTACATGGTCCACTTGGGATCTCCTCTTCGTTTCTCGGATTCTCTGATTTCAAACATAACCTGTACTGCAACGTACAAGCAGCATACGACAGTCGATAAGAATACCAAGCCATCTGTAGAGCTGACTATCTGAACCAACATGGCCTTCATACCGTCCAGACCAAGGCAAAACCCAACCAAATTAGCTACCATCATCATAAATATATTGCAAACAGCACCTAATCCACAGACAATTCGATAATACCAGGTGTGCCCAAACTAGAGAGTGTGAATACAAGGCAATGCAAAGTAGCACTTAGTACCTTACCTTTTTGAATGTGAATAACCTCGATCCAATGATTTCTGGTAGCAGGAACAAACAGATCAACCATCCCCATGCCAGCAACTTGAGCTCTATATCGTGCCAGATGGCCACAAATGTGAACACAACCCACATACTAAAGGCAAAATACTTGGATCCACCCAAAGGAATGTAGATGTATCGAATTGTCCAGCGATTGAAGCTTCGATGCCAGCTTTTCCAGAATCTCTGTGCCGAGAAATTGTTGCTCATGCATCGAATCATATTTTCCTCTGGCCAGACGCCATCTGCCAATGCCCACAATCGAAAAAAACGCCAGGGAATGAGCAGCTTCATCCAAATGATTAGCAAATTGAAGTAGCCTATCATGCTGAGCTGTAAGGGAGTGTCATTGTTCCAAGCTTGTGCCTTGGATATAGCTACCACATACAGGCAGTGAAGTGTGATCTCCATAGTCAGTAGTACTGCAGCAAGCCTGAATGCGTACAGCATGACATATCTGGGCGTGAGTTTGGAGCAAGGAGTGCGTAATTGTGAGATGAAATCATTAAACGTGATAATTGGCCCGCAGATATAAAGTGGCGTGTACGAAATGTAGACGAGGTAGTTAAAGTAACTGTAGTCGACATGCTGGCAAGGTGTCTGGATGCGCTCTTTTTCGGTTGGTTCTGCAGTAACAACGAGATGTTCTGGTGCTGGCTGCTTAAGGTGCCAGTAGTAGTCCATATTGTACGACACCATACGAAGCATACTAAAATTAAAGAATACGTGCCATCTTGGCAGCATGCCATTGTATTGATCCTGTTTCCAAATAGTGAGTATATCAATTGGGGCTTTACGGTTAGATCGCCTCTCCTGCTTACCAGCATGGGCAAACCAATGGCATCGAATTTGTAACCGTGGTAAAATTCGTTCAAGAATAGAATTGCTAAATTAAACACCCAAGTCATGATTGGGTTCCACTTTGTTGCACCAAATAGACGGCCAATGGTGAAGCTGATGCTTGTAATCAACAGAATCTTGATGATACTGGTACCATGCAGAGCGACAATGACGATACTGGCGCTGATCAGGTAAAAATAGGACTGATTCTGGCCAGAGCGATTCAGTTTTCGGTAGACACGGCTCAATGCAAGCCATCCACAAGCTAAAGCAAACAGCAGAGGGAGGTGGTTTCGAAACTGGGCGTACTGAACGTCGCTGTTATCTACTTTTCTATTAAGAATCCAGCCATCTGAAAGTAAATTGCTGTATAAATAGTAATTTGGGTGATTCGCTAATGTACATGGTTTCAATCAGAAGGATCAATGGAAAAGCACGGCACATTTACTTACGTTGGCTGATGCCATAGGTTACGTAGAACATATAGGGAACCGCCATCAAGATGACTAAATAGTAAAAACAAAACTCTTTTCCACACTTCAATTAGCTTGGCTGCTGTAGATTCTGTAACTCTACTTTTCCGCACCTTTTGTTTTCCACCTGGACATGGATCCTGCAGTGCTCAGTTTGAGCTTGCCATCATCTTGCGTGCTTAGCGGCAGGTATTTTAGCTCGTGTTGCTCTATCGTTGTCATACGATCTTTCTTTACAAGAAAAAGAAGAAGAAAGGAAAGAAGGAAGCACAAGAAATCAAAAAGGAGGAATATTTTCAATAGATCAAAAAATCATTTATTTCAGGAACGGAAATTTAAAATTGGTTGTAGCCAGAGTATGAGCTCTGTCTCTTGCTGTTACTGTGGCTGCTGATATATTGCGATGATCTGCTAGGATTCATCATTGGCATCATTTGTGTTTGTGGTGGCATCAGCATTTGTTGCTGTTGGTTGGGTGGTATTAAGTAGGCTTGATTTATAGGGGTAGACATACTAAGAGTAGGTATAGGTGAACTCTCGCTTCGAATCATCTGTGATCTTCTATTGTTCATCATCATGGAGCTAGGAGGTCTACTGGATCCAGTCTGGCGAAGATGGTAGTCGCTTTTGCTGGCACGAGCCATCTGTTGCTTCATGACGTGATGCTGAAAGTTGATGTTGTGTTGGCCTTGTTCAGGCACTCGACTCAATAGACCCTCTGCCAGCGTCGCTTTGGATGGATCAGGCATCTTTTTCTTGTTGTTTTTGCGAGTGGCTGCCTTTTCTTGCTCCATTTGAATCATCAGGTCCATGGCAGACACGCTTTTGCGGTTGTTTGCTTTTCTATATTGCTGTTGCGCTTGTTGCTGCTGCATGTGCATGGCTTGGTATTGCTGGATTTGTGCCATTTGTTGTGCCTGTTGCATTTGCATGGCTTGCTGCATTTGCATGTTGTAGAGCTGTTGCTGTTGTTGCTGATAGTAGAACATGTCCATTTCACCAATGGTGGATCTGCGATTGCGGCTACCAGACACTGGTGTCTGTTGACGAGAGGGGATAGCATTCGCCGCAGAAGGGGTGGTGGATCGTACGATAGGCTCTTCGACCATGTCTCCTTCTCCTTCTTCCTCAGATACATCCTCAGTGAGGCGCGACTGCATAGACTCACTTGATGTAGGTGTGCTGATGCCCTCTGCCTCCATGACCGTCATTCTCCACTGTTCAATCGATCCCAACTTGCTGCCATCCGCAGCAGTAGCAGCCAGAGCAGCTGTGGTGGGTTCTATAAAAGCCTCTGCTGGTGGTAGCATCATCATATCGCCTGTGGATCTGGTTCTTCTGTGAGCGCTGGGGCCTCGTTCAAGCTGTCTCAGTGTAGACATTCTGCGAGCGTACATCTGTTCATCTTCCTCTTTCTCTGGCTGCTGATGCTTCACATCTAAATCAAGCAAATTTCCTTTTTTAGTCATCATCCGGGCTATAACATGAAATACATCCACGTGTTTTTGTTACCTTCATCTTCTGAATTGACCGAGCTATCATCTTGATCAGATTCCTCATCATCACTGGGCTGTGGGATACGGCTAGTAGATTTTCCTTTTTTACTACTATTATTCGTGATGGTAGTAGCAGGGGGTGGTGGAGAGGGTGCAATGATGGTAGGCTTGGGTACATTGATCTTGTGATGTTTTGTTTCAGCATGTTGCTCTTCATCACTCTCCTCATCATCTGTTTCCTCTTGGTCGTCGTCTTCCTCCTCTTCATCTTCATCATCACTGGGCACAAACTTGCGATTAGATTTGCTGTGATTTCCTAAGGAGTGGTATGCCATTGAGTTGATATTCATTGTGTTGAACGTGTCTAGTCCTATATTACCTAATTTACCAGATGAAAGCGATGATCTTCCGCCGCTGCTTGCACTTTGAGAGGAAGGTCTTTGCTGCTGCTGCTGCTGCTGCAATTGTGGTTGTGCTGGAAAGTAGGAAGGTCTATTGTGTTGCTGCAAAGGTGGAGATGGGGTTGGCTGTCTCATTTCGTCAGATCTCACTCGATTCATGGGAGGAGCGACATGTCTGGCTTGCTGTGAATGATGGTGCTGCTGATGATATTGTTGTTGTTGTTGTGGTGGTGGTGGGTATCTATGTTGCTTTAAAAGAGGTTGCTTCTGATTACCCTGGCGTCCATTTTTGCGTCTATTTTGTTGCTGTGATTGAGGATTCAAAATGGTGTTTCTCATCTGCTCATCAATGTGAGGCTGATGGAAGATGATGCTCTTTGACCAAGGCTCTGCTTCATCCTCTCCAGCATCCGGGGTTTTAATAGCTTTAGCCAGAGCTAAACGAGATAAGCTTACAGTAACTTCCTCAGTAGACATGTGTTGACACTTGAATTTCTAGATGTGGCGAAAGGGGAGGTCTTTACCAGGCAATTGTGGAAAGGAAAAGAAAAGAAAAAGGAAATATAAAGAAAAAATTTTAGAGTTATTTGTGTGCAATTTATTTTTAGGTGATCAGAACAGGACATGAGAAGCGAAAGGGTCATGAAGAATGAATGAGTTCTTACTGAGATTCAAGTTTTCATCACCACACACAGTCGGCAAGCCCTATAAACTTCCTCAAAATAGCATTCCATTGATTAAATTTTAATAAAGCGATAGAATTAAGCGACGCACAAACACTCGAGTCTCCTTCTTTTTTAATTTTATAATGGAGGTATCACTCACAAAACAGTGCTAATTTTGGTCAACATCCTCGCTTCCATAGGGCGTTTGATTTGCCGCATGTCATTCTCTGTTGATGGCAGTAATATTGCTACCATTCCCTCTCTCTCTCTCTCTCTCTCTCTCTCACTCACTCTCTTTTCATGATCCCAATCACTCGTTTATTATTTCACCATGGTTCATGATTTCCCGTATTAAAATCCCATCCATTGCATCTCATTATATCCTCGAGATACTTGATGCGCTTCTTGTATTCATTTTCTTTCGCATGCAAACTTCTCTTTTCTGACTCCAGCACCGCATTACTCAACGTCAATTTGGCATTCTCTGCCTGCAGAGCATTCACCTTGGTCTCCAGCTGATCCACCTTGAGAAACTTCTTCATTCGAGATCTTCTGGCAGCATCAGTGTTCTGCAAATTTACCGAATCAGTCATCTGATGTCTTTCAGTTGGCCTTGCGCCATCTTTACCTTTCTACGTTTGAGAGTATCTTCGTCAATTGTACCGTCAGCAGAAGGCTCTGGCTCTGGCAATCTTCGGATGCCTCTAGGCTTCGGCAGTGGCCTTGATAATTTGGGCTCTTCCACTGGCGTTTCTTCTGGATGAAGCTCGACGGGTGGTTTATCATCACCTCCCCAAGATATATTGAAAGCAGCCGAGTCCTCTTTACTCTCTAGCCCAGCAGTAGCTGATGTGGATATTGCTGCTGCTGATGCTTGAGGGTTGAATCTCAACGAAGGAAACGGCGATGATGTCGATGATGTATCTGATTTGTCTGTAGTGTCGTCAGGAATGGCGAATGTATTGACATTGCTCCAAAGCAAGCCTCCTTCACTACTATTGTCTAAAGGAGGTGAGTTGTTGGCGTCATTCAACGGTGGAAATAAGGTTGAAGGCGATGACGAAGAGGCGGTTGTATTATATCCAGTGTTCATATTTAGTATTCAGAGATGATTTAGAGAATGACAATCATATTGAAAATGTGGTTTGGCTGGGAAAAATGGTTGGGAGCGCCTTCCTCCTTACAAAACCACCAGGATAGCACCCCCTATCATGTCTATGCGCACTTTATCCACGCAGACTATAGGCACCACTGTTGTGATACATTTGCCATGCAAGCACTGTGATTTCTGTGTAAGGAAAAGGGGTTATTCTCCAGCGACTCCTCTGCATTGCATGCACAATGTTTCTCACCATGATCTGCCAAATATCAAACAAATGCACATGCAAGGGGCCCACTAGCAATTTAAAGTGGAAGGTGACATTTTGCCCTTGTTTCAAGCCACGTTGCTAAATTATTGGGTCAAACATGTTGACTTTAATGACTAGAGGGAGACTTGAGAGAGAAGCAAGGGGCAAGATTATATATATATTTATAGGGAAGATCAGAGATACATGCTGTACGAATGATATGGTAAATAAGAATTAGTGTATATTAAGTGTAAATCAAATGGTAATAGTAGAAAAAAAAAAAAGAAAAGAAAAAAAAAAAAAGGAATTTCAAATGTCGAGTAGATCAAGAAAACAGTGATTAAGCCCAAATCTTCAATAGATTATCCCAACTGCCTGTACATAGAGCCATACCATCTGTTGATACACCTAGACATGATACTCGATTTTCATGTCCACTCAAGACACCTGCTCTTTCACCTCTTAAAGTATCCCAAACATGACAGTGATAGTCATCATAACCACCGAATAAGAGTCTTCCAGAAATCGAAAATGCTACTGATGTGATTCCACTAAAGACTTGTTCATGAGTGAAGATGTTGAGCTCGCGGTCGGCTCGCAGATCAAATAATCGGCAACTGGCGTCATCAGATCCTGTACCGATAGCATTGCCGTTAGGGAAGAACTGGACTGCATTGATATCTGATTCATGACCACTGAAGGATTGTACGCATTTTTTGCTTCTAATGTCCCAAATTTTAGCAGTTGCGTCGCAAGCGCCCGAAACAAACACATTTGGATTTGACGAGATGCACAAACTGTTGCCTATCAGTACAAGAACAAGGCTTGGTTCGCCTGTACATTTACCTCATGACATCTCCAGTATGATCAGTAAATTCATCAATCTTTACACCAGCATCAATATCCCAAAGCACACATGTTGTATCACCACTCGACGTCAGGATCTGCGTATCACTAAGGAATCGACAGCAGCTTATATAGCCTGTGTGACCCGATAGCTCTCTTGCTGGTTTCGTTGGTGATTCTCTTGCCTTTAGATTGAATATCGAGCACACGTTGTCCAATCCACCCGATGCCACAAAATTTCCAGTTGGCGCATAAGCACATGTCATGACCCACGACGATCTCAATGGTATAGCGTATATTTTATTTGTTGAGTAGGCGTCCCATACCAGCAGTTTTCCATCTTGCGAAGCAGATACTAGATGTCGTTTGTCGGCTGCCCATTGCATAGCATAAATCTTTGCTAAATGTCCTTTTAATGTACGACGCACTTTCATTGATAGCCGTGGTAATTTCTCGACGTTTTGTGCTACTTGATTGACTATGTCACTGGCGTGTAAACAAACGATATGCATTGAATATTTGTATCTTTGATTGTATATTTACGTGTAGTATCTGCTAAAGCCTCTTTCTTTTGCTTTATCTTGTCTTTCAATTGCTCTGCCTCTCGCCTTGCTGCAGCTGTTCTCTCTGCTATATCAATTGTATTGGAGCTCATTTTGTATGCATGGACTATTTTCAATGGGAAAAAGTGAAAAAGGAAAAAGGAGAAAAAGGAAAAAGTGGTGAGAGATGGAAGAAAAAAAGAGAGAGAGAGAGAGAGAGAGAGGACGGAAAAAAAAAAAAAAACTGATGTAAACATTTTTCTATTCAGTACACACAAGGAAACAATGCCATTGGTCAAACGAATGGTTTCCATCCATATGGTTTGAGTCTCCACATGTAAGATGTATGATTACATGTGTAATGGGCACAGTCAAGTAGCATTCAATTAACCCGCATGGATCATGATAGAGATATGAGTGGAGCTGCATGGTAGCGTGAGGTGCCACAATTGCATATCGGATCTATTACATGTGGATGCAAGCCTGTGGATCGAGTTGACATTTGTCAAATCGTCATGACTTGATAGCATTCTTTGATCTCAAAGTAGCCGACAGTCAATTTTTATTTTGTCCAGAGCCAAATGCCTAAGCATTGATATTAGGATAATATTGCATGAAAGGGATGTGGAGAGAATGGTTTTAATGATCCAATGCCCACTTGCAATCCCAGTTACGCTTCATTGTGTAAGATATTCCCAAAAAACGGCCATTGGGCTCAATAAACAAGCCATTTCAAAGCACCTCAATCAGGCTTCGTTCATCTTGTTTCTTCCGCAGAAAGTTGTAGAGTGCTCTCAGCATTGCCATTGTTGCTATTGCAATGTGATGCTTGCGTTTCCACGCTGTCAGCCTGCTCCTCGCTCAAACATATTTTAATCTCCGTTTTCCCAGGAGTTTATTTTTCTGTCAATTTCGACGTAAATTGTCATCCGTTGATCGTTTAATCTAAATTTGACTACAAAAGTGATAGTTACTCTACCTTTTGTCTTTAGTTTTTCTGGTAGAAAAAATTAAGCTCTATCTAATGATACTAGTTTTATTGCACTTACTATTTAAGCTGTAGAGCAATTTGCAAAAAAAAAAGTAAAAATGCATCTTTGATAGATAAGTCGATTTTCCATATATAAAGATGCCTCAAATATTGTTTTAGAGGCTGCACTGGCGTTCTACAATCACTTTGAACTAATATACATCATAGCAAAAAATGCCGTTTTCAAGGTGAAAAACGGGATCAATTGATTTTCGATGAAAATCATGAGGTATCCCTCATGGAGAATCTCGATATTTTCATCATCCCCAAAAAATCGAGATAACGTGCCAGGAAGTATCTGCTAATCGAGAGGAACCATTTGGTGTCACTCTGGCGAACTAAAACGCGTTCTACGAGGAGCTATCAGTGGCCAAAGTATCCAGAAATTACAGTGTTATGGCATGTACTTGAGAAGCCAGCGCTCGTTTATACATGGTGCAGTTATAAAACTTGTAGTAATAAGATAGAGCTAGGTGTAAAGCATCGTGTAGAAGCCACATCTTAATCCATAGCCTAATTTTGGACGAATTTCTCAAGCATCAAACGCCCATAGTACATTGATTTACGCGAGATCGGCTTGGTCTAGGACAGCTTCGCTTGTACCACTTTTAGATAACAAAGCAGGGGCTAGAGTAAAGTGGTACTATCAAAGTTCAAAACGAAAAGTATATCCCATGTGAATGACTTTAGCTTTGCTCAAGTCTTGCTAATCTACAACTCGACATCAGTGATCGAAATTTCAGCACACCCGATTTTCTGTTTGCAATGATATACAACAAAATCATGCATCACAGTCATAGATACCACGACATACTCAACTTAACAACAACAGTGATTTACAACAGTTGGAATTGAGATGCAAATCAGTAGGAGAATTCACTAATTCGCGCATTTGTCATCATAAGAATTCAAGGACAACAATTCATACTTCCAATAGAAAACACTATGCAATCAATAACAGTAGTACAATTGCCAATTATTATGTTTGGAAATCTAAAAATATGGGAATGAAATACAGCATGTTATTTCAGTAAACTTGTGCATGGCAAGGTCTTCAGTTCTGGGTTGATAAATCGTATTTATAGGTTAAGATGGCCAAATAAAGGCAGGATTGTATATATAGACGGCTCCAGCTATGTGAAAGTGAAGACAGCATGTGATGAAATGTTTGCTTGGGGGTTCTGCAGCTTGGCCCTTTGCTATGAGCTAATGCGCTTGCTATGAATGAGAACAAACATCATGTTTGTGGCTATGCTGAATGTACAAGTACATACAAAGCATCATCGTCGTCGAGGGGGGGGACATGTGTGTCCACTGGATTTGGAAAGCATAAACAATGCGCAAAATTTGGGTTTGTTTGTGTATGTCAAAGCGAATTACAGAATGCAATCGTAATAGAATATCCAGCCCATTCCATTACGTATGGTATTTAGATAAAAACATACATACATACATAATACATACATTAATGGAATCGATCTGTTTATCTTTATGCAATCAATACATCAATCATGATAACCTACCAAGGCCTCTCAAATCGAACTATCACATTAAATATTAAGGCATATTTTTAGGTTCGGAAATAAATGACACTGTTGTTGCATCGTGCCAGAATCAAATCAAATAATTAGCCACACCAATTTGTTTTTAACACTGCTATTTTTATGATTGTTTTGTCGACATCTTCTGATCCCTCGTGCATTTTACTAAAAAGAAAGCAAGGAGCATAGTATTCTTCTGCACACACTAATGTGGTCTTTATTATCATGGAATAGTAAATGTAGCAATTGCATTCGAGCATAATAACCCAGTACATTACCGAGAAGAAATGCAGGTACAAATAGCGATTGAGAACCGTGAATATGATCCATTCTTTTAAGGGCCAAGCCAATTTAGCAACGCTGTTAAGTAGGGAGGGCTGCAACATTTCAAATTGAAGCAACAACAACAACAACAACATTCGTTGTTTGCTTGAAACTACGGCACCGACAACAAAGTTCATGATTACAAATTGCACACTGTAACAGATGTGCAACGCAACAACGCACTAGAGGTCACGACATGTTGTACCAAACAATAGCAAGTTTACTACATGTAAATGTGTGGAGCAAAGAAAGACGGCCTGCGTCTACCAAATATCATTTTATTTTAGGCATCTCTAATACATGTTCTGGCATGACATATTTCACCTCATCGTTGTCATCCTCAAATTGGACTCTATAATTCTTTATGTCTTTGCTCTAATAAATGTATATTAATTAGACTAATTTCACTAGCATTGATTATATAGAGACTGTTACCTTGCTTGGAGGAGCAATTACAGTTGCTTTATAAAAGCATGTTGTTCCTGGGTACAACGCTAATACGTCCTGTTGAGCAGGAATTTCAGGTGAAGATTTTGCAGCTTCCGAGCTCAAAACTGGAATCACATAACGTGGAGACAACATGTAACGTCTTGTTGTTGTATATGATTAGCCGTGAATCCTGTTTTCCATCAGTGTGAGCTTACTGCTTTTCTCCGTAATCATCTTGATCTACATCCTCCACTTGGTACTTGTTTTTATCTGCATAATATTGGAGAACAACAGCCAAGATCCATTCTTCGCTTTTGTCTTTTTCTTTTGGTTGTCTTGCAGCAACCTAAAATATGATTGTGTGATTTCAATGGATTGTGTAGATTAAGGTTTCTTTGAAATCCCATTTTACCGTTGTTCCCTTTACAAAAATATGGTTTCCGTTTGCTCTACTATACCACCGTGAAAATACAATTAAAAAAAAAAAAAAAACTCGTTTTTCCTGAATTTCCCTTGTATAGCATACTTTTCTATTTCTGATTTTCTCTTCTTCCTTTTCTGATCTAAATAAAGGAATCAGGAATATGCTTTGTGTAAGGGTTTGTAGTGCTATTTTACCTTGCTCATTATCTCGCAATGCAACTAGAACTGATATCTTTTCGATGATATCTTGGATGGTTCTGTTTCAAAAGAATGAGCATTTAATGATGGCGATGATGGTATGTCTATGCGTACTTTTGCTCGCTTGAAGTCAACTCGATGCCACGCTTGTAATTGTCTTTTAATTTCTGATAAATCAGGCTGGTAATACCTTGCTCCATGTCCACGGATAATTGAATTTTATTGATGCTGTTGATAATGGTCTCTTCTTCCTTCTGAATACCCTCTAATTTCAGAAGCGATGTGCAAATTTGCTTCCACAGGCCAAACTCTTCTACTGAACCGTCGTCTTGAGTGCGCGACGAACGTGATTTACGTTCCATAATATTAATTTTCTGAAGGGTCGTTGTTGTAAATGAGAAAGAGGAAAAAAAAATTTCTAGCAGCAGCTACACCCTGTGTGTAGTGGGCTCCTAATCGAAAGACGTTCTCATCCAAATGTTTGAAATTCCGTGCAACTCACATCCAGGTTCAAAAATAGCCTCTGCAAGCGTTTTATTTGGGAAATCACAAAATGAAATTAGAAAATTACACCGGTAGTCCGATCACACAATGGATTCTTCTCGGTTCTCCTTTCTCATCAGACCCAAAAAAAAAAAAAAAAAAAAAAAAAAAAAAAAAGACACATGAGGTCTTTTTAGTGTTTAAAGAAAAAAGGGGGGGATTACACAAAATCTCTCTTTCTCTCGCTTGTACCCCTTTTTTGCTTATTTTAGGTATCTGTTACACTGATTTACGAAATTGCCCCCTTTGGACAATGAATGCAACATGACTCCTATTAATAACCCTTTGGTTTTTTGCTGTTCCGCAAATCTTTGCGAACAGGCAATTTGCTATATAAAGAGATTGTATTTTTTGGTTTAAATCTCTTTTGGATCTTCTTTCTCTTTCAAGTTTATATTTTCGTATATTTATAACAATCTACTTTCCTTTACTCTTCTTTCACTCTCCATCTCACATTTGAAAATATGAAACTTTCACTCGCCCTGATTTCCTCATCATTCTTGGTAGCTATTGCTCAAGCCGCCACTGTCAAATTCAACGTCATTGCACCTTCAGCTACTGATGTAAAGGTGTCTGTCAATGGCCAACAAATCGCACTCACAGCTGCTGATCCCAACGTCCCTTACTTTAGCGGTAATGCCGAAGTTGGCTCGGCCAAAGACTACAAGGTAAGTCTTCGCTTACCCATTCATTGACATTGAAAAATTTTAACCATCTCCTTTAGTATGTTGTTGGTGGTGCTGAAGAGACTTTCACTCGTACTCTCGATTCCACCAAAGCCTCTACTCTCAACGACTTTTACAACCGTCCAGTAACTTATGCCAACATTCCCAAGTTACCTTGGCCCATTGAGAAAGATGTAAGTATTTGATACATTACATGGCATTACATTGAAACCCCTACATTGATTTCCATACAACACCCACATTGCTCTTGTCCTTGCAATGCTACCTGACACATCGCATGTCTTTAATAACTAGTTACTAATGACTTTCTCTATTCTAGCCTCAATGGACTCAAACGGGACAAAAGGCTGCAGTCTTTGATGAAAACTACATTCCCAGTGTTTTCCTCAGCGGTGATGCCGCTCAAGTTGACAACCTGGTAAAGAATGTCCCCAAGGATAAGATCCAAGGTTCTCTCACCTTCATCGGCGCTGACTACGCCAGCTCTTTCCAAAATGTCACCTTTGGTCTTCATGGTGCCGGTAAGAAGAACAACAATGCCAAGCAATCATGGAACTGGGCTCTCAATGGTGGCGATATGCTCGGCAACCGTAACTTCTTCAAGCTTCGTCACATGGAGGAAGATCCTACTCAACTTCGTGAACGTCTCTACTCCGATGTCTTGCATGCGTTGGGTACATATGCTAACGAAGCCAACATGGTCAGACTCTTTATCAATGGTCAATTCTTTGGTACCTTCAACATGTTGGATGACATTACTGATTTCTCTTACATCAATGCCCTGTTCTACGGTGGTAAGGCTCCTGCCAAGCAAGGTCTGTTGTACGATGGTATGTCTGGTGCTGATTTCCTCTACCATCCTGGAAACCTCGATGGTTACTCTTCTTGGGCTCCCAATGCTGCCAACTCGCAAGGTTATGAAGCTCTTGATCCCTTGTGTAAGGCTTTCAATGAGACCAATGTTGCTGACAATGCCGCTCTCGCTACGTTTGAAAAGCAATTTGATACTGACCACTTTATGCGTTTCATGGTCATGGAATACTTGGCCGGCCATTGGGATGGTTACTGGATGGCCCAAACCAACGATGGTGCCTACAAGGATGCCGATACCAACAAGTGGTACTACTTGGGTCAAGATTACGATGCTACTTTTGGTGTCAACCTTGCTACCCCTGAAGGCATGCAATTCACCTCTGTTTCATACAAGGACTTCCCTGCCCGCTATCCCGGTGGTATCATGATAAACCGTCTTTTGGAAAATGCTGATAAGAAGGCTACCTTTGAAAAGTACTTGACTGAAACTGTGCGTGTTCTCTTCAACAATGTCACTCTCACCAACCGTGCATTGGCTCTTCACAACTTCCTCTTGCCTGATCTCGAATGGGATCGTTCCATCACTCAACAATCTCCTGGTATCAATTTTGGCTGGACCTTCCCCCAAGTGACTGAAAACTTATGGCAAGGTGTTGCCGCTCCCAATGCTAATGGTGGCGGTGCTGCTTGGGGTTTAATTCAATGGATTGTCGAGAGATCTACTGCTGTTGCCAAGGAATTCAACATCTCTATTGTCACTGAGCCTGCTGGACCTCCTGCTTCTGCCAACAATAACACTGTCACCCCTGGTGGTGGTGCCAACGGTTCCTCCAGCAACAATGGCGGTGCTTCTTCCACTGGTAACTCCAACACTGCTGCTCAATCCAACGGTGATAAGAGTGCTGGTTTGCGTGTTGCTCCCACCTCCATTGCTTTGGTCGGTATCTCTGCTGTCGTTGCTGCCCTTGCCCTCTAAATACCCTCACACAGAATCACACACGACATCACGAGCGATATCTAATTTCAATTTAGTTTCTTTTTTTACTGGCACCAACTATTCAGTTCCTTTCCTCCTTACCCTAAATGTAATAATAGTATTTTTAAGTTATAACTTTTTTTTTCTTTAATATAATAATCATTGTAATATCATCTATACTATTATCCGCATATTCTACAACATCTCGTTTTTTTTTTTTTTTTTTTTTTTATCAGTGGAGTGGGTTTTCTTTATTGCTTGTAATACATTGCTTGTAACCATAAAGCAATTATCGTTTGATGCAAAGTTCAGTATTCTTCGCTGATTCATTAGCTCATGTATTACCTTTGTTAAATAAGCAGGAAATTAAATATTTAAGCTAAATGACTGATCTAACACATACATTAGATAAAAAAAAAAAAAAAAAAACCCTGTATACATTGAGTATATGGAAGTCAAGGAATTTTTGTACAATGTTACCTGCTTGCTTGAATGGCCAAAATTCAGACATCCTTGCCATCTATGTCTGTATAATAGATTTAGAGTTTAGTGGCACCAATGTTCTTTACTGCTGAATATAGTAAGTTGCTCATAAGTTTGGGGGGTGGAAGAGTCAGACAAATACAGGAAGATCTTTTTTATTTTTGGCTATTCTGCTTTCCCAGGAATAAACATTGAGTTTCTCGTTATATTCAAAAAAACGGCTGTTGTTGTTTCTGCTGTTGCTGTTGTTGCTTTACTTGAGAAGCAGATGGTGGTGGTGGTAATAAAGGCACAAGCCCTCCACTGCCTGATGAACTGCTGTTGGCTGGCTTTTGTCTTGTTCTCTTTGCCTGCTTACACTATTAATAGGCTGGCAACACCAAATGCAGACAACATTTGCACACTTACCCCGACATTACCAATCGTAATATTGATGGTTTGACCCTCTTTCAAACTATAATCCTTTTTGGGTGTTGTGTCTGCATGCGCTGCTCGTTCCACTGCTTCTTTTTCTGCGCGCAATTGTCTTGAAATCAAGATTAATGGCTGCACAATCACATAGATCTGATATACCACCTACTTTACGAAATCCTGTAATGTTACATTGAAATCAAAGGCATCTGTTCGCTCCTGGAAACCCATTCCAATGAAAGCATGTCGACCTATCAAACATTCGTCTTTAGGAACGCTTTCTTGTCGTTTTCATTGAGCATAAACTACTCACCATCACTTTCAATTTTGAGCACAAAATAACGGCTGGAATCCAACACAGCCTCCACAGAGTTTGAATGAACCTCATATGGACAAACGGCAAATACCTCACCTATCATTTTACCGTCCTTTCTGGTTAATCTCGAGTTTCTTTATCTTCTCTCCTGATTAACTTTGTTTTGTCCCTCTCTCTCTCTCTCTCTCTCTCTCTCTCTCTCTCTCATTTCGCTGATTTACCTGTGCTATTGTCCTCCATGCGAATTTCACACTTTTTTCCTTTGCTGATGATTCTTAAACGACCTTTCCACAGAAACGAGCTGCCAAGATCTCCCCATTCTGCAGCTCTAAATTTAGATGTTTGATTTGAGCTGGCCTTTCTCTTACTTCCAAATGTTTATTTATACCTATAACCTCTTGCTGCTGTTCTGGGAGGGATTTTGTATACTATATGCCAATTTATTATTAGCCATCTTTCATCTCGTGTATTGGCATCCTTTTGAGATGAGTGATATCGTACCGAAACATTCGCGAATGATCAATAAAACGCTCTCGTAATCGTCGTCCATGATTTATATTTCGGTTGTGTGGAACGAAAAGAGAGAGAATAAAAAAAAAAAAGGCTGAACGCTTATCCTCAAACAAAAGCAAAATGCAATGCGGCTATTTAATCTTGACTGTGATGGCAACCATGAACTGTATACAGGTTCAAACTCGAAATGTATCTCAAATTCGTGCTAATAATCATTGATTCCTGCTTTTCAGCCAAATTAAGGAAAATACGCAAAGTTTTTATTTACTTATTGCGTGCTTTATATACAGTTGTGAGATGTCTAATGGTTGCGATCATTTTTGCAGCTTCCATTTTCAACCTTGATTGGGATGGGTCGGCTGTAATTTTGATTAGTTTACCAGAAGAAATCCACGAATCGATTGTACTTACTAGCACCAGGGATGACACTGTCTGCTAAAGCTTCGGGTATCTCAAAGTTCATCATTGTGTTATGCAATTGACTGATGCCTCGTTTTGCCTATATCCATCACAAAAAAGTAAGCATGCATGCCAATCTAGCATATACCATCTACTTACGAGATCATTGAAGTAGCCTGTTCTACAGCCTATGAAATACACAATAGTCGTAACAAACTGCAGCTGTCTCAACAAACTCAATGTAGTTGGACGTCCTTCATACTTCAGCATGCTTGTTAATGCCGACTGTTGCTTTCTTGCCCAGATTTCCGTCTAATCAGCCATTTTAGTATACGTGGATGCACAACAACTACAGATGAATCCTCATACCTTATTCAATACAACATCGTTCTTTGCACGGAATGCCATCAAAATGGCCACAATCAACTCAAGAGTTGGCATAATCAAGCGTTGATAACGGTCAGACAGTTCCATCGAGGCTTCGAGATTCATTCCAGTAGTGGAGGGATCTTGTATCTGTGCCTTCATGAACTGACATTGGCCAAGCACGTCAAAGATGCGATGACTGTACAGCAATTCTGCGCCCTTGGGATTCATAGCAAAACCAAGCAGAATGGACATTTTGGCCTCAAACACGTACAGAGGGAGTAGAGGGGCTACTGGGTGCGATTAGCAAGCCATTCATCTTGATGCAACACTTTTCTTACCATCTAATTGCTCCAGCAAGTTGGATAATGCGGCATCGTCTGATTTAATCATTTCAATGGTGAACTGCAAAAAGTTCTTTTGGATCAAGTAGAATTGCACCGACGTACTACCAGCGCTGAGAGCACACTTGTTCAACGAATCCAGGGCAATGTAAGCAGTGGTCTTCCACACATCCAAACCATTAGTAGCGTCCTGGCACATGGTGTTTAACAATGTACAGTCTTGTGCTGATATCTTCTCTACGATGAACTGCTGCAGTTGTTTAATATTTCTATCACCCTTAAATTTGGCTGTGTACAGGAGGAAGCTAGTCATGGCTGAATACATATCACCACGCACAACGATATCCGTGTCCTTGCCGCAGATGCAATTCACAATGCCTGTAAAGACAGACCCCAGTTTTTCCACAGGTAGTTGCTGAGAGGTTCCATGTGCTGTCTTGTCGTCCATGCCGAGTTGATTCACTAGAGCCAGAATAACATCGTTCATGCGTTTGAGCATACGGCCGGTAGAGTTCTTGGAGTGGAGAACAGTGGGGAGTAGCATGCCTAGTAATTCATAAATGATGTTTTGACGGTAGGCTGCATCCATGAGGTCAAAGCATTCAATAAGAGTAATGTTAACAACTTCTCTCCATGCGTCCATGCACTTCTGCTTTGCTTGCGCGATCTCTCTGCCGTGATTTTGAGCCATGGCCCACGACAAGATGTTGCCCATTTCCGTCTCAATGTCGACCAGTTGGGGGTGTTCAGCATAGTGATGATCCTTGACTCGGCTCAAATCTTTATAAATGGCGGGCACGCTGTACAGTTCATGTCCAGAGCCAGTTTTAATTTCAAACAGTGCAGGATCAAAGTCTGGGAAATACTGCAGTTCCAGTGATTTCACCTTCATTGCCAAATCGTCTACCCAAGTAAAGTCCAGTGAGCTGATGAATTCGAGCATTTTGACGAGAGGTTGCTGGTACTTGTTGTTGTTGTTGTTGTTGTTGTTGTTGTTGTTGTTGTTGTTGTTGAAAACAAAAATGTTAGCTTCCTGTGGCTGTTCCACTGTATCCATGTCATCTGGAGAGTATACGCTCTGACGTCCATATAATAAGGCCAGTAACTTGCTTGTCTCGCTCTTTTGCTTTGTGGCAACGGTTTTGTGTAGTTCGAGAGCAATGGTGTGCAACAGCCAGGCCCTTTGACGCAACTTTGATCTTAATTTGAAGAAATCAGTCTTGTAGGTGGATTCCTTGCTATACACCATGGTACCAGGGAAGGTCGCGGATTCCACTTCAATGTTGTGTTCCAGACGAGAGGACATGCTATTGAACTGCTTGTAAAAGAAGTCTTCACGATTACGCAAGTAACGCAGAGTAGCTGTTGAGAGGCCCTTCTTGGCACAGAGTCTATAGACCAATTCATAGCATTTCTCAGCGAGAATAGGATGGGTATCGATCATCAATTGAGATGGCTCTGCAGTGTCGTCCATCATGGTATCTTCACTAATATCCTCATTCTCAAGGCCCTGTCTCAGCATGTCTAAGATAGCGTGAAGACAGACCAGGCTTGCTTGGTTGGTGTCTGTATCCTGTAGCTTTGTCAGAGCCCCTTCTTTCAAATCATAACCCAGTAAGAATTCGGCGAGTGTGGGAGAGCACGCTTGCTGAGCATTGTCAACTAGTAGATTCAGCAGGGCAAGACGAACAGATGTATTGAGGCGACGTGTGAAATCACTGGGATAGTTGTACTTGTTCTCCATGGTGTCTTTTGCCAGCCAAAAAGGAATGTTGTTGCTATCATATTCGTAGTCATCGCATGTGGTGACTTCAGGCAAGTTGATACTGAGTCTCTCACTGACACCAAACACAATGGCAAGCGCATCTTTACTGGAGGACAGGGAACTGGCAACATTGGGTCCAAGCTTGGAGGTAGACAGGAGATGTACAATTCGGGTGCTGAGGAAGCAGATCTCTTCTTGATCTCCATAGTCAATCAACAGACTGATGCGGTTGAGGATTTTGCCATCAAAGCTCACAAGCTGGTCCATGGAGACGACGGTGGGCAAATGAGAGAGATTGAGCTGTCCCAGTTGAAGGCCTGTTGAGGCTTTCTTTTTGGCAAATTCAGTGATATATGGCATCAGAATGTCGCAGAAGGTATATTGCATCTGGAGAGTCTTGTAGATGATGCGCAAAGAGCGCACCAGGCATTGCTTAAAGTAGGGCATGCTATCTACGTCTTTGGTTTCTCGTGCAGCACACTCTTGAATGACTGAGAATATCTCATCCACAACACGACCGCCCGAGAGAATGCGCACCATCACCTGGAAGCCAGGATGCAGATAGTAGTTGACAAGGGTTGTCTCAATAAAGGGATTGATTGTCACAGCCTTGAGTTCCTTGTTCAGTGTAGCTTTGACTTGCTCGTTCTCAAATTCCTGGATATTGAATGCTTCGATACTGTTCTCCATCACTGACAGACAGGCCTCAGTCAGCTCCCAGCGAGCATCAGCAAAGCTGTACTTTTGTTTCGAGAGAGAGACAAAGATGTCGTCCATCACAAGTGAGATGAAGGGAGTGGAGCCAGGGTTTTTGCTGTCTTTGCCCAAATCCAGAGGAATGCTTGAAGGCGCATCACGGAAGCCAGAAATAAGGGCTTCTCGCTTGCTTTGCGAGTGTATAGCAGAAGCAATCAAACGAATGACAGAGACTGTTTCAATGAATACTCGACTGCTCTTCTCGGCTTCCAGTTCTTGTAAAATGCCGGGTGGTTGATACATACTTTGTGAGCGCTCTTGTGTGATTTTGCGCTTGGCAAGCAGCATGTCACTGTCCTCGAGGATCTTCCACACTTGGTATGAGATTTCCTTGCCTACACCGTCGATGCCACCACCCCAAGCAGAGCAAAATGCGGCCAGCACATCAAATAGGGCAGCACGGAGACGTGTGGATGTAGGGCAGTTAAGTAAATTGATCAAGATGCTTTGAGAGCCAATGTTTTGGTCAAACCAGAAGGTGATGCGAGCCTCCTTTGAATACTGGACACACTGCTTTAGAATACTGAGAAACTTGAGGATGAGCTGCTCTTCTTGATCAGGAATTGTTGCATTGGATTCGTCTGATACATCTTTGAGAAGGTCGGCGTAAAAGTTGAGAGCTGCCAAAGGTCTGCCCCAGGAGAACAAGGCACTGGAAGCGAGTTGAGTGTCCATACCAGCCTTGAAAAAGTCCAACATATGTGTGGCACATGCATCACCAGTAGTGATGGAGGCGAAAAAGTCGAATGCAGCACACACAGTGCCAATCACCTTGATATCCAGTAACCATCGGGTAAAGTGGTTAAGGCCTCTCTGCTCACGGTTCCAAAAGACAGCGCCATCATTCACTCGATTACGAAACACACTTGCCAAGAAGGTTAAAAAGTATTCCAAATCGTAGCACTGGTTTGAGCTGCTTCCACTGCTGAGCAAAGCATTGTCTGTTGTCAATGGTGCTTGTACTGGGATATTGGTGTCTTCCTCCTTGTATTTCAATTCTTGCAGTGTGCTGAACAGAGTAGAGATGATCAAAATACCCAGCTTCTCTAGTTCATAAATGACAAAGGGTTGGAAATCTGTGCGAATATCAGCGTTAAAGTTGCGGAAATCTGAGGTATCGATGGTTTTGGCCGTGCCCTGCGCATTGTCGTCCTTGATAAGCTTTCTGTCGGTATCGATCTTGGCGTTGGGTTGCTGAAAGTACAGTAAATAGTCGTTCATGAATCGAAACACATCTGCAGCAATCGCAAGGTCGAGCAATTCTTTGATAGCTTCTTCGCTGCGTTCGCCTTGTTGTGTGATAGCTTCTGCGCTGCGAGCAGGGTCTGACAAGTACAAGATCCATTGAAGGACAACGACTGCCTTGATGACGGGCACTTCTGATCCGTGCGACATGATTCTATGGTGGAAGGCATCGATGAATTGTATGGTGGATTCATTGGTTGACATTGCATCCGATTCGCCGTCGTACGATAAAGCAGAGACCATGGCGATAATCATATACGCAGTGGCTGGGTCGCTCAAATGTGCCTTTTCTAACATTTCCAACATGGTGAGCTTGTCCTTGGAGTCGATGCTTGAAAGCGATGTGATGTGATAGATGATTTGGACAATGCACACACGCTCATCACCCAAACGCTCGATACGCAAATCGGAAATCTCGTCGCCCAACTTTCCACTGCCCGTTTCTGGCATTTGGCCCACTGCAGATCCCGTTGTGATAATAGAGTTGATGGTTTTTGTGAGATTGTCCAGCGTGCTCAAAATTTTTGAAAAGTAAGACTCGCCATTGCTGGTTTTTTCTCTGACTAAATCCACAATAAACTCGTTGCACACAGATCTAACTTGGTCGCTGATCGAAGCATCCTTTGCTGATATGAGAACGGCGTCCAAACACGCCAACAGGTAGCCGCGTTCCTCATGATACAACAATACAGCAGCGTCAATCGAATTGGTGCTCACACGAGGCACTTCAGATGTAGCGCGTCTCAATAAAGTGGCTGCGACATGCTCATTGATGTTAAGCTGGTCTGACAAGAAAAGCGCTCTTGTGACAAAGTCCTTGCTGACATTATGAGACACTCGATTGATGTATGCCTTGTCTAGAGAAAAGATGTGTCAGCAAAGTTGAGCTATATAATGGTTCTATCGAGACACATACTGGAGTTCAACATGGTGCGGTGCTGAGCGTTCTTTGGCTCGCTGTCCAGAAGCGTCAAGAACTTCTCTTTGTGGATGTAAAGAATTTGTCGCAATGCGACAGCAGAGTCTTTGTTCACTCGAGCCTGGCATATAGTGTCATGTAAAGTGCGGTTCTCTTCTGTCCAAGTGGGGATAGATGATGAATACGACATTTTTTTTTACCAAAAGGGCTTGGATAGAATATGTCCAGAAGAGAAGAGAAAAGTTAAAGGACTGCAAATGAGTTTCACGCGTGTAGAGATGGCTTTTATCCTGGTTCTCAACATGGTGATGACTGTCACATTTTGGATATGGCCTTGCTAGAGGTGTCAAATGTTGCATGATCCAGATATTTCATTGACAATCATGTTCTACAGCATCCGTGTTTAGGCTTTTTACATGACTTTCGAGCTTTCAGTCGCTTAAAGTATCTTAGCTTGATCTATTTGCATTAGCAATATACTGATGTAATACGCTTAGAAAATGATGAATAATAAAGACAATCAACGAAAGGTTGATTATAGAGTACGAGTATGTGTCTATGCTACAGATGGCTCTCGCCAAAGGGAAGCAAAGGTAGAAAGCCAATCTGGGCAGCGGCAGCTCACGCTACCGATTGCCTTTGCGTATCTTATCAAAATACTGCTACTTTCATTTTGACCCTCCACTTACACATAAAAACACTTTATATTATCTGTGGATCTGATTCTTATGTGATGCTTTACATCCATATACACGTAGATACTTCATATACGGGCAAGTATCATACAGATATTATCCCTTTTTAGTCAAGAGTGTGCCTAATACAGCAAAATCTGAGTGCATTTGAGCTGCGTTTTCTCGCGTTCAAAGCCGTTTTAGATTGTCAGAATAGCACCAAACAATTGCTCTCGTCTGACAGTTACTTTCTGACACCTTTGCTCAACTTTTTGGGGATCAAAAAAAAATGACCGAAAATCGACCAAAAAGCATGAGGTACCCCTCATGGTTTTCATTGAAAATCGAACGATCGCATTTTTCACCTTGATAACGAAGACTTTTACTATGGTATATCTTGAATCAAAATGTTGCTATCGATCCAACGTAACCCCTGAAATCATCTTTATGGGACCTTGATATGTAAAACTTCGACATTTTGGCCAGAAACCTCTTTTCATATTTTCATAAATTGCTCAGTAAGTCTATTCAAAACATCAATCTTGCTTGGTACCATTGGATGCGCCTTGAAAAGCACTCCAAGAAAGCTTAAAGAAGCAAAGGATGATTATCGTACTTCACTTAGTCGAATCTGCAAAAATAGTTCAGTCGAGTCGAAAACTATCAAGATTTGGCCAATCTAAAGTAGACTGAGAGTTTGTGTTTAAATTATTTTTGGCGGCTGGTGGGGCCAACTGGCAAACTCAATACCCTTTTCACAAGGCAATACAGTAATAGATGCTTTTGAAGCGCATGGAAAGTAGATGGCAAATCACATAACACTGTCGTTAGTCATGCTATTTTCCTTAGATTCTATATCTATTAACGCCAGTCTATCAAAATACTTACTAGATCAGCTTCTTTCTTTTTTGAGGCTTTGAAAGTGTCTAGTAGGGACTATAAATTTATTACATTACAATGAGCATTTCGACTCTTCGGTTGGCTTCATGACTTACGCTTCGCTTTGGTCGAATTCAACCTGCGTTCAAGTGGCTCACGCTGCCGCAGACCTTTGGCTAGTATTGCGAAATTAATAATAATAGCTAAAATGTTAGAAGAAACTTGTTTGTTGATTGATACTGATTTAATATCACAGCTTTGATCATATATGAGCCATGCCTGACAAATGCCTGACAACTCATTTTCCATATTAGGGTTATAAAAGTGTCTAGGGACTAAACATTTATTATAATATGATTATTGTCATCATTAAATTGATTTTATTTTGCATTGCTGCACTGATTGATATATATATATAGATATAAGTATAGAGTGTGTGCATAAATATGTTATAGCCCTTTATTTGAGTGAATAAAAAGGTTTCTTTATTAACATTAAATTTGAGGATGATTTTATCCAACATAGTTTGTGTAATCTTATGCATTTCCAGCAGGGAAAAAGTTATACTCCTTGAAGCATAAAACGTTTTATTATAGTTTTCAATGGTTAATTAATAATTAGCTATTGCTTGATTATGGAATGGTCATAATACTGTTGTAACAACAATGTAATAAGCAACACTGCTGCCCTAAAGTAATACCAATACAACCTCCCCGCATAATAAATTTAAAAGAAATTCCTCGTATTAAACTGTTGTGCAATGGATGCTAGATTAAATAGTCGATGATTTTGCGAGAGAAAATTCTTGATCGTATCTTAGGAAAGACGCATTGTATTAGCGTAAAACAAAAACCATTCGATAGCCCTACTCTGGATCTATTGTGATATAGAGGCTTTAAGTCTTAAATGTACGTTCGCTTCATGATTTTGCTCAAAATCGTGTATTTTACGATTTTTAAGCAGAAAAAATGTCCAGATATTCATAGTAGAGTCATATTAGCCACGTAACTTGGTGCAAGTTAAATAAAGTGCTTCAAGTGCTACTAATTTTGATAGTGTATTTATAGTTTGTATCTAAAAAAGTATATACGGTACGTATCACCCTGATGGGTAAAATATATGAGGAAGTTCTTCTACTAGTTGCCGCTTCAATTTGTTGATTGAAAATGTAATCAAATGAATCTATAACATATCAGTTAAAACATATTCCAACTTAATTTTTTTAAGATCATCTGTTTCATGATCTACAGAGCTTTTGAAAAACTTATCATCTACCTGCAAAAAGGATATTCGTACATTACCCCTAGGGTAATAAAGGGTACCATATCAAAAAGGGCAGTGTGTGTAGCTATAACATTTAATAGCTAATACTTTTTATAAATACAAGCATACGACGAAAATGTCGTCTTGTGAGATGGATCCAATAGGTAATGTTAAGCACAAAGAATAAAATATATATAAAGGATTATTATTTGTGGCTTATAAAAAATGTTCGATATTATAAAAACAAGAAAAGACTTATTTGAATAAGATCGGACACAAAAACTAAAGATTTATTGATGAAGACAAGAGTTATTCTATTTATACTAGGTTCTGAATGCCAAAGTAGCAATTTATCTTGTACAACGCTTATCACATCTGGTGAACCTCAGTATTTAGATAGCTGAGATGCACTTCAATTATCATAGCTTGCCCATGTTGTTGCACAACACAGACATATCTACCCATCAAGAATATCTTAGTCTTTATAAACAGTTGTAGCCCTTCTGGCACAACAAGGCTGTCCAAGCAAGATATTCCCAAAACTTGTTTTGTTACACGCTATGGTGCTTTTGAATGGCTTGTGCTTCCTTTCGGACTCCGAAATTCTCTGTCGGTGTTTCAAAATATGATGAACAAGTGTCTCTCTGGCTACATTGATCGATTCGTCCAGCTCTACGTAGATGACATTTTGGTGTATTCTCCAACTGCTGAATCGCATCTGGAACACATTCGTCTATAGCTAGTTTTGGAAAGATTTAGGCAGTTCAAGTTATATGCCAACCCAAAGAAATGTAAGTTCAATAAGCGTGAAATGGAGTTCTTAGGCATGAAGGTCTCGGCAAAAGGCATTCTGCCTTCTGATTCAAAGGTTAAAGCGATCAAGGATTGGCCTGTTCCCACTAATGTGCAAGAGGTTCATCAATTTATTGGTTTGGCTTCCCATTACCGAAGGTTCATCCGTCAATTCTCGTCTGTGGCAGCCCCTCTAACTGAACTTACTAAGAGTACTGGTTCTAAACGTCGTGGCATTGTCTGGAGTCAGGAGTGTCAAAAAGCTTTTGATCAATTGAAATTCTTATTGACTCATGCTCCCTGTCTACAACCTCCTGATGTGACTAAACCATATATCATTGAGACAGATAGCTCTGACTTTGGTTGTGGTGCGGTACTTTTGCAAAAAGATGATCAAGGCGTTTTACATCCTTTGGCATTCGAATCTAAGAAATTTTCTATGGCTTAACGTAACTACCCTGCGCAAGAGAGGGAACTTCTTGGTGTTTTGCATGCTTTGCGGGTCTGGCGATGCTTCATTGATGGTGCTGACTACGTGGTATATACTGATCATAATCCGTTACAGTGTCTAAGATCGTAATCTAAACCAACAGCTTGTTTGGTCCGTTGGTTATCAGAAATCGAGACTTACGCTCCTAAAATATTGTACGAACCTGGCAAAATCAATGAAGTTCCGGATGTTCTTTCCCGTCGTGATGGTGCTGACTGTGTGGCTGCTAATACTAGTATGGAACCTCGTTATTTGTACTCTGTCGAGTCAAATATAATGGTACATCCGTTGGATTGACCAACTTTCTATTTAACCAAACAAGAGTTAGTTCCCGATTCGATGAAATCTCTACTCGAGTCCAACACTCACAGGTTTGTTATCAAAAATGAGAAGGTTTATCGCAAGGTGAAAATTGGTGAACGAGAGTTTGAAGCAAGGTTCTGTCCAACCTCAAATCGTGCTACTTTGGTGAACAGTGTTAAGCACAAAGAATAAAAGGATTATTATTTGTAGCTTATAAAAAATGTTCGATATTATAAAAACAAGAAAAGACTTATTTGAATAAGATCAGACACAAAAACTAAAGATTTATTGATGAAAACAAGAGTTATTCTATTTATACTAAGTTCTGAATGCCAAAGTAGCAATTTATCTTGTACAACGCTTATCACATCTGGTGAACCTCAGTATTTAGATAGCTGAGATGCACTTCACTTATCATAGCTTGTCCATGTTGTTGCACAACACAGACATATCTACCCATCAAGAATACCTTAATCTTTATAGACAGTTGTAGCCCTTCTGGCACAACAAACAGATTCCATGAAAGGTTTGGTCATGCTGGTCAAAGTACTGTGTTTGAGCTTATGCGCAAACGCTGGTGGTGGCCCAATATGCGATCTAATATTCAAGGCTGGTTATCTACTTGCAAGGAATGTCAGTTGGCTTCTAGTTCTGGTAAAAATAAGCATCATGCTCCAATGGTTTCTCTGGATATTCCTCCTGCTTTTGGTCGTTGGCACTTGGATTTTGTTAGTGAGTTACCTCTGACACCTCAAGGTAACAGATGGCTTCTTACTGCGGTTGATTACACTACGAATTGGCCTATTGCTGGTGCAGTACCGGAAGCCACAGCAGAAGCCGTTGCTGATTTCATCTATGAGGAAATCGTGATGCGTTTTGGATGCCCCCAGGAAATCTTGACAGATCGTGGTGCTAATTTTATGTCAAACGTGGTGAAACTCTACATGCATAGAGTCAAGGTTAATCACAAGTTTACTTCTGCTTTCCACCCTAGAACTAATGGTAAATGCGAACGTCTCAATGGTATTCTCAAGGCTATGTTGAGAAAATACGTTAACGGTGCTATTTTTATGTGGGATAAATTTGTTGACACGGCTCTCTTTGCTGCTCGGGTTCGTCATCATTGCTCTACTGGTTATTCTCCTTTTTATTTGGTATATGATGGTCGTGAACCACCGCTTCCTGGGGATTATACTCGTCCTTATTTCGATAAGTTGACCGCAAATGATCCTAGAACTGTGGCTGAACATACTGCTCGTAAATTGGAAAGTCTTGGTCAAGTCCGTGCTGCTTCTGCTCATCGTATGAAAATGGTCTCTGAATCCGACAAAGAACGTAGGGATGCGGCTATTGAGAAGCTGGAATTTGAAGTTGGTGATCATGTCCTGCTTAGAAACGAACAGAAATACGGTCTTGAATACAATTGAATGGGTCCCTTCATTGTCGTTGATAAAAAATCGGAAATCCATGTCTACAAGTTGGTTATTACGATTGGTGGTGAACCTTACTCGTCTTGGGTATATGTTGATCGTTTAAAAGGTGTTAAGGCTGAATCCTTTGATACTCCTTGGTACAATCCCACTGTGTCTCGTGCTGCTTGGCGTGAAGAAATGGGTCTCAACTCTAGTAATCAGGCTGTATCTTGTACTTCTTCTAGTTTCTCTGGTACTTCTGGCTCTGTCGATCAAGTTGATCAGAGTCGATCAACAATCTCGGGGGGAATGATGTCGTGCCTAAATTTAGGTTTATGCCAGATTTGAAGAAAGCGACTAAAAGGCGCCAGCGTATACTCGAAGGTTCTGAAAACTGATAGCACACTACGGCCCAACTGATGTTCTCACAGAACATGGATGTGCTCTTTTGGGAACATCAATGTTCTCTTGAGCACATTGATGTTCTCATTTGAGAAGGTGTAGTTTTCCACATGAATAAAATGGTTTTAATAGCTAAACTATAATATTGTAGGCAACAGAAAGACTTTTATTATCTGTAAGATTCATAAAATTACTAAACGTATTATAAATTGCACGAGAAAATGGCAATTTAAAATTAACTAATAAGTACTTATTAAAGTAAAAGAATATATTTCAATAAGGTATTCGAGTAGTTTAGTGGGAAGAACGTCAGATCCACAACCGATAGGTTGTGGGTTTGACCCCGGTAGGAGCATTCTTTTTTCAAATTTCTGAAAATCGATGTGCTCATATAAGAATATGGATGTGCTCACATGGGAACATTTCGGATGTTCTCATAAGAACATCGGCCGACTTATAATAGATCTTTAGGAACGTCGATGTTCCCATATGAGAGCATTTTTCACCTTTCGGGAACATCGATGTGCTCATTTGAGAACATCAAATAGATTCTCATATGAGCACATCGATGTTCTCATGAGAACATCAGTTGGGCCGTAGTGGTGAGTAGTAAAATGTCGATGTGATGTGTTTCTATATAATGTATCACTAAATCCAAGGATGTAGAGATACCAGAAACATTAAGCATTGCAAGGTTAAGAGTAGGTTGTGAGTCTACAATCATTGATTCGTATCTATGGGGCTGGAGCCAGCGTTACTAGCAGCAGTCAGAGGTGGAGGATTTGAACCAGGTTGAGAAATGCTGGCATCGGCATTGTTGGTGGAGGTAGTAAGAGAGGCAAACAAGTTGGAGGCATCAAAGCCTTTGAGAACAGAGCGAGCAGTGTTGGCAGCGCCGATTTTGCGAACGCAATCAGGCTTCAGCTTGATGAACTCATCAATAATGACAGGCGGGACAAAGTGATTATCAGCACTGTCAAGGGCATTGAAGAACTTGAGGATGATCAGACCCATACGGGATTCACGAAGTTGAGTAGCAGCTTGGAGCATGCGGTTGTAGTAGATGGCCTTAGCTTTATCATCCAGTTGTTGAGCATTAAAAGTCTTCAAAAGATGGGGATCACCCAGATTTTTACCAGAGATAGGATTGAAATCAGTGATGGGATAAAGTTCGTCCTTTTCACAGATCTTAAGAATTTCAGTAGCATAGTGGGAGTGTACCAGAAGAGAGACAACATGCTTGGCAGGACGTTGGATGGCATATATACGTTTGAGGTTGATTTTGAGCAACTCTAAACGAGTGCGAAGATCGGCGTGCTTGGTTTTGTGGCTACAAGGAAGGTAGACACAAGTATAACCAGGAGGAGGCAGAGCTGAAGTGGCGGTATTAGAGGAGGAAGACATTTGCATATCATCACCATCAGTTGAGTCAGTAGCAGTAGGAGTAGAAAATAGACGTAAAGCCCATTTCTTGGCTTCAGCAGCATCAGAGGGGACTTTGGCTTTAGAAGAAGACTTCTTGGAAGTTTTCTTGTTAGAACCAGAGCTCTTCTTGGAGTTGGCAGTAGTGGTGGCAGAGTTGGCAGTAGGTTTGGCATTGGCAGACCCCTTTTTGGTACCTGGATTCAAGGTTGGGAAATCCTTTTCCGATGCATAACGAGATGCAGCAGATCCAGATTTGGTACGTGTGAAGCTGACATTTGGAGTAAGATTCAGACGAGTGGCTGAGGCAGCAGAGGTATTATTGGTAGCAGTAGTAAGGGTGGATCGTTCCAGTAAACGGGTGAGAATCAGATTCTGTTCTTGGAGCTTGACTACCAGATCAATCAACTCTGATTGCTTCAAGTTATTGTAATAATCACGGCCGGCAATGTCTTGCTGCATTGAATCGCGGCGGCGCTTATTGGAGGTGGAGGTGGATGCATTGACAGGAGCTGAGGCAGATCCAGAGGCGGTCATAGTGGAAGTCCAATCGGAGGATGGTGCCTCGATGGATTGTGCTGCACCGGTAGAACTCGGTGGAGCAGGATTTAGATTCGGCGGGATCGGCGAACCTGGCATTCGGAAAAGCGAAAGATTGAGATGGTTGGGGTGATTAAGCGGCTAAAAATGCGGCTGAACGGCAAGAGATTTTTCCGAAAAAGTATAAATACTGCTGATATCTACACGCGTAGAGTCGATAGTATCTCCTCCTCAATGGTCCAGTTTAAATGTTAATTTATTATAAAAGAGAGGATTTTAGGCTTCGTCCCTGTAGGGCAATACAATGGCCATCCCAGTAATTAAAGATAATTGAGTTGAAAAGGTGGAGCAATGAAAAAAAAACACTAGTAGAGAAGTGAAAAATTGCATCCAAAAAGTAAAGAAATGTCAAAATAAAGTTGTGTAAAATGTGGGGTAGAGCACACCCAAAAAAAGAAATTGAAAGATATATCTTTGATCTGAAACAAAGAAATAGCCAAAATAGGGTTTGTACTACAAACAAGGTAGAGCACGACCACCTAATAAAAGAACAAGGGTTGAAAATAGAGTAATTTCCAATCATGAAACTTCAACATCTCGAGCGAAACATATCATAAACAAGTAGGATCAAAACACCCAACCTCTCAATGAGAATCACAGGGAGCGAATTTCCAAAAAATAGACTACAGAATGTGTTAGACATCATATACAAAGCGTAAATTTAAGGAGAAGATCAATGTTGTAGATGTTGAATGAGTTGTTGCTGCTGTTGCTGTCGTTGCTGTTGCTGCTGTTGTTGAAAGTGATGTTGTTGAGTCAAATAATGTTCAAAAAACTCTCCAGAAGGAGGTTCCTCAGCAAAAGATCCAGCAGGATGGTTTGCAATGTCAATTTGAGTAATTAGCTCAAGAACAAGAGGCCAAGTTCTCTCCCAGTGTGTGCCCAGACAGAAAGACAGATTAGAAGGTAGCGAATTTAGAATACGATCCAGAATATGAGTGGTAGCGATACCTTGGTCATCATAGGATTCATCCAAAGGAATGGAGTCATCAGGCAGATTGAGATGGATGCGGTTGACAATGTCTTGAACCAGAGGACAGGCGGCTAGATAATGAAATCTATTTGCACTAGGTGCGCCACAACGACACGCAGAGAGAGGGAAACTTGGGAGGTGATGAAAACGCCATCGAATCAGACGCAATCGCTCCAACCGAGTACACGGATAAAACAAGAGAGGGTCATATCCAGTTGTGTCTTCACGCAGAGCACGCAAACACGATGATTTTTGACTAGTCCATCTCAACATTTGAGCATCTTGAAACTCTTCACAGATGAGACGGGGAGTGGTGTGAGTGGGGGACGATTTGTACAACTTCCAGATCTTGTTGGAGCTAAGACGACGCCACAGAGCAGGAGCAATTTTAAGACGCTGATGCGTATACAGGATGCATTCCACCAAAGTAAAAGGACGAGCTTTCAACTGAAGCGAATACCAAAACTTGAAAGTCAAGATCTGGGCACGAGTATACATGGCAGGCAGATTGCCCATCATATTGAGAACCATGGACGGGGCGTTGTGCCGTTCAGATTGATTGAGAGTCATTTTCAGACAGCTAGCTTGAGTGCGATCAATAGCCATAGCAGAGGTAGCATTCAAACCAAGAAGAGCAAGAGCATATTCCATGATGGGGCGTACAAACACCCGATACACTTGAAGTGCCAACATGAGACCAAAGCCATACTGATGGACACCAAGACGACGAAAGAGAGCCATGGTAGACTTGGCCTTCTTTGTGCTAGCATTGAGGAACGCAATGTTATCAATACCAGAGGCATTGAAGGGCACGCCGAGATACTCATAGCTAGGAACAATAGGGACATTGATACCATACAATTGAATAGGCCTACGCCTAGAGTGATAGTTGACAAGAGCACACTTGGTTGGACTCCACTTGAAATCAAATCGCAACGAGTACTCCTCACACAGTTGAACCAGTAACGGCATATCACGACGATGGGCAATAAGACAGACATCATCAGCATACAAGAGAGAGTGGATAGCTGTTTTTTGACGAACAACACCAAGACGAGGAGAGCAGCTGCTGGCAGTTTCAGACAAACGTGGACCTGCACCGTATTTCACAAGAGCAAAACTAGGTTCAGTAATGTCAGCTGAAGGACCATCACCATCAGTACGAGCACGAGTAGCGATATCCACATAGAGTGGAAAACGTACAGGCGCAGTACGCAACAGAGCAGGCAGTTGATTGATAAAGATGGCATACAAAAATGGAGACAAGATGGAGCCTTGGAGCAAACCACGCTTTGGATGGATTGGCAGTGATGTAGCATTGTTAATGACTACATTGAGAGTGACATGATCAAAAAGATGCCGCAGGGTGTAAAACAGAGCCTTTGGTAGATGAGGATGAAGTAGTTGCCAGATCTTGGATCGAGTGACACTGTCATATGCTTTGCTGATATCCATAAAGATGAGTGCTGGTGAGACACCGTATTGCTGCTCAAATTGCTTTTGTAAAGCCAAGAGATTCCATGCTTGACTGATTCCACTGCGAGCGGCTCGAAAGCCACCTTGAGCAACATCAAGAGACGGCATGTGGGTCAAAAGACAAAATTTGAGACATCGTTCA